AAAACGCTGTACGCAATTTATTGTTCAAAGTATTACTGATGAAAGCAGAGTAGGGGTTCCGGTCTCATTTTGCAAGCTATTTCACTCATTCGTGTTTTCTGCGGTTACTTCGTTGATACTGACAGTCAAGAAGGGCAAATCGATAAAAAAGAGGTCATTTCATGGCCACGCGTGGATTCCTGTTTGTAAACTAGGATTGCAGAATATTAAAGTTACTTCAACTTCCGACATAGCAATAAAGGAATTCAGTCTGATTACAAGAGATATTTTCCTCCCCAAAAAAGTTAAACTTAACTTTAGTAATGCTTGTTGTTAAAACAAAAACTCTTCGTGAATGTAAAAAAGCCATGTAGATCTCCATTGGCCAGGTTTTCCTGATTAGTCGCTCTTTTCATAAGCTGACGTTCCAACTTTTAAACAAAGAGACTTAGCCTGTCGTAGAAAAGTTATCCTAGAAAGAAATTTGCTAATGTAAGTGATTTGAACAGTTGTAACTGTAAGGGCAATTTACAGGGTCATTATGCTCCTGGCAAGCCGGAAATATTTTCCTGGACAAGTGCAATGATTAACATAACTATTTGTTTATGTGCAGTTGACGGTGGTTACGGTAAATGGGGCAAGTGGGGTAAATGCAGCAAAACTTGTGGCGGAGGACAACAAACAAGAAAGCGAAAATGCAACAAACCGAAGCCGTCAAAAGGAGGAAAGAAATGTAATGCCCTTGGACCAAGTAAAGAAACTCAGGAATGCAACACAAATCCTTGTGGACGTAAGTAGACTCTTTTATGGCATACTTATGAAAACTCAGAGGAGTTCCACCAACATGTTTTGAGTTTTTCTTTTTTTACAACATGCAGGACTACCATCGAAATATAGGGGTACAAAATATTAGCTCGGTATGAAAGAGGAAGGAGAAGAGTCCATAATAAACCAAGAAAGGGATAGGATAATTAGCGATGAAGAAGATTGGAGAAGGGTTTCATTGACCCTGGAATTTAAGGTTAAAATTTCAAGATTTTCGAACCTTATCGTAACGCAGAAAGGATAAAACTGATTGGTAAAAACTCAGAATTCTCCAGCTGGGGACGAATTGGTCGCTAATTGGCTGATTTAGGGAAATTTTTAATTGAGTGTCTAAAGTGACCCGTGATCGCTTTGTTTTTGCTCCGCTCTATGATTGGTCCAGAAATTCACGCCTTTCTCTCAACCAGTCGGATGCAAAACTAAAACAATCACGACTTGGTCACCCGCATTTTCCCGCGCTTTAGGCAGTTTGGCTGCGTCTACTTTGATTTCTCATTGGCTCTTATAGCCATTTTCCTTTCTTCTGATTGCTTGTTGTTGTGATTACTTTGATTTTAGTTTTACGACACAATCGAAAAGCGCTCCATGTTTACGATTTGAGTTTGCATCTTCAATCAAAATGAAGGTTCATGTGTTACAATACTGACAAATCATTTTTATACACACGACGATCGACGGGAAGTAATTATTTTTCAGTGTTGTGATTTGAGAAATGCTGAATCAAATTGCGAGAGCGATGTAGGATTATGTTGGTTTTTCGACACAAGGATGCGCTCTCTGATTGGGATAGAAAAACTTATGTTCCCACTCTCGACCAGTCAAATAAAAACGTGAAACAAATCATTAGTTGATATCAAGCTTAGTTATATCTCTCAGTTGGTACGTGCGCTATGATTAGTAAACTAAGCAGGACGTTCTTCTCTGTATCGCCTGCTAATTTCAAAAGTTTGTTTGAATAGAAATCTTCCCCCTCTATTTGAACCAAGAGATATAATAAATATCTTTCTAACCTTGTTTACCCAGTCCGTAATTAAGTTACAAAACCTTGCTTTTTCTACTCGGATTTATGGCCTGCGTGCTTTAGGCTTGGGCCACAAAACCGAGCGGACAAAACTTGGCCCGTAACGTACAGTACGGACCTAGTACTCGGTAATTAAGAGGTATTTTATGCGCACAGACGCCACAATTAACATCACATAAATAGCGTACTGATTGGAGAATTAGTTTCCTGGCATGGTTTCTGAGAAATTAATTTAATTCACAGATAGGTTTTTACATTTTGAGCTGAGTAATGGAATAGGGAAAGTCTCGAGTGATTTAACTTTGTTTTTTGATCAACAGCTGCCTGGAAGCCAATGGGCTGCTATATTATGAAAGCTAAAGCACTCGATAAGTATTTCTTAAGAGCAGGAAGTATCTCTCAAATTGGCAAGAGATTCGACGCATGTGTAAAAGAGGCTAAGGCTCAAGGAATCAAATTGTTTGGTATGGATGACAAAAGATGCTGGACAAGTGATAACCCAGAGAAATCCTACGATAAGATTGGAAAATCGGGACTATGTAAGAAAAAGAAAGACTATGGTACTGGCTTTACAGAGTCCCTCACAGTGTTCGTGTATCGCATGGATGGCAAAGGTAAAGGATCATAACGAACCTGTTCGTATGTGAATAGTGATATACACAAGCGACGGGAGTGTCACACAACAAGTGGATCCCAATTTGCCTTGTGTCTGTTCAGTTTTAGATCATATAATGTCCAAATGAGCGAGGAACTTAAAAGTGACGTCTTTTATTTATTGCTAAGCCGACACATCTCAAAAAGGAATCTGTGCTTTTTTTCGCACAGCACCGACATGTGAGATGAGTTTGCGCATGCAGAATTTCTTTCTTTTTTTTTTTTTGGGGGGGGGGAGCTATAATCGCGAAATCATTTTTAAAACTGCGTGTATACCTGAAAGTCAAATTGCAGGAAACCTTTGACTCCCATGTAGTTAAATCGACTTCACAGTGAAATTTCCACTCATAACGAAATGATCATGAAAGTTCAAGTTCTCACCTCCATTTTGGTTCGTAATAGTTTCACACTGGTTTCGTCACAGAATATCATAATATTTCTTTGAAATTAACAAAAGCGAACATAGCGCGAGAGCATGCCTCATTTTTCGTAAGGAAGCTTGCGTGTAAAATCTCCTATAATTTTATGTTAAGTTTATATTTTAATAAAAGAACGCTTTTAAACACGTTTCTTTTAAAAACAGGTGAATTTAAGGCAGTGGACTGCTTTTTAAACAGTGCTCCTGCAATTTTGCCCCAAGCTTTCGATAAAAATGTCGGGAGTGTGTCCGGTACTGAAGCTATGGTTGAGTACTGCCAAGAGAAGGCCGAGAAGTTTGGCTACAAAACCTTTGGTATCGACGATAAAGGATGTTGGTCTGCTGACAATGCAGCTTCGGTATATGACGACTACGGAAAATCTAATGCGTGTACAATCTCGAAGAAGACTGGTAACGGTGTTGGAGCCGAGATTAACGCTGATATCTTCGTTTATCAGCTGCAAGGATAAGGTATGTTTCTCCTTTCTTTTTTTCCCCTTCAAAGATGAGTGACCAGCGTGCACTTGGATTCAGTCTTCCATCTGGTTTAAAGTGCTGCGCGAGTTTTCTCAAACACAGTCCCCGATTACGCACAACAATAAATTGGAAATTTCTCATAGTTTTTAAGCTCAATTACATTTCTTGTTGTTTGAATACGTTTTGAATTCAATTTCATCATGCAAATATCAATTTATTTCTATTCATACGTTTCTTACAGATGTCAGAGTGTTATTATCCGAACCAGATGTGAAATGGCTTTCTAAAATGAATATCTATTATTAAGATTGAAATATAAGCACGTGGGTATTAGTCTGTTGGGAATAAAGAAGGAACATTAAAACCTCTGTGCTAGTTTATTATCTGATATTTAGCTTTACGGTAAAGTTCTCTTAAAAAATATACTTTCCCAAATGTACATCTTTCAAGAATGCGGCAAAGAGAGGGGGAAAGAAGTACACCGCCCCCTCCCCCCGCCCCGCTTCTTTTTGTTTGGATTGTAAAGCAGCCCGATTAACTGCCCCACCTATAGTCTCCTACGCTTCAGTTGTGTTGTTCCGTCACATGCGACGGTTCCACAGCGGCTTTGAGGTTTGTTTTACTTGTTAGGTGTAGAATCTCTCGTATTGCCTCTTTAGCGTTCTATTTGTTACGTGTAGTATCTCTCACGCTGTTTGTTCGGTGTTCTATTTGTTACGTGCAGTATCTCACGCACTGTATGTTCTGGGTTCTATTTGTTTCGTGTAGTATCTCTCGCGCTGTTTGTTCGATGTTCTATTTGTTACGTGTAGTATCTCGCACACTGTATAACCTGTGTTCTATTTGTTACGTGTAGTATTTCACGCACTGTATGTTCTGTGTTCTTTTTGTAACGTGTAGTATCTCGCACACTGCATTTTCTGTGTTCTTTTTGTAACGTGTAGCATCTTGCATACTGTTTGTTCTGTGCTAAGTGTAGTATCTCGCGCACTGTTTTGTTCTGTGATCTAGCTATTACGTGTAGTATGTCGCGCACTGTTTGTTCTGTGTTGTATTTGTTACGTGTAGTGCCTCACGTGCTGTTTTGTTCTGTGGTTTATTTGTTACGCGTAGTATGTCGCGCCCTGTTTGTTCTGTGTTGTATTTGTTACGTGTAGTATCTCGCGCACAGCTTGTTCCGTGCCATATTTGTAAAGTGTAGTATCTCGCGCACTGTATGTTTTGTATTCTACTTGTTACGTGTAGTATCTCACGCACTGTAGATTCTGTATTCTATTTGTTACGTGTAGTATCTCGCGTACTGTATGTTTTGTTTTCTACTTGTTACGTGCATATCTCGCGCAGTGTTTTGCTCTGTGTTCTACTTGTTACGTGTAGTATCTCGCGCACTGTTTTGTTCTGTTCTACTTGTTACGTTTTGTATCTCGCGCACTGTATGTTGTGTCCTACTTGTTACGTGTAGTATCTCGTGCACTGCTTTTTCTGTGTTCTATTTGTTACACGTATTATCTCACGTACTGTTTTGCTCTGTGTTTTACTTGTCACGTTTAGCATCTTGCACAGTTTGTTCTGTGTTCTATTTGTTACGTGTAGTATCTCGCGCACTGTTTTGTTCTGTTTCCTCTGTGTTCTTTTTCTTACATGTAGTATCTCGCGCACTGTTTGTTCTGTGTTCTACTTGTTACGTGTAGTATCTCGCGCACTGTTTTGTTCTGTGTTCTACTTGTTACGTGTAGTATCTCGCGCACTGTTTTGTTCTGTGTTTTACTTGTTACGTGTAGTATCTCGCGCACTGTTTTGTTCTGTGTTCTACTTGTTACGTTTTGTATCTCGCGCACTGTATGTTGTGTCCTACTTGTTACGTGTAGTATCTCGTGCACTGCTTTTTCTGTGTTCTATTTGTTACACGTATTATCTCACGTACTGTTTTGCTCTGTGTTTTACTTGTCACGTTTAGCATCTTGCACAGTTTGTTCTGTGTTCTATTTGTTACGTGTAGTATCTCGCGCACTGTTTTGTTCTGTTTCCTCTGTGTTCTTTTTCTTACATGTAGTATCTCGCGCACTGTTTGTTCTGTGTTCTACTTGTTACGTGTTGTATCTCGCGCACTGTTTTGTTCTGTGTTCTACTTGTTACGTGTAGTATCGCGCGCACTGTTTCTTCTGTGTTTTACTTGTTACGTGTAGTATCTTGTGCACTGTTTTGTTCTGTGTTCTACTTGTTACGTATAGTATCTCGCACACTGTTTTGCTCTGTGTTCTACTTGATACGTGTAGTATCTCGTGCACTGTTTTGCTCTGTGTTCTACTTGTTACGTGTAGTATCTCGTGCACTATTTTGCTCTGTGTTCTACTTGTTACGTGTAATATCTCGCGCACTGTTTGTTCTGTGTTCTACTTGTTACGTGTAGTATCTCGCGCACTGTTTGTTCTGTTCTACTTGTTACGTGTAGTATCTAGCGCACTATTTTGTTCTGTGTTCTACCTGTTACGTGTAGTATCTCGCGCGCTGTTTGTTCTGTGTTCTACTTGTTACGTGTAGTATCTCGTGCACTGTTTTGTTCTGTGTTCTACTTGTTGCGTTTAGTATCCCGCACACTGTTATGCTCCGAGTGTGTTCTACTTGTTACGTGTAGTATCTATCGCACTGTTTTGTTCTGGTTCTACTTGTTACGTGAAGTATCTCGCGCACTGTTTGTTCTGTGCTCTACTTGTTACGTGTAGCATCTCGCGCACTGTCTTGTTCTGTGTTCTACTTGTTACGTGTAGTATCTCGCGCATTCTTTGTTCTGTTCCACTTGTTACGTGTAGTATCTCGCGCACTGTTTTGTTCTGTGTCTACTTGTTACGTGTATTATCTCGCGCACTGTGTTGTTCTGTGTTCTACTTGTTAGGTGTAGTATCTCGCGCACTGTTTTGGTCCGTGTTCTACTTGTTACGTGCATATCTCACGCACTGTTTTGCTCTGTGTTCTACTTGTTACGTGTAGTATCTCGCGCACTGTTTTGCTCTGTGTTCTATTTGTTATGTGTAGTATCTCGCGCACTGTTCTATTCTGTGTTCTACTTGTTACGTGTAGTATCTCACGCACTGTATGTTCCGTGTTCTATTTGTTACGTGTAGTATCTTGGGCTCTGTTTTTTTTAGTGTTCTACTTTTTACATGTAGTATCTCACACACTGTATGTTCTCTATTCTATTTCTGACATGTAGTATTTAGTCCACTGTTTTGTCCTGTGTATACTTATAACGTGTAACATCTCACGCATTGTTGTGTCTGTGTTCTATCTGTAATGTCTAGTTTCTCACGCACTGTTTGTCCTGTGTTGTATTTGTTACATGTAGCATCTCGCGTACTGTTTCTTTTGTGTTTTGTTTGTTACGTGTAGTATCTCCCGCACTGTATGTTCTGTGTTCTAATTGTTACGTATAATTTCTCCTGTACCGTTTCTTCAACGTTTCTAATTGTCGTTGTATCTCTTCCACGGCTTTTTCTGTGTTCTATTTGTTACGTGTATGATCTCGGGCACTGTTTGTTCTTTTTTATAGTTGTTACTTATGATATCTAGCACAAAGTGTGTATTGTGCTCTATTCGTTTAGTGTAATGTCTCGCGCAGCAAAGTGATTTTTCCTTTTTTTATTTGTCACCTGTAGTATTGCGTGCAACGTCTCGTTCTATATTCAATTTTTCATGTGTGAGGTCTCGCGCACTCTTTGTTGTGTTTTATTTGTTAGTTTGGCACCTGGCGTTTTTAATGCTATTTAGAGGATGCTTGTACGTAAGCGCTTCCTTTGGTTCTGTTTTCTTAGTTTATTGATGTCAGATGAGAAATACGTTGAAGGGAATTCCTCAGGTTAACGTTTGTCCTCTGTCCCCTCTTTTTAGTCTTATTATAAACGAGTGTTTACAAGAACTCGAAAAATGAAGGAATTCTTTCCTTCTTTGAAAGAGCAAGTTCAGCCCTCTTGGTCAATTTTTATCATATACCATTTATTATCATTTTTATCATATATCATTATCTTATTAGATACCATAATTATTATTTTTTAATTGGTGATCACTATTTTTATTATTATCATTATCATCGCTTTCATTATTATTATTATTATTATTATTATTATTATTATTAATATACCTATAAAATCGTTTCAGCGGTTGTTATCGCCGAATGTTTAGTTGCTGCCATTAGTTATTTATGAGAAAAAGGACGAACACCGCGAAACAGACGATCTACGTTTAAAAAAGAAACTGGTGGCAAATACTTTTGGAATTTTTTTAGTTTGTGTTTTAGAAAATCTCTTACCGCAGAAGAATCTTAGATCTCCGGGATGTAAATATTTCTACCAGCAATCAAAAATTCTGCCCCACTCCTCACGGTGTCATTTTGAATACTGATTGTGATGCACGGGAAAGTTCAAATAATTGCAAATTTATCTGGGATCATTGAGTATTCATCTCACTTGAGTCAGGATATTTTCACGTGGAAGTCGGAACTACGCTTTGCTGCCTTGTTTAAAGCCTTAAACTGCAGTTTTTGGACGAACAACTCTTCGACTTAGATGTCGTAGACAGTTGGATCATCTGACGGTAGAATTTAAAATGTTTGGTGTCTTTCATGTCGAACTTTGGTCTGTAACGGTCCTCGCACACAAGTTGCAACCAGGGATGATAAGCCAACAGACGCAATGAACTCATGTAAGTCATTGAGCTTCTCTTTATTTCTCCTCAGGTTTAAGTTTATTGTAATTTTGTGTACTGTGATAGCGCTGTAGCTCTTCGTTCCATCTGATGCCTTGTGAGGTTCCATAATGAAATTTTTCGAATGCATAAGTGTAATCCTGAGATAATGTTTTTATGACGTAGTTTGAGGTTATTGATTAGCGGTTCTTTTGAGCAGAGCCTGAAAATCTTATCGATAAGATTAAACTGCTCCACGGATTCAAAAACTAAGAAAACGTTATCATATTTGGGATATGAGGAAAAGTACGCAATCTTGTCGAGGGAGTACTTCTAAAGAATTTTAGGACGAATAGTCGTCACAAATACTACCAAAGAAAACCATTTTCGCACAGTTTAAACCCTTTTTTATATTTCTCCAAAGAGCACTGTATGGAGGCTGACCTAATACATCTCTGATGTTTTAAAATAAAAAAAATACATTTTGCTTTGACGAAGGGCTAACGCTCGAAACCTTTACTTTGAAGCTCTTTACGGTGGCCAATTTTCGTCATAAACTCAGTTTATAATACTGAATTACCCTTATAATATTGTTTGGAGAGATTAGATCCATAAATATTCCATACTGACCCGTCAACTTTTTCACCAAAGCAGCCTGCCACTGCATGAAATTTTATTGCCGCGTGATGAACCGTGAAACCTACTCTATTATGATTGTTGTTGCGTTTTCCTTGTCAATAAAATTGTTTCAAATCATTCTTTAGGTAATCATACAGCAAGAAGGGAAGACAAAGGATCAGAAACAAGATGGAGTACACGGAGATAGATTCAGTCAATACAGGTCAGTTTGTAATGATATCTCAAGTGCTTTCCTCGCGAGTTTAAGAAATATTTTTTAAGGTCCGAAGATTGATCAGAGGAAAACCTAAATTAGGTTTAAACCTGCTTAACAAGAATTTGCGGAAAAATGTTAGGTCTGAAGTAAAAATAATGATAGTGATAAATCTTCAGAGTTGATTAGCTTATTTGTACTTTGAGCAACCATTATAGTCGTATAAGTGAAAACACAACGGTCAAACGTAAGGCGGTCAATTTTGGCCGGCTGCACGCAAATTTCCCGCGCATAATTTCAAAGGAAAACGTAAGAAGAAACCGCTGTAAAGGGAAATTAAGCGTGAAAAAAACATCGATACCTTCACGTAAATAAGTGAAAAGAAGCAAAAGTTGAGAAAAGGGAAACTTGAGATTTCTTCGTTCACAAAGTTTATTTAATTACGGCTTTCCGGCTGATTTGTAGTCTTGTTTTGAGCGTTATCAATGAAGATTTGTAAGAAAAGCTAACGTGCCATGTGCCATGGAGCGGTTTTTGGTTGAGGGTTGAGACGAGGAAATTTTAGCTTTGAAAATCATTACTATCATATCGGAATTAAATGTGCGCAAATTCACTGAACAGAGCACTTGGCTGAAGGAAAAATCTCAGATGTTAGATAAGATGCGTAAATTCTTAAGAAGTGGACGAAGAATGAAATTGACTTATGCAGTCTTTTCTAAAACCACATGTGACAGATTTTTTTTTGCCACATTAATATATGTTGACCAACATGTACCTTACACGATATATTTTTGACCAGAACACCTAACAAATTAACCCTTTCACTCCAAAGAGCTGATTGGTAATTCTCCCCTTTAGCTGCTATAAATATCCTTGTAAATTAGTTTTGAGAACAACTTCTACCTTATAAGTTTGAATATTCTCATAAGCTGATTGCCGGCTAATGTAAGGATATTATTGGGAGAAATTTCATGTTGATCACTTCTGGGAGTTAAAGGGTTAAAGGAAAATAATTTAATAGTCAGTGAAAATCACTCCATAGTTAAATTGATTCAATCAACTTTAACAAATATATACAGAAAATGCCAACATCCGTACTTTAGATATAAGAAACTGGATATTGCACATTTAAGAGGGTCTCAGTTGGGTTAACCGTAACCGTAAAACGGCTAAAAAAATTTAGCTGTTAGGCATAAAGATTGAAAAATTTTTAACTATAAGTCGAAAAAAAAATTAGCCTTAAAAATTTTTCTGGTGACCACAGTAGAAAGATAATAACCGCCAGCCGTAAATTGGACAAAATTTGAACCGTGAGCCGTAAAAGCCATCACGTCATTAAGAACTTCATTTTAACACGATTTTACCGGAAAAACGGTTGACAAACAGTTTTTGCAATAAAACAAAGACATCTGCACTTAGGTGAGGATGAAAGTTTGTAAGGTTGTTTATTATTATTAAGTGATTTAAATCAGAGCTAACGTATGCCGCTTGCAGTCAAACTTCACTGCTCATTCCCTGCACTCTTAGAGGTTACCAACAAGGAATTTCTCCTCACAATATCGATAAATTTTCAAGCCGAAAGGCGATTAAAAGGAAAAAAATTTCTTGAAGCTGAAATCAATAGAAATGTACGACAGACGGTTGGGAGAATTGGAATCTGGATCTCGACAGGATTAATTGACCGTGACGTTTTTATCGTTGAAATTATTTCACCGCTCAAGAAAAAAAAAATTGAGAGAACAGTTGGGAGAATATGCATACTGATGTTAGGGTGTTAAGTGTGAAACAGATAGCCTTACGACAAGAGAACAGTTTATATTTTCTTGCCTAACGATTATCTTAGTTCAGATTATACTTGGAACAAATGTTTCTCATTCATTACTTCTGTTTTTAGATTTGAAAGATCTCAAGATGGTATGAAGCTAGAAGATCCAAGGAAAGATGATGTCTTAGGACTCAAGAAGTCTGTTACCTGAAATAAAGCTTATGAAAAGTCTTGTTGTACCTAATTAGAAAAACAATCGAGCTCAGGCGAGCAAAGAAAATGTCTTACAAGTTTGCGCTTTTAATAGGGCTGAAGTCTTTTGGCGGGAAAATCTTTCCTTCAGTAGAATGATTGAGAAGCTAAAAATGTCGGGAAATTAATTGTCAATGGAAAAAAAAGTCTGCGCTTTTGAATTGCGTCCAGTGTTGATCGAAAAATATACTAAGTCTTTTGGCGGGAAAATATTTTGCTCCATGCTGACGATTTTCTCCCATCAAAATTCAAGTATATTTTTTGTTTTAATGCTAGATGCTGTTCAAATCCGCAGATTTTTTTTCCTCTCGGCAACCCTCCATACGCAAAAAAAAGTAAAAGAGATAGCCTATATTTTGACTAGTTACCAGGCCCTTTTAAAAGCGCAACTCTTTTTTTTATTATTTGTTTACTTAATAAAAGAGAAGGAAGAGATAATATGATGGAAATGAGTTTTTATTTGTTTCTACTTTTAATTTTTTTTTTAGTAATACAATTATTCGTTACTGATAAATAGAAATGCTTACGTAAGGAGCATAACAATATGGAATCTCAACATGACAAGTAAGCAAACTTGAAATTAAGACAACAAATTTTTTACGAAAAAGAAAAGATTTACAAATTTAAATTGAAAAAATATATTAAGTATTATCGCAATAACTATTAATTCAAAACATTTCAACAAGAAAGTTAAGGCTCTGGCATCTTTGAAAGCGAAATAACCCAATAAAGTCTGATATTTGCAATAACTGCTAGTATTGATAAAATATTTAAATCTCCCTGTAGATGATTTGAAAAGAAAACACTCATACCAGAAGCAGCACGAACGAGAAGCCATTCCAGTGACTAGCCAGAAAACAAGCAAAAATATGCGCAAAATATCAGAAAATTGTAACGAGAATCACAGCCGTCAGCGTAATTACTAATTGAAATGTTGAGATCACACTGCACACTATACACTGTCACTACTAATTCATTTTGTTGAGATCACACTGTACATCATGCCGAATTAAAATTAACGCTTTGAAAATGTTTTCTAAGTCAAGTCATCTTGAACAAATTGAATTAAGATACACTTTTCAAACAGTCGTTGTTAGTGTCCTACTGGCGACTTTTACCGAATTAGCTTTTAAAAATTTTGGTAAGAGATCGCATGATTATTTTTCTGTCTTTCGATAATATTTCCAATTCTCTGCTGAAAGTCAGCTTTTAAAATCATACCGTCCTCACTAACTTTTGATGAGTTGATATATTTCTCAACTTGGTAATTCAACCAGTCAATGGAAGTTTCCTTCTTAGCAGCTTAACCTGGTTTTAGATTTTGAACATTTGGAGGAGATAGCTTAATTTGTTTCCTTCACAAATTGTTTCTGTTAGTTTATGTGTCAATTGAAATTTAAAATTTGAGAGCCTTGTTTTGTCTTTACTTCGAAACACTAATTTGTTTTTAAAAAATTGTGATCAAAATTGAACTGCATAAAACGCGTTTGGTGAGTCTAAGTTACAATTGTTACCTCTACATGCATGATCGATTTCCAACAATTCTTCTTCAACAACTACGTTGTATATTTTATGTCTTCTTCTAACTGTAAATTTTCTTCAGTCTTTACTCTCCGAGCTTGCGGTCCACATCAAAATGGCGTATCAGAGTGCTGAAATATAACACACACACCAAAAAACATTTTAAAATTCGACGAAATTGAACTTGGTTTTACTAAATACAGGGGTAAAAGAGGTAAAGCGTTGTAAATAAAGATACTTCTCTTCGCCTCTGCACATTTATTGTGTAAAACTGGTAATAAGCGCAAGTGGACGGTTCCAACTCCACTGTGTATCAGTTCATTTTTTTGCAAAAATGGTCACAAGTTATTAATTGTTGGCTTAACCTAAAAATAAATATTCTTACAGGCATGATTTCCATACAACCCCATACTTTATTATGCATACAGTTATTGGATAAAAGAAATTAAGGGGAAACTCGGTAACTACGGCTTTGTTTTATAGAAAATAAAATTATAAAAATAAAATAAAATACATAAATGGGCATTTGGAAAATGAACATTCCACCAGGTGGCTCTTCTTGTCCACTGTTTCCATGTCGAATTGGAATTTAGAATGTTGGTTTATGCGGAGCGGAAGAAACCCGCGGCGCAAGACCCGGAGAAAAACCCTCGGAGCAAGGACGAGAACTGGCAACAAACTTAACCCACATGTGACGCCATGTCTGGGAATCAAACCCGGGCCCGGGAGGCGAGCGTTCTCACCGCTGTGCCTGCGCCCGGGAAATACGGAAATCTTTTCTGTTTAATATCCGGAAAACATTGATACACAAAATTGATAATGGCGCATCGATGGCGAAGTGATGGGTATTTTGAAAATTTCAAAATCAGTCGTAATTCCTTGTCTTTGCCACTCTTCTTTCAGCAAGGAACTGCATACATAATGATAGTAGAAGATAAAGGACCCATCATTTTCTCTTGATAATGAAGTTTAGGGTTATGCGGAAACATTCCCTGCGGCTGAGCCGAGATCAATTTAAAAATACAATAAAATTTGCACCGTGTGTGATTGATGTTTGTGAACGTCTCTCGTTTATGACAATTTTTAAAACTGAGATTTTGAAAAGTTTATTTAGGCAGTACAGCCAAATTTTAAAATTTGAATATTAGTGATTGCTGAGCCAAATTGCTGGCGAATGCAAGACCTTAATGACGCTTTTTACAAATAGCTAAGCTTTTGGAACAGTTAGTGACGAATTATTATCTACCTGGCATGTTTGGCATGCAAAAAAATCAAAGACAAGAAATGGCTCGTGCAATTTTGTTGCCTATGAAAAATTGACTTGTGCCTATTTACACCAAATTGCGCCCGAAATTATGTTAATACCTACACTAACTGTCACGAAGCGCACCAAACAGTTTGCATGCATTCCGATCATTCTTTGTTAGCGATATAACTTTGCACCTAAGAGCCGCTTAGCCATTATTTGCATATCTTTACATTCAAATCTCTCGCTGACGCAAGCAAGGGAGTTTTGTGCATGTATAGAACAGCAGTCACCTGTACAGTCACTAATCCTATTTCAAACCAACTGGATTCTGAACCTACCTTTGAGTAACTCTTTGCTCTTCTTCTTTATTTTTGTACACTCCCATGATTTATTTTCGATGCCTCATCCATGTGTTATTTCATCTATGAAAAAAAAAACTACACCGTTTTTTTCTGCAGGTTCATTGGACTACTTTGATACCGTTGGGCGAGTTATTTAACCAAAACCGCTATCTAAATTATCTTGAATTTAGCTGAATCTTTTATTTGAAAATACATTTTTGTGACTGAAATTGTCACGCTTCCAGTAAAAGGCCATTTATTTAATGAAAATAACCCTCTCATAGAAAATACGCATGGCCCATTGTCTGCGTAAAAACCGCGGTTTGGGTCAGATCTCGTGTAAACAACTGGCCTTTTAACTCCTATGAGTGATCGAGACAGATTTTCTCCTTACAATATCAACACAATATCAAGTGACAAGTGATGATAACGAAGAAAAAAATATATATGAAGGGATTATTAGTTGATCCAATACCAAGTCCTTCAAACTCACACCATAATAATTGTGAGGCAGACCGTGAATAGGGAGAATCAGTCTAACCATTTTTAGTTTACAAACTCGGTTCGAATTTACTGCCAAGCAAACACGGAACATCAGTCCTTGCCAAGCCACTGCTCGATTAAGGTGGACTGAAGCAATTAGAGGAGCATTTTTTCTCAAATATGTTATCACACAACGTTTTTTCTTTTTCAAAAGACTACATTGACGTGGAACTGCTCGTCGCGAACACAATTAATTTGGAATGCTCTTTACCTCGTTAGGCGCGCTGTATTAAACCAGTTTAACACTTTCATAACTTACTGTGTGTTCTGTTTCGAGAAGGTAGAATTATCGGTCCGGGTCTACAAGTCTCCCAGAAGAAGCAGGAATGACTCCCCAATGCTTCCGGCCACGTTTGGGGGGAAGATTTGATTAACCAGCGATTTTACTATCGTTCTTGCTTTCCTACGTAAACTGTTCTCAGCACGAGGAACCGTAAAATGTAAATGAGATGGAAGATTTTCACGTGTTAGTTCAGCCTTATGCTGATTGAACCATGGGAACGAGGCTGATGTAAATTTGCATCACGAGATTTTAAATCTGAGCTCAAGTTAAGGTTTTTGTGGTTGCTTTTTCTCATAATCAACCCCTTGATTTTCATGTTTAGCTTATTTTATTTAAGTTGATTTGTGCGCAGGCGAAGGGAAGAGTGGTGAAAAATACCAGTGCGGGAAAGAAAATGAAGAAGAAAAGATTCCCAAGGAAAAGTAGGAATCGGCTCTCACTTTTCGGGCGGGAAGATGTTGTCATGCGAGAGGATTCAACCCAAAACAGTATTACTCACAGTGCGCGAAGGATTTATGAGTGAAAGGAGGCCTTCAGCGTCCACAAGAAAGCAAAAATCACGGAAATCCGTTTTGTTCGTCAGTAACGAATATGGAAGCGATCTTCGCAGTAACGAACACTACATCAGCAGTAGTGAAAATAGAACCAGAAAAAATTCAGGCCTGTAAGGGATTTGAACCTATGACCTCTGCGATACCGCGCAGTGCTCTACCAACTGAGCTAACAAGCCATCATGTTGGTTCCAAATAAACCCGTGAAATGGTGAATAAATGACTTAAATATATGAAAATCATACATGTGAACTGCGAATTTTCGTAGTAGCAGAGAGTCGATATGTGTTTGTAGAATGATACCGCGAGTGGGAGCGATGGGAGTGGCAAAAACCCTGCGGACTATCACCACTTACGCTCAATCCCCCCCCCCCCCCCCCCCCCCCCCCCCCCCCCCCCTCCTCCATCTATGATCGATCGTTTCCCCCCGGTAGAGACATACCGCTGAGCAACAACAATCGAGTTTGCAAAATTTTTATTTATGACTTTCAAGAAGTATTTGTGCTTACAATGTACAATGTTCAAGATGGTTTCGTTATGTTTACATTTACAACATTCTACACTAGAAAGGGAGCATACAAACAGTTCCAAAATCTAAAACAGGTACAATGACAGCGTTTCTGTCCCTCCACGAAAAGTGAATTCGTTAAAAGTTTCAATTACCTTTTATCACATAACAACTAGTGGAGTGTTCAAATTATGAGCGCGTAACCTGATCGTGCACGTAAGGGTAATCTAGAAACGGTTCTACGACAAGCTGAGGTCTACACGTATTCTTAGTGGTTCATACTTATGATCTATTGGAGGAAAGACAAAGTTGACACCACAATAAGCAACATTTTGCTTCTTTATAATACAAAAACAAATAGATTCTATGTTGCCGTGGGTCTGTTCAGTAGTAGATCACAGAAGACTTCAAAATGTGGTAAAAAAATCGGTAACACACGAAGTGCATGTTTCTAACCTTATTTTGACGTCTTCTGTGACCTGACGTTTCTTCAACTCGTGCGGAAGTTGTTGATTATGATGACGATGACTTCCTCTGAGGTAACCGCCCCTTTTAGCACGGCCCTCACACGGACGAGCAGAATACAGAATCAGCTGTTACTCTGAAGTTCAAGCCGTTTACCGTTTTACAAATCACCATGTCATATTGTAACATTCTCTCGCATCTTGATCGATAGACAAGACTAGGCACATTAAGTAACAATAACAAACTTAATTCTTTAAACCCTCAAAGCGTCTAGCATCTAACTTCTCCTAAAGTATCACTGCTGAATCAAGAATCAAGAACACGAGAATAAAAAAAAATGAACCGTCGTCAACCAAAGACTCTTGATTGAACTACAGGAAAGGTAAACAGAACAATATGGAGAATATGCCACCTGATGCGAGGGTGTAAATGGTTGACTATATAACAAATCCTATCGTATTCATTTTGACCGAGCATTAAAACTGCCTTGCATGATTGGTCAGGAATCTCGCGTCAATCTCACGGCCAATCACCTCTGGTGAAGATTGACTAAATGGCGCGTTGGAGCCCGAGCTAAAACGATGCGGATAAAGAGGGATTAAAAATCGTCTCGAGTAACATCACCTTCAACACCAATCGCAACCGGCGTTTTCCTGCGAACGAAGCCGTCTCCTACAAGTATTTACACGTCTACCATAAATATGGGTATCATTTCGATCGAAAAACTCACAATTTTCTTCGGGAAATATTCAATTTCATCATTTTAGCCGTCTAAGTAGTCTCCACCTGTTTTCCTTCAAACGTAGATTTGCGTTTTATTCAGCAAGTTTATCAATTTTCATTTCACCTGATCTAGATTCTCAAAGTCCAAATCAGTTCGCAAGAATGTGTCCAAAAATACCCCGTAGGTTTTTTTTTTTTTTTAATATTGGAACCGAAAACATATCGCTGACTCGAGCATTTGGTAGAAAACTAACGTAAAACAAATAAAAAAACTATTTACAAATAAAACTATTAAGATAGAAAAGAAAACGGATACTCAAGTCAACGGAAAATGCCTGTAACAAAATAACTCTGCGCAACATATACCTTACTTTATCAAACAAAGAGTGCCACGACTCCAGTCAATACAACACAGCCATAAAATTAACAGACGACCCTATACCTCAACCCAGACAATTTTCGTTCCGACAAACCTCGCGCCTTTTATATTAATTTTCTTATACTAATTTTTACCTTGTCTAAAAAATTACTCTGAGACTTGTCAACATGAACAACACAACGAAACCTTTTCTATCGCGCTTGATAGCGTACACTAGACAAATACAAATGCGAGGGGGAGGGGGTAAGGCAGGAAAATAAGCTATCCAAGATATATAACAAGCCTTTAACGACTCTTGTCTTTATTAGGGAACATTACCGTTTGTCTTAAGTTTACCCATCTGGCACGAGAGATTATTCCATCAATAAAAAGCGCGGCTTCGTCAAAAGAAGGCACTGTTCTGCCGGTATGGGATGGCTCTTTAAGAGACAACCAGCGCAATGTAGACAGCTCGCTACCTTCCACAGAAGGGTTGTAAACTCCACGTCAATGCAGGCAAACATCAGTTGATGTGATTCTCCTCGTAGCCGTTCTTAGCATTGGGTTTCTCTGGAGTGGGTTTGTTTAACTTGCGCACGGCTACAAAGTAGAATAAACTGACCGCAGCAACGATGGCGTGGATAGCGGTCAACGCGATGAGGAATCTGGTGCGGAGAGAGATGCATGCCACGGCCAAAACTGCGGAAAGAAATGAAGAAAATCAAATTCTTGGAAATTTTCCCCCGCGCTGATGGCGCATTATTGTAATCTCCGGTAAAATGCACTGCTGGCGCAGACACACGGGTTAAAGCGTCTGGCATGCGCGAGGGGATTCATTCTGGCCGGCTGCGCGCCAATTTTCCGCGCAAAATTTCGAAACATAAAAGACAACCGATGTCTCGCAAAATAAGCTGTAGAATATTAAAACATTTGTAGAATCTGTAAAAAGAAGTAACAGTAGGGAAAATTAGAGACTTCTTCGAACACAAAGTTTATTCAGGAACTGGTATCCTGTTGATTTACCATTCTGTTCTGAGCTTTAACGAAAACGTTCTACGCTCTTATGACTGTCTCACTTGCATTTGAGGGCAAGCTAGATTGTTTTGTTGTCATAAATAATCCAGGAAGTCTGTAATTTGAATCTTTACGTGCGACTTAAGTATTTCTTTTCTTTGCACGTCCATAACGAATGCTAAACATCGTTTTTTAATAAATGCTTTTATTTCTCGACAAAATTAAGGCGGAAACGGGGGGGGGGAAGGGGGGGGGGAGAAATTTTCCGGCGGACCCATTGATACCTTCATTACTTTCCCAGAGCTGAACCTGCGAGCAAGCGTTCCTTTTTTTAAGCGGTCATCTTACGCAAGGTTCGCTTCGTTACCTCTACACCTGAGCAGTTTGGCAAACTCGTGTTTTTGCTTAGGGGGCAGATGTAGGTGTGCCTCGAGTCCTGATCGGTGCGGCGCTTTGTTGTCTCATCTTACGACCTAACTATCACTTGATTAAAGAACAGTCATAGAAATAACTAACACACTACTTACACAACGTTGCTGCCCCGCAGTACGTAGAGTGGAGTAATAAAATACGCCTATGGAGAAGAAAACATTTGAATCAGAGGTCAACCATTTACTAGTAGGCGTGGGAGACCTTACTTCCTGATTAACAGCTCTGGATTGATTCAGATTTGAGCTATGACCAAGATTTTAAGATAAAATTATCTCTCCCGTGTCTCTCTCCTGACCGAGAAGAACAAATAAACAGCGGCCACAAGTGAGGAAAATATGAAGAAATGCTGTGGAAGGGGTGGTAGCCAGCGATAGAATAGCATCCCCTTTAGGGGAGGGAGAAGGAGCAGTTCTCCTAGTCACTTCATGATGCAGAGACTGGCATGACCTTTAGCAGTCGTCAGCCTAAGGCCCGTGAGGGTAACGAAAACTTTCAGAAGGGACAAGGGTAGCGCGGGAGAGGCGAACTGCGACCGAAAGTTGAGAGAAAGTTTGATTTCCCAGGGACTTGCTAAAGGTCCTTTGTCTGTAGTGTTTAGTTAAACATGCTGTAGCAAGGGCTTTTCAAATGATTGGTTGAGTTTAAAGCGCGTCACAAACACGCCTTTCAGAGTCGCCGTTTTGGTTCCAGGTAAACTGCTAGGCGCACCTTCGGCAACAGCTACATGATTGCGACGAATGTCTTCGGGAAATGAGAGGCCTCCATCTTGAGTTAAAAGAAAGAAATTTGGGGGGGGGGGGGGAAATACATTCCAACCGGAGTTTGTCCGGGCGGGTAAAAGGGGGAAAGGAATATTACTCCTTCCGCATCCCCAACCCAACCCCTCCCCCTTCCTCCCCCTTCCTCCCCCTCCCCCCCCAGCGTCCAATTTTTCCGAGAAGGACAAACTATCACTTGACGGTTTATTACCCTGACCTGCGCTCTCCAATAAGATACTTACTATGAAATCGAAACTTACTTTATGGAAGATATAGTTATAGGCTTTGTTCCCCATGATATACCAGCGATCCCTAAAACAACAAAAGGACGATGATTTCATTAAAGAGGTAATTATTCTTAGGGGTTTGTAAGAAAACCTCTGAGGACAGATGTATTTAGCCAAAACTCGTTTGACTGCCTCCTCAAACAGAAAAACAAGAAAAGGAAAAGATTATGTGTCCTAGTTTAGCTTAATTCCTGATTATTTATCCTGTTAGTTGTAGCGCTTCGTTTTATAGTTAAAACCATCTCCAGCCCCCTTATCATCGTTATCAAAAGTTCCATTTTTTCCTTCTTTATCATCATCATTATCATTATCCCTGGCCGGGTCATTGTGTTGTGTTCTTGGGCAAAACAGTTTTCTTTCGCAGGAGATTTAATGGGTACGGGCAAATTGTCAGGGAAGTCTGATGAAATGCTGGGGGGTAACCTTGAGATGGACTATCATCCCATCCAGGGGGGAGCAGTGATACTCCTAGTCCGCCTGCCTCATGGAATGGTAACCAGGATAAGCTACGGTTGAATGGATCACTTAGCTCGAGTACAGACTTTACCTTCAGCCATCATCAACGAAATAATTTAAGGGTAGTGGTTCACCAACCTATCAAAGCGCTTGCCAGCAGTCGACAACTTAGAGCACCGGCGAAACTAGTAGATTCTTTACTATCGCCCAGAGCACGTAAACAATAGCTTGGAAATATCATCAACTGAAAAAAAGACGAAAAAGATGTATTAATCAATACCAATACCTACTACCTAAAATAAATGTCGTCGACTACAATATACTAGCGCCCTTAAAAATTTCCTGTGCCACCTGAAACAGTTCTCGCCTATCTTTCAGCGACGCCTCAGGGAAGCACTGAAATTGTACGATGTTTAAAATTTGTTCCTCGTAGGTTAGGCATTTGTTATGCAACATGCACATACTGTCGACTATAGAATACAAGCAACCTGCAATATTTTCTTCACTAAAATCATTATCCGCCTAAATTTAAGCGACGCCTCAAATTATGCGCTAAAATTACGCGCTGTCCAAACCTCGGTCGTCGGGTAATAAGTTAGGCGTTTGTAAAGTAACATGCACGTACTGTCCACTAAATTGTACTGAATCAAAATATACCCTAAAATTACGCGTTGTGTAAAATTCGTTCACCGTGTAGTAGGTAAGGCGTTTGTTATATAACATGCATATGCTGTGCGCAGTCTAACGAACTCTTTCTGATCACGTACCATAATTGATACTACAGAGAGGAAGACTGGTACCACCACTTGCCATGTTCTGGAATAAAAGAGAAAAAAAAAGCATACTAAACTGAAAGAAGCGAATGGTCTCTGTTACGTCGTTGCGCGTTCCTCGGGCATCACAGACACACGGAGTAAGGAAAAAAAACAGCAACTGACAAAAAACGACTTACTCGTATCCTCTCGGTATACTTATGAAGTATGACTCATGGCTGCCAAGGACCTGAAGAACCTACAAGACAAACAGACGGAAGTTAGAGCTCGCTGCTAATGTTTCAAGAAGAGATAAAGCGCTCTCTGATTAAGCGTCATAAAGCTAAAACCAAAGTTATCAGATCGACCAAAAAGAAGAAAGGAAAATACATTTAGGAGCCAATTAGACCTTAAATTAAAACCGACCAAAATGCCCAAAGCGCGGGGAAATGCAAGCGACCAAGCAGGGCGTGAAATTAACTTTTTTTCCTGATAGCCACTTGGCTCCTAAATTCTTCAAAGTGGTAGCCAATTCAAAAAAAGTTGGTCGCCATTTTCAAAGACAAACAAATTTCTTTCTTTACGCTGTCAGCGTTCTAGATAGACCCTCCAAAATTAAGTTAAGAAAAAGATCTTTAACGTGCTACAAAGTGGACACTCATCTAAATCCAAGACGGCGTCCAGTTATCCATCGAGATGCATGTGCTACGTTTTGGAAACAAACTTAACGAGGAAGTTTGCCGCGGATTTATCTTTGCAAATCTTTTTAATTCACTAAATCTCTTGGTAAGGTTATGACGAAACGTTCTAGTCGCCAATTTGGCGACTAACTTTCAGGATTTGGTCGCCAAAGTGAAAAATTTAGTCGCATTGGCGCCTGTATTAGGCGCAATTTCACGCCCTGCCAAGTCGTAATGCGTTTAATACCTCATCTGATTGATCATGAGAATAACGCGAGTTCTCTAAACCAATCACAGAGCGAAGTAAAGCAAAAAACAAAACAATCCCGGATTATTATCTGTCTGATTACTAAGAGATGATTACTCAGCTTATCATATAAAGGGCTTATCCTAAAGTATTCCTTCAATCAATTTTAACATAAGTATGTTGATATATCTGTTTGCTACGTAAACTTAAACCAGGGGTAAATTCAGGTTTCGCAAGAGGTCTAAGCACATGCGATTTGAATGGATCACAAGCCAGGGTCACACGCGTCATTAGCTCTCTCGCGTACGGTGTCACGTGTTCCGGAAGTGTCCGTGACACAAAACGAGTTTTATTTCGACGTGACTTGATATGTACTGAGTGACTTTCACATCTACCTTTAAAAACAATAAGACTTTCCGAGTCCGATTAAAAACAATGATTATAAGAAATGCTTCTAAGGCTGAAAAGCGATAATTCATCACCGACTAAAATTCAGAAAGAATGGTCGACTAGAAAAACCTCTTAAAGAAAAAAAAATTGTAACAAAGGCCAATGAAATCAGACTTTCTCTTAATACAAACAAAATCCGAGAACACATTTCCTCTAAAAATATCAAACAAGGAAGACAAAGTGACATTAACAGGAAAAAACTCAGAGTAGTGGGTTTTTAAATTGAAAAATCTGTAAGTTGTCGAGTTATAGCAGTCGTTGTTAGCTGTGTAAAACAGGAAAGAAGGAAAACTTAATGGGGCACACAGGACAAAAAGCTGTCGGTGAGGAAATCAACGGAGAAGTAAAAGAACTTTTCTCGTGATTTGCTTTTACATTTGTGCTGAGTTGAACAAATTGCACAGGTCCTTGTTTACTTCCTTTCCTTCCGTTGGGATGTTTGGTGCTGAAAAACGCGTATTCAGTGCTCAAATATCGCATCGTTCCTAGCGAAAAGCGACATACCATAAACATGTTCGCTCTGTCAGTTTCGAAATGCACAACGAATATGTAAGTTCAGCGGCTGCCGAGTAAACACAGGGCAACGAGACAAATTTTTCGCCTCAAGTGAATGAAATGTAAACAAAAACTGTCATGAAAAAGTGCCGTTTGTTTGAGAAAAACATATAAACTAAATGTACTTTTCAGTAAAAGGCTTTAGAAAGCTTTCGAAAATTCACACTTGAGCGCTTTCAAGGGACCAAACGCCATTTTTAAAATTGAATGCACTAATGCGAATTTTATTTCAAGCTTTTTCAGTCGGGCATCAGTTTAAACACACTGACATCTAAAATACAGAAGAAAAACGCGTGAAATCCGGTGTAAAACCAAAACAAATTGTATTATCGTCAAGCAATAAAAGGCATGGACGACAAAATAGCGTTTTAATCAATGTTTTCCTAAAAAATTATTCAATGAGAGTGAATTTTCATAATCCATTTTCACAGAACATTTTCGCCTCTTCATAATAAACTGCCGACGAAACATCTTAAAACTGTGTGAAAACGAATGGAACGGTAAAATCTTCAAGATGTAAAATTTAAGATGGAAATTTATTAAAGAAAAGAATTAACAATTCGCTTAAAAGAATAAAAACAAGAAAAGTTATTCAAAATGTCGAAGGAAATTCTCCGTGTATTCAAACATAGCTTGTCATGAACACTACATGATAAATTTCTTAACAACCTCATACCTATCTTAATAATTCATGAACGCACGATTTTGATTTTAAAAAATATCCTTTAAAATTAAATATGGACTTTCTATTTCCCTCGAAAAAAGTTAGTTCTGCCGAACTTGCTATTAGAATTTTAAATTAATTTCTCGTTGATTTACCAATGTACATTATGAGATTTGCAACGAGTAATCGATGTACTTGTCAAATGCTCTCCAAAGTACAACAAGAAACTAATTCCGTAATAAAACATTCAGACGGCGTTTCTTGCTAAGGGTTTCCTTGTTACGGAGGCAGTGCCTAGAGCGCTATTCATTTCAGGATAATAATAAAAGGCCCTTAGACACCTCCCGGGAACTTACGAAGACGCCAAAAAGAAACGGCACTGTTCCTATTATTTAGCTATAGCATCAGAAACAATTCAGTAAAGTACAATCTGAAAGACTAAGCGTTTTTGTACATTTTCCTTTATACAGCTGCCGTTTATATGGTCGAAGACAGCGCGCGAAGGAACATTTTACACATTAAAAAAATAAACGCATTTATAAAAACTTACAGAAATAACATTTGGGAAGTAATTGTCATAGTTATGACCACTGTCAAACCTTGGCATTCACAGCAAAAAAAAATTAATAACAAAAACGTCAATTTATTTCAAAGATTCTCAATCGAGGCAAACGCACGCTGCCCGTGGATTTGTTTATTGAACAAGCTTAGGAAATTTTCTCCACGTTGATAACGATGTTCTCAAAGTAATTACAAAAGGAAACTCTCTGTCAAAAATTTACAGCTTGACAAATGAATATCGTAATGAGTACTGGACTTATGCAAAACACGATGTTCGGTCTTAACGCGAATGTTGGGTTAAAGAATAGGATTGAACGACAAATTTACAATGTTTTGCGAATACAGACCTTACTCGGTTCCTTCCCTCCGATTCCAAGAAGCTTCCTGCATTTTAAGCGACTCTGTGCATCGTCAAAACTGCGCCTGTTGATGAACAAATAATAATAACACGAGAATAGACAGCTTTGAAATTGGAGATACTGTTCCTTCGGTAAAAATACGCACTATTTCAATTTCAGTTTCTTCTGAACGAGATAAATGCGAAGTTTATTTTGCTTTTCCGGTTTGGCAGTCCGCCTAAGGCAGTGCTCTGATTCCGCGAATATCAACTGAATCTTCAAAACCATGTAAACGAATTGAAACTACATCACCTCAACATGATACAATGTACATTCACACATATTTTGCTTGTCATGAACAGAACAATACGGATAAAAACCGCGTAACTTTTTTGCATTTCAAAGTAAAAATTTGAATTCCCAATTCAGCACGCAATTATTCAATCGTTTCGCCATCTTGAAATCAGAAAAGCAAATTAAATAAAACCGCAACTTGCCGACGGTGCTGTCGGTGATGAGTTCCAGGCGATCGTGTACTCTTGCGCTAACACTTGTAGCGAAAAGCTAACTACGATCAAATCCATTCGCCTGCACCGGATAAATAAATACCACAACGTACCTTTTGGCGATAAAATTCATGGTATTGATTCAAGAGATACAGCCGGATGAGCTACACAATAAAACTTTGGAAAGCGTCGAGGTCAAATAGAACTATCGAGCGAATATTTGACCACCGTCGACAATCGAAAACGCAACTCAGAAAAAAAATTTAAAAGAACATTCGATCAGAGAACCTCACGGCGATTTGGCGACTTGCGAACATGATCTCAAGATAGGAGTTCTCGTATGAAAGAATTAAACGCGTGTTAATAAAACACAGTGGAAAAAGATCATTAAAAATTTCAACCAATGTTTAAAAGCGACACCGAACAAGCTGGATTACATCGATGACAGTAGTGCATGAAATTTGCAAAGCGAATACAATTCCAGCTAAAGGCGATACCACATCGCGAACGAAGTGCGAACTACTACAATGATATTTAGATCTTACTTCTCTGTCTTGACCAGAGGCGGTCTTTTGTTATCCGAGGACATCGTCGAGGTCGAAAAAGAGCTACACCGCCAGTTTCCGTTTCACCTCAGACGAAAATGTTCTGACTAGCAACTCCAAGGAAACTTGACACCGACATCAACACTCAGAAGGGAGGGGAGGGAAGGGGAGGAAATATTGTCATGTTTACTGACTAAATTATTCATATCTTGTGCTTTCGACGATAAGGGACCGTTCGCAATTTCCATTGATGAAATAAAATCTGCAGCTGAGTGAAATGGTAATCTAGTTTTAGAACACAGCGTATGGGATTTTTAAGAAATAGTGTCTGTGCCGCTGAAAAAAGCCGAAATAGAAAATTTCACAATGGCTCTCAAATCTTAGCAGCTCCATAATTTGGGCCACTGCCTGCCCACGACGCCTCTTAAACAGGTAATGAATATTGCAAAAATATAGCTCGTGGATAATCTGTTTAATTTTTTATTTGCATTTATTCTTATTTTTGTCTAGCATTTATGAGATCTCTTAACAGACGAAAAAGTAATGTTAAATGAAAATTTTCGCTTGTAAATAAGTTGAAAATGTCCGGGTTATCTGCTAAAATTCGCTGCACCTTAGGTTCCCTGGTAGAGCATGCTCCTCCGAAAGCGGAACATATTACTAATTTGTTCAACAAATATGGATGGATTCAAAACACTTCCTCGTAATCTAGTTTTGCCACAATAAGGCAAAAAAGCAATTTTGACATCGCGGGAGTAGCGTAATAAATTGAGCGCCTTTCTTAACCTCGAACGAAATACATTATGTACGTTTCTGTATAATTCTGTGGATTCCTTGATTTACTTTTCAAGGTTTGTGTTGAAAATTGCTAATATATTCAAAACAAGACCTGGCTGACATATCACTTGGTTTCATTTTGAGGATTTGCATTTATTGCCGATGATTTTGGCAAATTGTTCGTCATTCGATTGTTTTGTAATATTTTCTTTAAGTCGTGCTCGATTCCACCGCTTTAAAGGTGTCAAATAAAAACAACTAGCTGAGAACGGCCTCCATTTCAGCTTCCAATATTGTGGTCACTGTCACTGATCTCTCGAAACCAGTCCGACAACAAGCCTCTTATATTCTCCTCTATGCAACGCAACGAAAGGTTAAGGAAATTAAACGCAAATTAAGGCTAAAAGATAGAATGAATAAAACTTACTTCAATCTTCCCAACATGGCAACTGATTTCAGTCGAAAGTCGAGCCAAACGAAAGGAAAAAACACAGGATTCGATAGAGAGATCACAGGACACTAATCCTGATGTTAACATACAACGGTGGAGGACCGAGGACAGAAAAGACAAATGTTGACGGCTTGTAATGGATGTAATTCGCTGCTTAGTTGATGATTTTACATGTATGACGCACGTGTCAATTATACGGCAAGTGATAGTATATGTCGACACGGCTGAAACCAGCTGGATGAAAATGGAAATTGTCGGCTGCTTGAAAAGCTTACACCTTTATGGAAAAATACCTCAAAAGCTTCGCTTTCGAAGTGTCAAGATGGTATCTTCATTTCGAAGCGGTAATCGGTGTTGATCCCAGCGACAACTTCTTCGAGTCGAAAAAAAAAAAGATCAATTGAATAAAAAATCTTTGAATCTTTTCTAATGGGGATTTATTTAACATATTCCAACGTATTTGACTAGTATCTGCCTGCAATTTACATGTCAAAATCCCGGATTCGAGCTGTCAAAACATGAAAAGACTTCTTGAAAAGAAAATGTTTAATATTAAATGTTTTGAAATGTCACTGTGTCAAAAAACCAGATAGAAGCGATGCTTTTCATTGACGACAAAGTGAAATATTGATAAATATAAATATACGGATGGTAATCAGGGTTTCGAACCCACTATACGAAAACGATAGTTTGAGGTAATGCGCTTGCGTATCACAAAAGCACCAATCAGTTTTGAATTCGTCGCCATGGACAACTAGAATAATCTTTTTAATATCGTAATACTTACTGATATTAATGAACTCAAATCTATCATAAGTCAACTCTTGTTCACATTACACTGATTTAATTTTCTTACAGCAAAATCCATTAAAATTGTGCATGCGCAAACGTTGGCCGAGAGGGGGCTGTAATAGAGAGCAAATGACGTTTGACGTCACCGTTTTTAAAAAGGAAGGACGGAAGAAAGGAAGAAGCCTGGAGACGAAACTAAGTGAGGAAAACTTACAATATACACGAAAATGCTACCCGAGAAATTCACTCATTTTTTCGGGTTTTAAAGACTGAAAGCTGCGCAAATATTTACGGTCTTCTTTCTTGTGATACTTCCCGCGGCCTGGCCGGTTAACACGACGAAAGTGCACGACAAAAGTGCAAACTCAATGGAAAAGTTGACTTATTCGTAGCCGCCAATATACCCCTCGGTTCTTCATTCGTTAGTTAGATTTATGTCACAATCTTTCCCAGTTCAAACCACTTACCGTGATAACGTTTTACGGGTAAGCATGCTAATCGTGAGAAAAATCGGATGTAATCGTGAAACCCGGCAAACGTTGATGCTAGATCTAGTGAATTCATATCCGCGCTGAAAAACAACGGGTTCCGGCTTTTTTATGTGTACTAAGTTCTTTGGACACTATTGCCTTCATAAACTCGCCCAAATAGCCCTCAGAGGAAACGTTCGTTTAAGTATAACTGAACTGTCCCTTTATAAGAGTTTAAAACGCTCCTTTTCTTCTCTCCTCTCCCCCCCCCCCCTTTGCGTGTATCTCAGTAATTTCTGTTAATTAAAAAACCGCTCATTTCCATAACTGCACGAGGAGCCAGAGACGGGGAAAAGAATACCTAAAAAAAACATATGGAGAAGGGAGGTGTAAATGATAAAAGGGGGACTGGAACTATTATGCTACAACTTTTTAAGTTCATTTAAACAGCGTCTTGATTTGCTCCACTCACCTTCTTACTGCATAGTCTTTGTGCATATCGGGTGCGCTTAAACGGACTGCATCAGACATATTACTGTCGTCTTGGATGTCTTGTTTGTCTTCTGTTACCTCAGGGTCTTCCTGATCAGGTGATAAAAGAAATTTTCGCGTAAGCCACAAGAATTATCTTGCGCTCGAGTTATTTTCGTGAGGGGCGAAATTTTGGCAGTTGTTCGGTAAGGATCACCGTAACTAGTTACAACTAAAATATATTAAAAGAAAAAATATATATATGCATATATATGTATCTTTTTGTCGGCTTGACTGAAATTCTCCGCCCAAAAACGAAACAGAGTAAAGCTGAATGGGAGACAGCAACTAGAAACTTGTGGAAGAGGATTAAATTTGAAGGAGATTGCCGGTCGGCCTGTCTTCAAGTGTCTCACAGCCAGCGCCAAAGCGATATTCTTTATCTGATTTGCCGTCTGGTACTGTGACAATGTAAAGGTTCTAAAGTCAATGAAATGAAAATAACAGTACTGCCTAAAAATATCATGACCTCCTCTGGCCCCTGTTCAATTTCAACTTTCAACGGAAATGCTGCTCGGAAAGGATTCTCGGAAAGTCTCACCCTAATGATAGCCATAACACAGAACATCCCTTTTCTGAGATTAAAAGAGAACATAAATTTACCTCAAAGAACTACAGATATCTACATCTCGCCCTCTATTTTAAGGCAGCTTCACATCTCGAATGGAAGTGATCGTGAAAAAACAAAACTTTTCCAGCGCCGAAGACCTGACCTAATTGAACCTACAAGATTTTCAGTTTGATGGAATTTTTTTTTTTAGACAATCGATCTCACCACTTCAAGCTTTATTAACGTAAGAATTCAAGAGTGTCAGATGCACTTCTGATATTTGCTCTGATTCTGGCGAATACGGGTCTTTTTCTGAATTACTTAGACAAAACCTCGTTAAAGAAGCATGACAATTTATTTTTTTGATGCTTCGAGAATGACATAGGTCAACCCATGCCTGATCTCTGCGGTACAGCTATGGTAATTTTTGTTATATTTTGAGATCAGACATCCGGAATTTCCTTTATGTACGTCACTCCGTTAACAAATCAGCCAGTATAAAATCGCTAAATTTGACTCCATATCAAAATCTATGGAGTACTTACTTTTTTTTGTCTTCAAAGGAATGTTCGCTCGAATATGCTAAATTGTCAATGCACTTTTGTGGGCAAACACATTTGGAATTTGGCTCTGCGATTGTTATCGATTATTAAGTGCGTCAGTAAGAAGATTAAATCCAGCAAATTTAGCTCGCCTTGGAGGAAAGGTCAGTGGAACAGGAAAACGCAACGATCTGTGAAAGATAAATGTTGTCTTCCCAATGGAAGGAAAATATCGTCACGCAAAAATATCACAGAGACAGAACGACTCCTATTTCGTTCGTCCTAGTTACAAACCAATGTTTACTTAAATCCTTTGAAGATAATGGCTTGGAGAAATGACTACATGTGAAAAGTAAACGTAATAAAGCTTAGCAATAAAGGGAAGAGATATACTGCCTGGCTCACGTGAAAGAAGAAATGAGAACTCACAGTAAAACTATCGGAATTTCGTGTCATGTTTGAGTAATATAAAAGCTGACTTCATGCGACGATTTCGGCCACTGAACTTCTTAAAAAGAAAAATCTCTACAGGAGATGAACTCTGCTCACCTGGTGTCGCAATCACAGACCAAGAAAAACTCGCTGATGGGAGTCGAAGTTGTAGTCAAATGATTGTCGGTTCAGAGGAATTATAAATATGTGAGCGAGTTATATTGCACGGCCAACGTAGCATTTCACACCTGAATGCAGGTGATCACGCGATGGTCATTCGGTAAGCCTTCGGTAGTGTTCGTTGACTTTACGGACTTTACGAACTGATTAGATTACCGTTCGTCGGGCAAGGTAATTTTCAGCAAATGATCATAAGCAAATACATATTTTCTGGTTTTCGAGGATTATTATAAACGATCACATATCAAGGGTCCCAGAAAAAAAATAACTAATCAGAGATATCCCAGTTTTAACAATTTCCTCCAGGAAAACGGATTTTTAAAAGTAATACTAAACACTTTTGTTAATGATTAGCTTGGACTGTGACAAAAGATATCGACTGAACTTTCGACCGATATAAGCAACTTCGTTCCCAGGGTCGTCTCATTTCCCACCTCGAGAAAGGAAGAGAGGGCCCTGATAACGAGGTTGTGATAAAAGCTGGCTACAGAAAAATGAGCAATGACTACCTTTGAACTTTTAGCGTTTTTAGTGGTGCCTTGTGTTTAAGTCATGCAATTTCTTTTTTTTTTCTTTTTTTTTCGGCGTCATTAATTTGTTGGCTTCCCCTAAGATGATGCTTATTATGTCGCACGACAGTGCACCGTTTCCGCTGGACCTCAGTATTGTCTAAGCGGTCTCACTTATGTCTGTTGTGGTTTCTCCATAAATAGACTTAGCGGATTATAAGAGGACAAAAAGTGAACTCACCATAATTTCAAGCTTCAACTGTAGTCTCAAAAGGACGAGAAATGTTTTGCATTCAGGAAGAAACAGTTCGGACGCAAGCAGGATGTCCCCCACTGATTAAAAGTAACTGTTCCTCATTCTGCGAAATAAAAATGAAACAAAAACTAAACATTCTGCAAGTTTCTTGAGAGACAATTTATCTTCGCATCAGTTTTAATCCCTGCAAAATATCTATGTTTTATTCTCGGCCTTCCTGTTTCCTCTCTAGTCTGGTAAAGATAGGGCATGGTGATAATATAATACCACACCCCACTGAATAGTGAATTGACTAAACGTGTGTCACTATCATTGAAAACAGTATACGTCTCTGTTGAAACAGGTCTGAAAATCTCAAGACTGGCGTGCTGTGGCTAAATTAAGATGGAGTCTTCCCTGTTTTCACTTTAAGGGTTTTAAAACATAATAGTTTTGCATGACGTATTTTCAAAAAAAAAAAAAAAAAAAACATGACCTCAAATTATTGCGACATCGGTAACATCTTTGTGAAATCCTCGGCTTAAATGCGGGATAACCGGCTCTGACTCCAAGACGCGAAAATTGATAACATAGTTTGCGCGTTTAACGGCCGAAAAAATTCATCGCATTTAGCTTAGTTACCTGTAAATACATTCAACTCCAATTCAATAATTTGCTAAAAAAGTGTTTTTTTCAGGTAGAATATGTGTTGTTGTTTACTCCTCATTCTATGTCTCTGATATCCTTCGTCTCGTCTGTAACTACTATCAAAGCACCTCAGCAAATGAATGAAAGCAAACTTTTTTGGAAACCGTTAATTGCTTTCGCTGCTTAATTTACACGCAGTTGCATGGCTAAGCCGATAGAATTCACCGCGATAGAGGATGAATTGCGCTCGAAAGAAATTTCCCCCAATAAACAATTAGCAATACCATTTATTGGCGTCTGTAATGAAAGCCCGAATTTACAGTACAGGATACTGAAGTACAAAAGAGTGTCAAAAGAATTTTTATTTTGTTTTGCGTAGAACACCCTTTGTACAAAGATTTCTTTAATGAACCGGAAAAAGAAAATTAAAATTTCCTCGCTGAAATATGCATTAACGACTAACTAGTTGAATTTTGTTTTTCCTTAGGGCAGTTTTTGCGTGGTTTTCAAATACGTGCTTGACACATATTAAAACTAACCACAGGATTACATTTTAAAGGAAGAACTGAAAGCTCCAATGTTATAGATATCATTTTATTGTTCATCCCACGTGCAAATGCAATTTTTGAGACCCTAAAGAAGTTGTTTGACCGTAGCGAACGTATAATATAGTGCCAAAGGTTATTCTTTTAACGCTTTCAAGCAACTTTCTATCAAATAACTACATTTCAGCAGACTGCAAAGAAAGCAATGGCAATTTTTGGACAATCTAAAGTTTCGATCAAATAATCTGAATAAAATCTTTAGCCGTACAGCGTTTTTTTATTTCGGATAAAGTCAGAATTTCGCGTTGTAATGATTAAAGATGACAATTTCCCCGCCGCTAAAGATTAAAAAAAGAACGAGATCACATGCATTTGCAACGAAAAGTGATATTCACTCCACTCGAAAATCGAAATTGATAAAACATGCGGATTTCAATAAGGATTTTCTGTAGCATTTTTAAAGATAAACAATTTTAGTTTCAGTTCAAAACGAACATTAAAATAATATGAAAGTAAAGGAAAAATAACATTCAAGCAAAACTGACGAATTCATATTGAAATGGAAGAGAAAAACAATCAAAATGAGACAGTATTCGTAAAGTTGGACATTCTCAATTCCAGGCGCTTACAGGCAAATCTTACTTTTAATTGCTTCAAGAAGATTATAAATTTGAATTCTACGTGAAGAAAATTGCGTACTTACGTGTACATTTTCTAAATCATTTTCACAGTTTGCCGTAACCCGAATGATCTGTAGTAATAATATGCTGTCGAAAAATGACAAAACTTGTACCTCAGACAAGTGTGCGCTGAAACTGGTATTCTTTTTGAATCGGCGCTGTCAGCGAAACCCGGAACTTGTGTTCATATAGCTGATTAAAACAATTTCACAGACATCAAGATCAGGTCTTTTAAAGACAGTAATTCCAAATAATTTACAACTCAAGAACAATGAGAGACGAGGATTTATGTTTGAGCGCTTTGACGTGGAAAACAAAAAAATAATAACACGTTCTTATGAAAACACACAAAGAAGCTGAATAATTTCGTTTTTCTGACAGGAAAAAGACAACGAAACACAGAGCTTCATAAATAAACCACTCTGCAATATTTACACGAGAGCTTCAGTTTCCTTAGCAAAACCAGATTGACGACGAAGAAAAGAAAGTGATTTTCTATTTTGAATAGCAGATTCTGTGAGACATAGATCGATATTGAGTAAAAAATGTGAAATACTCGAGTCTGAAGCTTAACAATATTTTTGCCCTTAGGGTCGAAAGGGTTTTGTGTTGATACAAATTGTATCAAAGCTATAACAATTCTGTATTTACAGAAACATTTCTGTTAGTCTACCAGGCTCTGTTTATTGAAATGCGTTTTTCAATGAGACAACATTCACAAAGGTGATAGTCATTTTAATCTCATGGTTTGTGAAAGGAGAGTGATTTACTCAGTTTGTCGCTGGAAAAATAAAGAGTCTTTTAGTCGAAGCAACAAAAACAAACAAATTTGGAAACAAAGCGAGGAAAGCTTGGGACAAGAAGAGCGATAGAAGAATTGATTTAAAGACAATTTTAAGAAAGTTACGCGCAATCGCAAAACCAAATAGACGATCTCAAATGCAAGCGAACCAACGAACTAATGGCGTCCTAACATAACGTAACGCAGAAACGCTTACACGAACACGTTTAAAAATGTAGGATTTCTCTCGCGAACAAAGTAACACATAAATTTACCCAGACCTGGACTTTAAAATTTAATTAGGCTGTCATTTTAATGTACAAACAAGTTATGGTCTCTATTAACGTCTTTTTTTGTTGTTGTTGTTGTTGCTCATTAAGATATATACAAGTGTTTGATTTTCTTCGGCTAGTATTCCGTGTCATGGTTGGTCTTTAAAAGAACTAAGCAGAGCACCTGCTTGTAGCGTTTATTCAGGGCTCGGCAACCGATTGAACTGAAATGTTACGTTAAAAAAAAAACTTGCTAAATTAATTGTCCCCACAGTAAAAGCAAATGTGCATTATATTCTTCCCAAGATTGCCGTTTCAGCAAATTCTTTGAAAGATGTATTTTTTTTTTTTTTTTTTGCAAATTCTTGTTATCCAAACATTATGTACTAAGGAAATTGTATTTTGTTTGATATTTACGATACTGCATTTCGCGCCATGAAAACACATTACCCATGATTCCCTACAACCTTCGAGGTGGTTCGTACCATAAAAGGAAAAGGGAAATATTAAAGAAGACAACTCTATACATCACCTAGGAAGAAAAGAGAGCTTACTGACAAAAGCACGATAAGAAAGACAAACACCTGTCTTTGCCCACCTTTGAAATATCTCTTTTGCTTCAGGGTGAAATATTAGCCGCTAAGTGTAAAATTGACAAACATCTCTCCTACTGCTCATCCAGCCGACGAAAAAGAAAAAAAAACGTTTTGTTATGTTAAATTCGTCGATATTTTGTCACAAATCCTCCGCAGCATTGTTACCGACCAAAAAAATTTGCACCAGGGTACAGCTGTAACACATTAGCACCTGGCGTTCAAAAATAGAAATATATGCTGCGCCGTAATCTCCTCCTTTGTTACAGCGGAATCCGACATGAACTTCAACAAAGTCTGTCATTTCGTTTATTGCGAATATTTAGATCAACACTGTTCTCAACGCACAACAAAGTTTTAGGCTAAAAATTTAATTTTCACTGAGCTTATGAATATTTTTTTTTAGTCCATCATAATTAACTGGTTGAGTTTGCTGTAAACACCACAATAAATTTGATTGGTCGGAAAAGGAAACTACAAATGGAAAGTGACAGAGTGGTGATTAATGCGGATTTATGCTGCACATCGAGTTTTTGTTTTAACATATGTCACCAAAAACGCACCAAAACCTCAGTATTTTTTCACGGCATGTGTCGGCCTCATTTCGATTCATTCAGCCAAATGAAGCTTTTGTTTACAGTAACTCTATCAAGGATCAATTCGTCTATGACAGTTATTTTCCTTCGTGTGGGGATATCCAGCAGATAAGCGCATCCACATTAATATACTAACCGCAAACAGAGGGAAAATAATTGCGATATTTGTAACCTAAACGTGGAAATCAATTAATTGAATGACGGAAAAAATCTTCTTTAGCACATTCCTCGTTTTGTCGTAATGCCACGGAAATTGTTTTGAAGAATATGATCAGTTGCTGCCCTATCAGGAGGGCGCTTGAATTTAAATGAGCTAAGTCTGTTGTCGATATCTTACAAAGACATCAAGATCTTAAACTTGAGATTGACAGCGAAAATATAACTTCAATTGTGAATTAACATGTACAGATCTAACCGCTAGATAAAATACTTACATTGCGGTCAAATGCGGCGGTTAAAAGCTTACCACTGCCATTTAGAAATTACATTTGGGTAACAACGACATAAAACCTCCCTGCCGGGCCATAAGCAAGTTATATTACGCTGAAATTTTGCTTCACTAAACCTTTTTTCCCACATTTTTATCATTTTTTTTAATTTCACCCGAATATGAAGGTTATGTTGTCTCTCAAATTGTCTTCCTGCATAAAGGCATCGTCTCCGGCTTCAAAATCAAAGGAGGATATATATTTTTTCGAAACAAAACCGCTAATGATCAAAAAGTATAAAAAAACCACTCATTTTAAAGAAAAAAGAAAAATATTAAATTACGTGCTAGTTTGAAGGTGAAAAGTGACGATTTGTAAACAGATCAGATGATGACAGCTGAGAGAAAATTTCAAAGATACAAAGGAAGACAAAAAATCTGTTTACCTTTGTAATAAGAAAAATAAGTGTTTCCTTTCAGAGAAGATCTCGCTGTAAAAATAATTGATGCTAGAGGTTTTCCTTGACGGGATCAGAGCCAGCGATGATTTCAAATGTGTTATTAAAATGCAGCAGTATTCAGTTCCAACCGGCTCACGAATTGTTCCGGAGTATGAAGGATACCAGGAAAAGCAAAAGGTATTAGCGAGTTGATACCGTACAACGAGTTGGAGACTGGGAGAGAGTGAAATCATGACAAAGGAGGAGAATTTGGGAGGTCTGGCGATAGCTAATCTTCAACCTTGTCCCCAGTAGCTTCTCGGTATTCAAAATTGATGGAAAGAGGTTGAGCTGTGTCGTTAAAACTCGACAACTTGCTCTGGTCTTAAAACAAATAAACAAACATCGAGTAACCAGGTCATAAATTTTGGTTTTATCAAATGATAATTTAAATTTGCCTTGTCAGAGAGTTTCTAAAGCCGAGATGCTTCGAGCGGTAGCTCTTCGTCATAGCGAGGTAGTCCAGCAAAAATGAGAGCTGCATATCTTAAAAAAAATCATCGATTTATTGGTGCTATTACGTTCATAATTTACTAAATGGTCCTTTCGCTGGATTAAAGTTTTTGATCTCTTAGTGATTTCAGGCCTTAAGCTCAGAAAATCACACAAAATAAGTAGAACTAATTAATGATACGATGTTTCCATTGGTGCAGTCTTTGAATGAGTGGCGAAAAACTAAAGTAACCACAGCGACCAATAAAATAAAGCTTTGCATTATCATTGGCCAATGAGAACTCACATTAAAATTACGCAAACTGCTTGAAGCGCGGGAAACGCAGGTGATCAAGTCACGAGTTTTCTGGACCAATCACATAACAAAGTTATGAAACACCGAGCAAGCCCGGATAACTTTCGACAATCAGTTGAATGCCAGTATTGCACTATCTAATGTTTGCACGTAAGCTGGTAAAATAAAAAATCCCATGTAATTTCTACCTTATTGTAAATAACTAAAAGTCATTTTACAATCTCACAAGATAAAATCAGGTTTACAATCGTGAGGCCCCCAATTCCTCAAAAGAGGACATTCCATTTTTACAACAAAATTTGATCGAGATATCATTTTTACAACTGACTTAATAGATAACTAAAACCGAACCCCCAAAGAAAATGAAACTTCTACCGTACTAAAGGCACGTATGCTTGTATCGCTAAACACGAATAACCGCGTCGTTCTGAAAACATCAATGGCTGGCCAAAATGGCCGGCTTCAATTAAGCTTGTTTCACATAACAACACAAGCTGTGGACTGCACGAGATCCTCATCCTCCACCACGTACTTTGTTGTTCTGAGTTTAGCTGGTGTTTGCTTCACGTGGTCAAACGCGCTACATAAAGAGAAAATAATTCCTTACAAAAGAACTGAAAACCTTAAAATTCTAATATGAGAACGGTTTTGTAAATTTAATCAGCGTTTTTTTCTGTTGAGTGTAGAGCAATTTTCAAACGAGTGTCGAAAGACATCTGGGATTGCGTTGGTTTTGCTTTACTTTGCGCATGATTGGTCCAGAGAAGAAGCACCATCTTATTAACCAATTAGATGCAAATCTAACACCAATCACGAATTGGTCATCCGTTTTTTCCCGCGCTTCGCTTGTTTTACTTTGAGTTCTCATTGGTTCTTCAGGGTTTTTTCCTGTGTTCTGATTGGTCGCTGTAATAACTCTTATTTTGCTTTCACGACACTCAATCGAAAAACGCTCAAAATATAAAATCAAGAGCTGCTACAGGTCTATTGCTTCACAAGAGGTTACAAGACGTACACAACCTTTCAACGTTCCGCAAGGTAACAATTACTAGTAAAACCGTAAACTTCTCCTTGAATAAATTAATTTGGCAGACACAGGAAGTTCCTACCTCCTAAGAGGAGACTCAACTGCATGGACACAAGACATTTCGGTCAGTTTGGGTCTAAGGCAACGCTTCTTGGCCGCCTCATTCGGCGAGAAGAGCTAAAAAAAACAGCAAGAACAAAATCCAAAAGTAATTCACCGAGGACTAACTCATAACAAGAAATCTGATGATATTAAAGATGAGTTGTTCAAAATGCACAAATGCTAGGTAACACATTTCATCTTGGTGGTAAAACAATTTTTTCTTTGACAAATCTCTTCGTTAAAAAACTAGCAGGTTAAATTTTGGGCAATGGAACAAGGAAACAAGCTGCCATATTTTTCCATCAAAAACTGTCGCCTTTGTAAATGTAGGTCCAATAAGGACCACAGAACGTAGAAACAACAAATAAACTTACATCGACTTCTAGATTCTCTTTCAAAGGAAATTTCCTCTTCTGTCCACGCGTCTTTATGCAGCTCTGCACAGCGCTTGCACCACCCTCAGTTTCTTTCATCTCTCCCGTTTCCCCGCAATATTTTTTTTTAAGTTCATCTGTGTTTGCACAATTGTTATTCGCCTTTTTATCATCTGCTGCACCATCAGTAATCAGCCACGGAGAGTTAATTACAGTCTCTTTACTTCGAGCTCGTGTTATCGGTGCGCTGCTTGGCGTTCTCCCATTCTTAGGCATTTTTCGAGCGCCTGGTTTTGTCGACCGAGAAGGCGTTGGCTTGTTCAGCAGCTCTTTCCTCAGGGGGTAAAGGCTGTCTTTGATGCATACTGCAGGACTGGCACAATCAGCAGCGGCCGAATCCTGCACATATGCGTGGAAATCATAAGCGATAAATTGTATGGGTCAAACAGAATTAAATACATGAAGAACCTAACAAAAAGCTTCCTTTTATCATTTGGCTTTATTGCACGATTCAATTATCACACGAAAGTAACCCATACCTAAGCTTTCCTTCTTTTGTTTAATCACAATGTGAAAACGAACATCATATCATCATCATCATCATCATTGTCATTCTCAGTTATCATTTTCATTATCATATCCCTATGTTTGTTACAATAGATAAATATCAGTATCTAAGTAAGTGCGCACCTACCCCTCCCCTTCGATTTTTGTAACCACCCGTCAACCATAGCCCGTGTATTCCACCACTTTCTTCCGTCAGCTCTCCCCTCCCCCTCCCCCTCCCCCAGACTTTCAGATTTGGCCATTTCATCACTGCCCCCTGGCTTGCTTTTCGAATGCACTTAATCATGGAAATCATCTCAAACCAAAAGAAATCATAAGGTTACGGTACCTGTCGGATGATACTTAATCCCAAACGCGCCTTTTTCGCCACGGATCGAGTCAAAGGAGTAGACCGCTTCGGAAGTTCGTAATCTTCTCTATTCGGCTTTCGTAAGGAGGCCCGGCAGCTCTTGAGGTCACTGCAGAAAATGAATATCGATTAACAATGTTTCCAAAAGAGAGGAATTTTTAATGAGTGTCGAGAGTAACTCGGGAAGCTTTGTTTTTACTTTACTTCACTTAGTTAAGAAAACTCGCGCCACACTTTCTGCCAATCAGAACAAAACTAGAAGAAATCACGACTTGTTACTTAGAGTTCTCATTTGCTGTTAAAGACATTTCCCCTTCTTATTGGCCGCGTTGCTTACTGTAGTTTTGGTTTTATGACACGCAAGCGAAAAGCGTTAGAATTCCCAAAAATTATTGCTCATGGATGGTCATATGAAAAGGGACTATTAGTATAGGTAATAACATGATTTCGAGTGCAGTTTGGTGTAAATACGCACGAGTAAATTTTTCAAAGACAACAAAATTGCACGAGCCCGTAGTCAAGACAGACGACATTTTGAAAGCATGCGCGCGCTCTTTGAAATTTGCACGCGTGCTACAACTTTGTACTCGTGTTACATGAAAATAAACTCGTTTTCAGCCAATCAGAAGCGCGTAATTTTTGCATGTTCATTTTCAGTGAGGGTTTGGTCCTCGCGGTAACGCTATTGTAATCTTTGCGCCTCACCTTATTGCATCGCGAATTGATCGAAACCACGTCATTGCTTCGGTTCTTGACTTGGAGAACAACAGCAGGGATTTATCTTTACAAGTTATCTGTCATAAAACGGAGATAATTTTGAGACCAAAGCAGTTCCTTACCATCAAAAACACCACGAATTCACCCTTTAAGAGTGACAAGCATTTAAATTCTCCTTACAAGATCCCCCTCGAATCAAACATTAAGGTCACAAGAATAAGGGAAATGATCACCAACCATTCACAAGCTCTTGATTGTTAAACAAATTCTCCCTGTTAGCACCTTAGGATTTGTGTAGAGAACAGTATGGAGAATATGCATACTGATGTCAGGTTGTAAAGGGTTAGGGTCCAGTAATTCCATCCTTCTGAACAAGTGCTATCTTTACAACGTACCTTAAACAGGGCTCCTGCACCGGCGTTTTCGTCGTTTTCAATCGTTCCACCCAAGACTTGTTCCAGTTCGCAGTCGATCAATGGTAAAACGCGACGGCATAAGTACGAGCTGTGAACAACACGCAAAAAACTTGTAAGACCTGTACTTCAAGTTTACGGAAAACATTTGCCCAACTACCAATTTTTGTGCGCTGTTTCAGCCGCTCAAAGTTCTCCACAAGTTTTCCTCCTTTTCTGAAACTTTTGGTTTGAAATGATACACGGTACTAAATTACCACCAGCAAAGAGTTGGAAAAAATCGTTTTCCGGGAGTCTCTTTTCGTTCTCTTTGTTGCATGAGCGAAAAACCTTTTTACAAATAAATTATACGCTAACACATGCGTTCTTTCATACCTCTGATCTTTATCCAGTGAGCCACTTTTCTTGGCATAGAGGAGGATGTCGGAAAAAAGAAAAAACATCCTCTCCTGTGACCCTCGGTTACACACCTGTCCGCACGTGACAGAAAAAAAACTCGTCGGCAAAAGTTTGGTAATCGCCATTTGCAAACCTTCTATTTTCGCCAAGGTTACATCTACTAGCTTTCCATCGCAAACGCTCTGACCCGATTGGCCACCCTACCCACCCTAGATTTTTGTCTTAAACTTTTCAACAAAAGCGCGCGTCATACATAAATTAACAAAAAAGATTTCAAAGAAACACACAGAAAGATAAAAGCATGAAATTTGAAGTAGAAAAAACAAGGAGGTCACGCCCGTCTACAAACACTTATTTTCTCAGAGCATTGGAAAGCGACATTTTGAACAGCTAACAAACACTTTACCTTCAAAAGTGGTCCTTCTTTGATAAAGAGCCGCCCTTAGAAAATAGAAAGAATTGAAGATGAAAACGACTCAGAGCAATTTAACTCTGAAATAATCGTATTAACTCTGTGGCAATAAGTTCACATCACATCACACTCTTTGCGCTAATTCCATTGTTACCTGGAGCAAGGATTTTCGGGGCTCCTTCCCCTGTCAATGAGTTCTGAATGGAGAGCATTTTCTGGAAGTTTTCCCTTTGTCGAATGTTCTCATTGATGTGATGTGCGACCTTGTTGATTTCAGTTGTAGCTTCTGAAACACATAATCAAAATGAAACTTTCTTCAGAGTCAAAAAATTTAATCTTTATTTGATACTGCTATTTTGTTATCCTTTAACGAAATGCTTACACTGCTGGCTAGACGTATATACATGTACCATACCTTGCAGTTTCTCAAAATCAGGATGGTCTTTTGGAGTTTTGTTCAGAAGACTCTCAAGTAATAGTTTGTACCTGAAAAAACAAATTTATATATAGAAATGAATTAAAGGGGGTAGTTTTCTTAGGAAACTATGGTGCCAAGTCAGTGTGACGCATTACAAGACAATTTAATTAACTTAATTGAGTTGATAATGAAAATTGGCCACCATAAAGAATTCCTAAAGCTGACAAAATGCTCAAAACATCAGCTGGAGGAACTCTTTACAGTGGTCAATTTAGATTATCAACTCAGTTGCTTAAACTGAATTATCTTATAATATAGAAACACGTAATTGGTGCATTGGGAAACTGGATGCACTTGAAGTTCACAAGCCACTCTTTATGTTTGCCACTGCTCCCTTAAAAAAAAAAAGAAAAAAAAACCGGTACTGCAAGTTGCTATAGTGTACAGTGGAGTTGGAAACTTGGTACAAAAGTGTATGTATCCCAACCTTGGAACTCGTTGCACTGGAGTTATCAGCAATGCTCCTAGATTCAGTCCCTTACATTCCTCATGCATTTCTTGCGCTTTCTTAAAATTTACAAACTCCTCACTCTTCTTTTCCCACTCCTAAAGAACAAAATGCATAAAAACACAAAAATCAACGGGTCATGTGATATAATTTTGCACAGGAAATAATTTTGGAGTTTGCCCAGTTACCATTAGCTTAACAAGAGAATCAGGGTCTAAACTTGACTTTTCTAAATAGGTGCAGAGTGGCTTAATATAACAACACATTTGTGTTTCAGTTGCCAGATGGAATGATTTGGTTGATAAAAAAGTCTGATTTGTACATTTGCAGCTAACAGAAAAATTCAAAAAGTGCAATTTTAACTCTATACACCCTAATATCAGTAAGCATATTATCCATACTGTTCTTTAACCCTTTAACTCCCAAAAGTGATTAACATAAAACTTCTCCCTACAATATCCATACATTTTTCAGTAAACAGGTAATCAGAATATTCAAACTTATCAGGTAGAAGCTACTATCTTGATCTAGCACCAAGTTCTCATAACTAATTTACAAGGAAATGTGTAGCAGCTACAGGGGAGAATTAACAATCAGATCTTGGGAGTTAAAGGGTTAATATACATTTCCTAAGGTGCTGACAGAGAACTTGTTTAACAGTCAAGATTTTCTTTCATTGGCAATCATTTCCTTTACCCTTGTGAATTTAATATTTGATTCAAGGGTGATATTGAAAGAAGAAATCCAGTGCTAGTCACTCCTAGGAGTTAGAGGATTTATGTCTACTAACTTGCTTTTGTTTTTTATTTACCTGCAGGGTAGCCTGTGCTTTAGCAAAATTGTTGGCATAGGTGCTGTAAAGTTTAATGAATGGTGCTAAGGCTAAAAAGGCATCTCCAAGGCCTGATGTTTCCATATGACTCAAGAGCTCCCTGTTCACTGCTTGAATTGACTCCACATTCGAGAAGATTGTGTTGAGTACATTTGGTGGCAAGATGCTTGCAACTTGCAGCGGTGCAAGAAATTGCTGGAATTTCAATTTATGACAGGATGAGATTGATCACTTACCCAATTATATAGAGTGTGTCTAATTGATTTATAAGAAGTACATTAAGAATTAAAGACTTAATCAAAACCATAACAAAATTCTTGACTGTGATTGGTTATCACCAGCCCAATTTGAGCACTAATAGGACAGTGTACATATCTTGCTTGTAATTGGACAGTGTTATGGGACAGTTAACACATCATGCCTGAGTAAATGGACAGTATGCGTCATGCGCACACGCCGTTAGTGTGTATTTTGCTGAGTAAACTGTTGTTCTTTTTTTACAAAAACATATGACTGATATCTCATTCTTTCTCAAATTTTATCATGTAGTAGTTTTGATTAATTGGTAAAAGGGCTTTGTGTTGTCCAATTCTGCCTGTATTCATACTTGTGATTAACAAATCAAACTCCTGCTTCACAGTGCATATCCCAATTTGTTATTACATACAGACTGAATTGGACTCCACTTGGTCCTATTACCATCATAAAGTAAGCCTTATGGTCCTATTAGTATCCCTCCAGAATAGCCTGCCACAAGATTAGTAGTCCAATAAAAGGTACAGTTTGATACTACCTATTTATACTCATGGATGGAGGAAAAAATCTGTTAGAGCTGAGGATCCATTAAAAAAAACAAACAAAAAAATCTGAGTGTCTCTTCACTGCGAGGAAGTTTGAGGCATTGAGTAAGGCAAGCTGGTCAGAGGTCTGCAAGGGAATCTGACACTCATTATCAAGGCCTCAAACTTACTTGCAGGTGAAGAAACACTTGTGCCTCAGCCCACATCCTCCCAAACAAAAAATAATGACCTGCTTGAAGGCTACCTCTAAGAGCACGGTTTTGAATTCATCCTTAACTTACTGATGTTATGGCATGCAAATGATCCTGATAGGTCTTTTCTGTGGAAAAAATCTCACTGATGACCTTTTTCCTCTTTCTGGCTAGAGTCTGACTGCGAAGCATGTGATTAAATTCAGCAGAAATTGCCTGACTTGTTTGTGACAGTTGAAGAGACAGGAACTTCTTGGCATTGTGTACTGTTACGTGGAGAAAGACGAACTCTTATCAGCTTTGATGACAGCATGAATTCTCCTCTCATTTCTACATATTTTGTATACACTAGCAATAGGAGAGCGATAAACATGGCAAGATCTACAATACACCGTTACCTAACTGCATCTCGCTGAGTGAGAGAGTAGAGATTCCACTAAGGTTGTAAAAACGACCAAGACGGCATTCCTTGGACTACTTTCACCCAAACGATCAGACTACATGATCACTTGTTACTTCTGGATTCAAACCATTTACTAAACTACCCAGTGAAATATTTGAACGAGTTCATTTACTGAACTAATTGACTTGGCTCTTCCAAGCATATACCGACACATGTAAAAGAGGTGTTCATAAAGTTTCAGGGTATATGTATTCGTGTACGTACGGCACCAAAAGCTGTTTATCCACACATTATGTGAGTAAATAAGATGACAAATTTCGGAAGTAATCAACCGAGAACAACCCTAAATCCGTTTCCTTCTCTGAAGAAATTTCAGATGGACTGATACGCAAACTCGACACTTGAAAACAATTGTGTATCAGAATGTATTTCAAATGGTTTCCAACTTCCGATCAACTTTCAGTGTTTTTCACGTGTAAGCAATAAAATAAATGGCCATTAAAATCCTTAAAAATCCCTAAAGTATCGATTATACATTTTTGGAATTGTAAACGTATGTAAGAAAACATGTGAAGGTCAATATATATAAGCTTAGTTGATTCAAAACTTACACTTTGGACGAAACGGACTTGCATTTCCATTAACCGTGGCCATGATTTCTGCAACACTCTTTCCAGCGCCTGCTTTACAATTGATAAAGACGGAAAAATCGACTTTTTGCACCTTTCCCGATTAAAAGAGATTTCAGAAACCAAAAATTGAGGAAACTCTACGGTAAACAACAACGAACATTCTAACGTTCAAACTTCCCACCCTCTGCTGAACGACAAATGACCTGGGTACTAAAGAACTCCGCTGGCCAGTGAAGTACAAGGTCTCATTAAGTTAGTCCAGTGCCCCTCCTCACGGTGTCCTATGCCCACGATCAATCTTTTTTCAATCCCTCTTTTACTTTCATCTACAATGAAAATCAGTGTCAATTGAAGAAATATATGCGCTCAATGCTAAAAAGCGAGAAAGACTTCCAAGACGAGTAATAACATTTCCTTACTTAGGCGTACGGTAAATAATTTGTCCCGCGAGTGGGCGACATTAGAGAGCAGCGCGCAGTTAGGGCCTTGACAGGAAGCGACAGTGGGTAGAAAAAATATTCTTTGGAATCGGGAGGAAAATAATATTTAAAGCCCCCGTACATCCTTCCTTTATGAAAGTGTAATGTATCGTCTAGGTTTTTCCACTGGATGGAACTTTTTGTCTTGTTTTTGTTCTACTCAAGGATGTGACCGGATGCTCTGCAGGAATAAAAATTAAGCTGGAAACTCTGATGCTTCTGGATCAACTAAGGTCACCCTCCCATCGAATTGGAAAGTCAGATGCTATTGTATCCTTTGATTTAACTGTCCACACCCTAACATGAGTTACTACTTCTCCATACTGTTCTCCTTTCATTTCCAATCGGCACCAACGAGAATTTTGTTACAAATCAAAAGCTTCTTTAGTTTGCAATAATTTCCTTAATTTGTTCTTGTGTTCAGAAGTAATGCTGTACGGGGAAATGAAAGACTAACTGCGCTTAAGGTTTGAAGGATTACGAATCACAGTTTTCCTGTTTCCAATATTCAAGGATAAAACCTTTATTTCATGACCTAACTCAAACTTGCCATCTCTCATAAACTATTTACACCGTTATGCTCTTTGCTTCTTACAAATTAAAAAATTTTCAAAAGAGCTACCCCGGGTATGCACTTGATATCAGGTCTCAGTATCCTCAAATTATAATATATAGATTTAGCCAAGCCTAAAAGCGGAGCTCGCTTTTTTTTTTCCCGCACGTCTCAAGGGCACAACGCCTTGTCCCGGCCAGGACTAGAACCGGGTCGCCCAACTCGGAGCCCAGTACACTGACCACTGGACTACTGAACAAAGCCGTGGCGTTGGCGTGCCCGCGGTACAGTTGAACACGCTTGTTAAAGTAGCACCTTGTGCGGTCGTACGGTCGTAGGGTCGTACATCCAAATTTTTTCGGCTTGATGGGTTACTACTATTTTGTATAATTATGGGGCTACGCACTGCGAGCTCCGCTATGATAAAACTAAATTCTGCACGCATTTTGTTTGATTCTTACTAATGACTTGATGGAGGACAGACGCAAACTAGATGACGTCGCCATAAACAACATCTTACTTTTTTATCATATAAAACAAATAGATTCCACGTTGTTGCATGCTGTACAGTAATCAATCACAGAAGGCGTAAAAATGCGGTAAGAACATGAGTGAAACACTCGGCTGCGCCTGTGTGCCACTGTTTCCTTCTTACCACATTTGATGTGACCTAAGATCTATAACTGAACAGAAAAACGGCAACATGGATTATTTTTTTAAAATATTAACTTACTGCCGCTGAAAATATTTAAGATAAATAAGTGAGGACAGACTGCACTATTTTAGTCTACATTTTTGCATGAAATGTCTGTTTTCAACTTAATCTTTCTTTCCAGTTTAGACCTTACTTGCAACAAAATAGACTTGACTAATAGCACTTGGAAGACAATTTCTGCACTTTGTGCCTACAAACACCTCACTGATGCCTGGGAAGTAAAATCACTAACATTCAAAATAATAGAAGCCTGAATGCTCATCGAACAAATGACATTTTGAAAATGAAAAAAAAAATTATAGAAGTGATCTTCATTCTGTAGTGAAGAGAAAAAAATAATTATTCTATTCTTTGATCTAGGAAACAAATTGTCTCAAATTTAGTTATTAGTGATCAATCAGTAAAGTTAGAGCATGCAAGGAGGACCTCATTATCAGTCCCATGGAACGATAGTTAATTCACCCGCAGTGAGGCCTTGAGTCAAAGTCAAGTCGCCCGAAGAAACAAATACAAAAAAGATCTGAATTCAGACTGTAAATAGGCAATAACGTTTAGAAACTTTTTTATCACTAAAGCGCTCTTTGTTTCCGACAACACCATGAAGATTCTTAAATCGTTGTTCGTTCCTGACAACAAAGGGAAACGTTGTTCGTTTCCAACAACAAAATGCAGCGTTGTTCGTTTGGTATGTAATCGTTTCTTACTCACGGACGTTTCGAAAGCTTGAGAAACTTTTTCTTGGTTTCTAACAATACCATGAAGACTTTGACTACACAGAAATCGATCGTATGATCGGAATTGAAATATGTTTGAGTAACGATTCTAAAAGCGTTGTTCGTTTCTAAAAACAAAGGGAAGCGTTCTCCGTTTCTGACAGAAAATGAAGCGTTGTTCGTTTGGTATGTACTCGTTTCTTACTCACGGACATTTCGTAAGCGTTGTTCGTTTCCATAAAAAAAATGCACGGATGCAGCGTAACATACAAGTAAAGTTCTGTTGTGTCTATTTGTGACTTTCTTAGCAATAACAGATGAAAACACCTGGTAAACGAATGTCGATTGTCGCGTTCGACAAGTCGATAAAAGGTAAAGCGAGTAACATACAAATTAAATTAACTTGTTGCCTTGCTTACCCCTGCCTTAAGGTAAGTGTGATATTTTTAAGATAACAGTCTATTGTTATGCTTGTGACTTTTATCACAGTAGTAGTCTGATAGCATCATTTCCCTTAGGATCAAAATAGGCAAAAATTACGTAGTTGTGCTCTGTTTCCTCTGGCGGTCGCATGTATATTTTGATCCGATCAAAGTATATATGAAGAGGGCAAAACTAGCTATAATACGAATACGAACTGATTCAATTGAACATTCATCCTTGCATTGAGTGTGATGATGAAGTTAGACCACGTCAACAAGCCCTACAGTGCGACGATTATGGGTCGATCATATGGCCTTTCTGACCATATGATCGATTTATGTGTAGTCAAAGTCCTTATGACTTTGTTAGAAACCAAGAAAAAGTTTCTCAAACTTACCAATTTTTTTGAGTAAGAAACGAGTACATAACAAACGAATAACGCTTCATTTTTTTGTTAGAAACGGAGAACGCTTCCCTTTGTTGTTAGAAACGAACAACGCTTTTAGAATCGTTACTCAAACATATTTCAATTCCGAGCATATCGATTTCTGGGTAGTCAAAGTCTTCGTGGTATTGTTAGAAACCAAGAAAGAGTTTCTCCAGCTTACGAAACGTCCGTGAGTAAGAAACGATTACACACCAAACGAAAAACGCTGCATTTTGTTGTTGGAAACGAACGTTTCCCTTTTGTTGTCAGGAACGAACAACGCTTTGAGAATCTTCCTGGTGTTGTCGGAAACAAAGAGCGCTTTGGTGATAAAAATTTCTCAACGTTATTGCCTATTTACTGTCTGAAATTCAGATCTTTTTGGTATTTGTTTCTTCGGGCGACTTGACTTTTTTTCGGGCGACATTACTAAAATTTCGGGCAACATGACTCAGGTTTCGGGCGACTTGACTGTAAACCCTGGTGATAACCAATTGCATTCGAGAATTTTATTATAGTTTTGATTAAGGTTTACATTCGACCAGCTGTAGAACTGCTGAAGCTCTACTAAAGCTCCACTGCATATCTTGCAAGCTTGGCAAAATTATCTTCTTACATATACAATGTAAATATATATCCTATTATATAGGAACAATTTTAATAATATTTATAATAACCTTGACAATATGTTAGTAAGAATGAGGCAAATACACTGTGCCTTACTGTACCTCATAATGTAAAAACAATAATAATAATAATAATAATAATAATAATAATAATTATGATAACAATGATAGCCTAGAAAATATTTTAGTATGAAAAAGGCTAAGGCACTGTACTTCATTTTAAATTAATAACTTATGAACAATAAGAGAAAAATAAAAAAGACTAGTAAAATAAATACAACTTGCTAAGTCATACTGTAAGGTCACACATTGGAGACGTCCACTCCAGGTATGTTCATTTGATTAAGCATATACTGTAGAAGCAGGTCATCTCAGTCAGCAATCAATTGTCAAAATAAGAAAGTCTTTGAATGTGAACTACTTGCCTCAGACACAACATACTTAAGAAGGCACATAGATTTTCATAAAATTATCTGCATCACAAGAAACTAATATTGTTGCTAACACTTGTCCCTATGGTATGTTGCAACCACTGAAATGGCAGTTGCAACCACTGAAATGGCAGTTGCAACCACTGAAATGGCAGTTGCAACCACTGAAATGGCAGTTGCAACCACTGAAATGGCAGTGCACCCTGACCTAAATTAAATTTTAATTTTGTTTTTGTTTATATTCGCTGTTTTTTTTTTCTATTTTTTTCCAACCTGACTAGAACAGATGCACACTATTCAAGTGGGAGCACCTGCCCCCTCAGCCATTCCTAAGACAAACTGTCCTATCTCTCTGTCACTTGGCCTCTCAGGCATTTCCCAGAGATCCTTTTTCCCATGAATCTTATCACGACAGAGTGGACAAGTCTCATTCACATCACTCCTGTTATGAGAAAATATAAATGATGTAGTTGAAAGTCTTGAGCATCCTAGATTGCGTAAAATCTTGAAAATTAACTCTCCACCCAAGCCAAGTGGCCTATCTGGCCAGACCATAATTTATTGTATTGTTTCTGTAGCATGAAGTCATTGAAAGTAATTGTGAGCCCCTCTCTCCCTCCCTCCCCCCTCCCCCCTTGCTAGCCCCCTTGTGAATTGGATGCTGGTCTGTTGCAAGGGAAACCTTCCAGCATTTTGTCATTCTTCCCTGACAATCCTCTAGAGACCAGCGTTTGATTAGCATGACTAGCCCAGGCTTAAATTTTTATCCAGGGTTCTTTATTCCTACATTTATATGCCTCTTTCAGATAATTTTCTCAGTCTATCCATTTTGGGATATCTAATCATCAAATTGTAGACAAAAGGAATGGTACTTAATTTTCTTTTAAAGCTTCCAAATCTGAAATCAGATTTCACACTAAACCTGAGTTACCTTAACCCTTTAACTCCCAGATCAAATTTGTAATCCTCCTTACTGTCAACCATACAATTCTTATAATGTTAGTTCAGAGAATTTTGTATTGGATCAATTGATTATCCCCAAATTGATATTTTCTTTATTCTTATTCTTTATCTGCTTGATATTGTATTGATACTGTAAGGAGAAATTCTGTCTTGGTCACCCATGGGAGTTAAAGGGTTAACCCAGCTTCAGACAAACTGGCCCAGGCTGGAGGGAGTCACTGTGAGAGTATTGTTCACCCTTTAACTCCCAGATCAAATTTGTAATTCTCCTTACTGTCAACCATACAATTTTCATAATGCTAATGCAGAGAATTTAGTATTGGATGAATGAATTATCCCCAAATTGATAATATTCTTTATTCTCGTCACTTATCTGGTTGATATTGTATCGATACTGTAAGGAGAAATTCTGTCTTGGACTTTTACATGATGGGCCCCCTCTAACAAATATTATGATCACCTTTTAAAGGTAGAAATGCAGTCTCCTGCCCAAGAAAAAATGCACAATGACCCACAGGTCTTTATCCTGAACCTCTTACCCTGAATCCACCATGTCTCTCCTCATAAAATCATAGCTACTTTAAAATCAATTTTTATCTGAATTTTTTTTCGCATTATCAAGTCTTACCATGTCTCAATACAAGTCTTGCAAAAGCAATGGACACAGGACAGGATAACTTCTGCTTTTTGATCCATACATATACAACACTCCTCCATGTTAGAATCCTCTGAGGCTACTTCATCCACTCTGTGGACAAAAAAGATGTGCAAAGTTAACTAAATTAAATTATCATACTTACAGTATGAAAATACTATAGATTGAAAGAGACCACAAGGAGAAGACAATTTGCCATAGAGTTCTTCGGGATGTATAAATTAAATTTTCCTATGCTTCCAATATACTAAATCTCAAACAGAAGAACTCTCTAAAATTTGCTGCTCCTCTAACCTGTAGCTTTTGGCTCAGTTGGTGGTAGCACCCAACTAATATCTGGGAGGCACAGTTCAAATCCTGTCAGAGCCTCAATTTTTCTTAGGACCATACACTGTGCACAGCTTTATTTGAATTCAATCCACACGTCAAATGAAATGTGCTTCATTACAAATAGATTCTTGAATCATTTCAAGTGCAGATTACCAAAAAAATGGCCAGTTGACAGCCAACCATCACTGCTCATGTGGCCTCTAAAGCTGTCTGCTATAATAAAACATTTTTGGATTTGTAGAGCCACTTCCATTTTCATAGCTGTCTGTATATTTTATGCTACCATCTACAGCCAGTTATGAAAAAAGTTATTGAAGACCTCATCAAGAAAACTGCACTTCAGGGGATGTTGGTGTGCTCTGTGATTCTTGACTGCATTGTGTACACTCCCCTTACAAAAAAGACTTGCCAATGTTATTTGAACTTAAACTTACACTATCGTTGAAACTCTCCTGGTCTTAGAATTAGCACTATAAGTTTCCTGTATTTTAAAAATTTCTGGACTTAAATCATACCTTGTAAATATCACTGATGCACAAAGAGATTCATGGATTTCCTCTAATTTTACTGAACATGTTTCATATGCCTACAAGGTAGTAATAGACATGGGAACTTTAAATAAAAAGTCATAAATAAAAATTGATACCACAATTTTTACTCTTTTACTTTTATGAAAGACCAAGACAGAATTTCTTCAGATAATACCAATATCAATCAGGGCATTATTAATTGATCAAATACCAAATTCTCTGAACTAACATGGCAGACAGTGAGGAGAATCATTAATAAGATCTTGGGATTGAAAGGATTAATATAGTTGCTCACTACAGTGAAATAGTTTTGTGCCTAAATGTATAACTTTGGATTGCACAATCATATTAGCTAAAAAAACTCAAAATTAACTATTACAGTCACCTCTTCGCTAATGGACACTCTAGTAAGCAGACAGTTCTGGTTATAGACCCTTCTTTACATTCCCGATCTTGTCTCTGAGTCAAACTCTGTATTTACACATTCCTGTAAGCGGCCAATATCTCATAAGCAGATGCACACACTCTTTAAAGCGACAATTGAATTTTTCTTTTGCTTACACTCTCTTGTAAGCAGACACCCCATGCATAATAATTGACTCCTAGCTGTGAAATTTGTCTTGAATTTGTAAATCAACAAAACATGACTTTTGACAGAGCAACAGAACAGAGGGGATCACTTTTGTCAAGGGAAAGCAAGCTGTCCATTTTACTTTTAACAAGAGTCAGGCATAAACTCTCCCTAAAGCTGATATCCGCCCTATTTTTTAAAATTCCTGAATGCAGACAGTTCTGCTGCTTACAAGAGAGTTGAATGTAAGTCATGCTTAGTTGATTGCTTTATACAGACAAAGCTCATCATACCTCTTCCCCAATAGGATCAATTTTCTGCCAGTCTTCATCCTCTTCACCATGCATGTGCCGCAGTTGCTTCGTGATATCTCTATACAACTTGCAAAACTGTCGAAGGTCCATAATTCTCTCACTGTCAACATTTGTGCTAGCAGAATCAATCTGTATATTGGATAAAATGAATTTGATTTCAGTCATGTGCATGTAAGCTTGAATTTCTGATAACAAATCTTTATTTAGACTTGTGTAGCCTGTAATGATATTGGTCTATGTTCTTGTGAGCTAGTGCAAAATATTCTAATAGAGTGTTGATGCCATGATACTTTCTCCTTGGTATACTTTTTCACTTGCGGCAAGCTTTCTGTGATCTTAACAACCAAATACAGTGGCTATAACTGTCACACCTAATTAGAATGTTTTGCACCAGCTCTACAGAATATGAGTCTGAAATATTGGTTGCTAAAAGAACGTTAAGTTCCATCATTCCCCTTGGGCAGACTAAAATTAACTTTTCTATTCTGTAGCCAATTGGCAAAAACAAATTTTTTGCCCTATTTATGGAGAGGAACAATGTGTTCTCCAAAGAGTCGAATTCTTTGGATTTATGGCTAACAACCAAACTAAGAAGTTCCAAAGTCATAAAAATGTTTCTTTGCTTATAGCATAAAGAGGCCCTCCTCCCCCTCAACCAAAAATAAGCATATTTTCTACTTGAGCACTGGTTTTCAAGAAGAACATTGAGATGGCAACTTTGATTCAAGTTCTAGTCACCAAAAGTCAATTATTAGTAACACTAATGGCAAGATGGTCATAGATTCAGACCCTAATGACTTACTACAAGTAACTTGGCGTGAAAGGTTGGGTTTTACCAAACATATAGCACTGACACCACTCACCTTATAACAAACTATCCTTGTTGTAGCTTTCCATAGATATGGAGAATATTCTTCTGATGGTTCCTTTATAGCAAACATGATGCAATGCCCTCTGCCCTCTGCAAACTTTCCGAGTCTGAAGAGAAATCAAATGTGCAATTAATCGTCAAGTGACGGCTTTGTATTTAGAGAAAATAAATTACTGTGAGACCTATCTAAAGTGCACGCCATATTGGGTACACACCCTTCATAATGCAGATACAGGTGAAGGCTTATGCTTGATAAAGGTTTCACTGCCTGCATTCTTTGTATGCAGAATTATTCAGCAGTGTCATGGGTAAGCTCTACTTAACAAATAGATGCCATGTTGCTGTGCATCTGTTCAGTAATACATCACCGATGATGTCAAAATGTCCTAAGAACAAAAAAGTGGCATACAAGGCATAGCTGAGTATATCACTGATGTTCTTAACCCTTTAACTCCCAAGATTTCATTAGTAATTCTCCTTACTGTCTGCCATACAATTCAAGTGCTGTTAGTTTGGAGAATTTGGAATTGGATCAACCAATAATCCCCTAATTGATATTTTACTTATTCTCATTACTTGTCTGCTTGATATTGTACTGATGGTGTAAGGAGAAATTCTGTCTAGGTCACTGGTGGAAATTAAATGTTTTAACCCATTGACTCCTACGTGTAACACGTGCCTACCCAAAAGTTAAAATTTTGGAGAAACCGGAAAAGTAAACACAATGCGCAGTAAAGTTTGACAAATCTTTTTTTCCCAAAAACAAGCTCACGTGAAAGAAGACCATTTAAATAACTTACTATCAACGAGGAAAGCAATAGATGCATATTAAGTTTTTACTCTAAAATCAAGATAAAAGATAAAAATCAGTAAATTTTTGCGCACGTGTGCAAAAAAAGTATGCGGATCGGATTTCAAAGTGAATATGCAAATTCATCAGTGTGTGGAGAGATCTCATGTTACATGGAAATTATAAATGAGGAGAAAGACAAAACTGACCAAGGAACGTTTCGGGAAGAAAGCTTTATTCAAAACAGTTCTTGATTTTCTGTTAGAACCGAAAAACGTACGAATTTCTTACGTGTGCGAACCCACGAAGTAGAATTCATCATGCTTAGATCGATGTTTACTTGACTTCACGGCTAGAATATTGCGCAGCGTTGTGTTGAAAATACTGAAAGTTCTACGTTTTAACACAAAATCTTCAATTAAACAATACTTTTTGGACATCTCATTACTCAAACGTGATATTTACCGTGCCTTTGAATCTTCATAATGTCTCTAGGCCTCGCTTGAAGTCCGATAGTTTGGTTTTCGCTTTACGGCCCTAATTCGCATCGCTTTAGAGAATTGTAGTGTTGTCGACTCGAAAGCTTATTTTGTCGCCTTTAAGACCGTGATGTCCATTATTTTTCGAGCAGATTATTCTATAGCATTTTTCCTTTTCATTCTGTGTTCCAGAAGGTCTAAAGTGGTGGGAAAGGAACAGAAAATCCGACTTGAAAATATTGAAAGTCGGCCGCGCGTACGCCATTTCTTTGTAGTTGATCATTTCTTGTGAACGCATAAAATGACGCCTCTGTACTACCCCCTAAAGTTATCAAAATAACTGCGCAAAAAACGGATTCTGATTGGTTTATAGACCCTCTAACAACAGAGGAAGTTTGGAGACAAAATTTTGCTTAGTAGGGGAGATAGGGGGGAAAGCGTCTCTCGCGCAAGTCCCCCACGCGGCACGGGCGGTTACGGGCGGTTCAGGTGTCAATGGGTTAAATAACAAAGAATCAAAAAATTGTTAATGGTAATGTCACCTATGCATCTATACTCCAATAGATCTTAGGTAAGAACCAATCAAAAATAATGCATAATTCAGCTTATTATATAGATGTAATTTTTGTAACTAAAATGTTGTTACAAATCAAGTTTCACTTGTTTGTGTTTCAGAACTTTAGCTGTTACAATAACATACAATTTTTTGTAACAGAATTGCGATTTATTGAAATAGCAAGTTGAAATAGAGTACAATGCACGATAAGCTGAATTTCTAACTTTGCTTTGTCTTTGAATGGATCAATCCAAATTTAGAGTTGTCTTGACTCTAATTGATACAAAGGAAGTGGGCCACACGATTGGACTAATTATCTGCGATAAGCGTGAGCCGCAGAACAAAACAACAAATCAAGTTCAAATGAATTTTTGACCTTTGATTTATTTTTGTAATACAGCTCTAACGTGACTTGGACAAACGCATAGAAACTAAGTAAAAAAAAAAACCACACACACACACACACACACACAGACACGAATCTTGGGGTTGTAAGTCGAAGTTTCTTTACTTTTAAAGAGCGATTAATCGAAAATTGCTAACACAAAACGGAACAACTAAAGTTGCAATAACACACGAATCTAATTAAACGTCGCATTGCAAACTGACACTTAAGCACGAGTATAGATTAAATTATTCCCGTTAGTAAGTGTACTTACGTCTTATTTAGATGTACTACGGCATCTAGAGAAAGGAAAGAAAAATTAGTGTGTGCTTGAGTTATTATGAAACCCTGCGAAATTCAGTAACATAAACTATCGAAACTAAAAAGTGTAAATAAAATCTAGACCTTCACTGCCGCTTACTTTCAAGACTTTCGTGGTTGAGAACCGCGAGATCTTTCAAAACAACAGCATGATCGTGCAACACTTTGAGCGCGAAACTATACTGTTGACCCATTGCTACAAAGAAAGTGCGTATAAATACTCAGTAACTATCAGGAAATGGAGAAAAGAACGGTTGACGCCGGAAGGACATGTTGGATCGAATGAAGATGAATGAAATTCATTATTTGTCAGCGGTTTGTCGTTGATAGCATGCGCAAAAGGTAAAACAGGAAAATGAATTTAATGGAGCTTGGGACGAAAATGCATACGTGACATCAATTAATGCCGGGAGACGCCGGAAGATGAAAAAAAAAAGTCTGTTCGCTTCCATGACTTTTTCAAAGTAAACAGGAACAAGAAACTAGCCAGACTCAACCACTAAAACACGTGGATGCGGCCCAAGTGTCTGGGAAGCAAGCAGATATTTACACCGGCCTCCCGCAATGTACAAAGTTTTCAGACAAATGAATAAAGGGTAAGTTTCTAAAGAAACTGTGGTGCTGCGTCGGTGGGAGAGTATAGCAGGTAATTAAGTGTTAACAACTGGGTTGAAAACGTAAATTAGCCACCGTAAAGGGTAAAAAAGCTGACGTTTCGAGCGTTAGCCCTTCGTCAGAGCGATTAGAGGAATTTGTCTGAAGTTAAGGTTTAAGTTTAACACGGTATAATTTTATTGGTAAACTGTTGAAAATCCTGGTAATTTTACCCTGTTTAATGAAGAGAAGAGAGACTTATATTGAGGGGGTTATGGTCAAGTTATTGGAAATAGGTTTGTTTGACAAAATACATCTGATTCGCGTGGTTCTGGACTAGGAAGATCGGTTTCATGGCCCGGGGGGACACGCCACACCCGAACTAAATTGATTCAGAGAGCCCTTAGGTCAAGCAAGCCAAACTCAAGTCACTTAATGTTTTTTACCTACGTACTTTTCAAGCTGATCATCGTGTTCACTGTCATTCATTAATCTAGGGTCTCGGCACAGCTTAATGTGGACGAAAACGGAAAATATTTTAGGAAAAAATTCAATATTGAGATTTGTTCTGAAGCGGTTAATCAGGACAACTATTCAGTAACGTCCGTGGGTGTAGTCCTGTGTTATTGTATCACTGTTTCCGTTGTTCTCTCTTATACTCGTCCGTGGGAGTATCGGGAAAAAAACCCTTTTAATTAACCCTTAAACTCCCAAGATCTGATTGTTAATTCTCCCCTCTTGCTGTTACACATTTTCTTGTTAATTCGTAACAAGAATTTGGTGTTGGATCAAGACAACAACTTCAACTCATGATAAGTTTGGGTATTCTTGTTACCTGTTTGTTGGACAATATATGGATATTATAGGGAGAAGTTACATGTTAATCACTCCTGGGAATTAAAGGGTTAATAAAGGAACTCCCTTAAAGGTCTCCTGTACATGAGAACAAGTTTAAATATAGGCCCAGTTGTTCGAAGGCCGTTACCGCTGACCTAAGGATAATATTTTATTCCGGGTTTCTTTATTTCTCCATTCAGGGGCTTTTTTCAGACAATCCTTTTCAGAGCATCCGATAATCAAATTGTAGAAAACAAAATTCAATTTAATTTTCTTGTACAGCTTTCAAATCTGAAGAAAGAAAATTTCACACTTATCTTGGGTTATCTTGACTCAGCAGTGAACAACCCAGCGATGTTTGCGTGTCGGATTCTCGTGGAACTGTATCCGGCGGAATTTGTAAAACTCAACTGTTTAGTTTCCGATCCGCTTGTTCTGAAGTTTTCTTTCTCAGTCTAAAATTAACAAAAAGAAAAAAGAAAACTTGAATAATTGATAGACAACAGTTCTTGTACAAAGATATCTTTCATTTTGTTTTGCTATGTTTAAATTGTGCGGCTGTCAAAGTGAGGCGTGAGTGGGCTTTCAGAAAGAATAACGTCACTGATGGATGACTCATTCTCGGACACAGTGAGAGAGAGTGGGCTCTACGCAAATATGACGTCAATCGGATGTTACCATAACAGTTTGAACTTCCGTTTCAACTATAATACAACCTTACATCCTTTAAAAGAAATACCAATAAACCCGTTTGTCTTATCATTTTGATTATGCGTGGTCCAACCCTGTTGACTCCCCGAGCCCCCACATTTCGGATATTGACAAGTGGTACTGCATTTGGTAAATTACTAATAACGATTCTATTCAACTGCTATCAAATTATTAAGTAAGGGGCATACCTTTTTTGTCTGCGGTTAATAAGCGAAACGTTTGACTCCTGATGGTTAGCTTACCTTGCAGCTGACGTCTGATCAAGGCGGAAGAGCTCCCAATAACAATCATAGCAGAGCCTTGAGGGTTGCTTTGACCTACGATCTAAAAGAAAACATACGCGCGCTTCAGCACGCGTTGAACTGGAATTGACCACGATACGGCAGAGGTAAGAATGAAAGGCAGTTGAGACAGAAACAGTGCTCACGATTACTAACGATATGCTACAATCAGTTACTTGTTTTGTTATCCGTAGTGAGCCAAGGTATCTAAACGAAGAGATTATAAATTTTTTTTTTTCGCTCATGCTATTCGAAAGATCTCGCTTGTATCATCTAAATTTAAGCCTTAGTTGATTCTGCCGTGTGTCAGTCGAGGTTTTCTAATCGCCGGATCGGTTTTTTAACTCTATTCTCCTGAATATTGTCTGAAATATTCAATAATGTATCGACACTTCAACAACGGAATTGCAGGGCTCCTTTCATCTCTTCGAAAACGGAATTTGAAACTCCTACAATGTTAACCGTTTAGCGCTTTGGGATTCAACAGTCAAATTTCTTAGTTGGGCTATATGCTATTCCGGTCAATTTTTAATTTCTTATCCCAAAGGAAATTCTTAAACACGGTGACTATCCAGTCATAAAATTACCTATTTATTATGCAAGGTTAAATTTAGGAAGAGCGCAGTATTACGACATCGATCCCAAACAAGTCGCGTGAGGTAATATTGAATCATATGACCACTGAATGGAACCGGGCTGATTCCTTCTTAAAACCGATCACGCTCGTTTTGAATATGTAATGAACTAAAATGGTACACATCTTGACGACAAAGGATACAAAATCGTGCCCCAAATCAAAGATATCCTAGCTTTATTTACCCAATATGTATTGCAGTCGGTGTGTTTATCAGGATATTTGGCGGCTTAAATAACCAGATTAAGACAGAAAAATGACAGAGAAGCGGGTATATTGTGAAATGTTTAAACGTTTCCGCGCACGTTGTCTTTAATATAAGTTGTTGTAACGTCATAGGAGCAATCTTGAGTGACAGTAACAAAAATTACATCGTTAAAAGCTGCTTCTTACTTTTACAGAGTAAGATGGCAAGCTATTTGTTGAAAATAATTCCCTCCCTCCTGTTCTTTTTTTGCGTCCCGTGGTAAGTCTCAAATTCCTTGTTGACTGATTAAGTAAATCACATGTCAGCGAAACACGATTTAACATTATCTTTCGCCAGCACAACGCAATGCTCAATTGCACGCAACAAATAATAATGGGTAATCTTCAACGAGATATACTGCCAATACATCCTTGGAATCCGGAATCAAAGTGACTTGCTTCTCCAACAGATATATCCTTGCGGTATTTTGTCTGCTAAGAAGAAAGAAATCTTTTGGAGAAATTGCAGTACATGAAGTGAAATCTATGGCGTAAGCTGGCGAACTATAATACACTGCTCAATGACATCTTACTGTCGACCCCAAAGTTGATTGCATCACACCATTTCGTGTGTTAATGACATTCGAAACTATGGTTATAGACCACTGGTGTCTGTTTTCCATTTTAAATTTTCTTTATCACCTGCATTTATTTTCTCTAGCGAAAGACATAATAGCAGGTGCTCTGACGAAATATGAACCGCTCTGACAGAATTATGTTAACAATGATGACTTGGTGTTATTTATCTTTTCGATAATTATTTTGAAAGAAGTCGGTTATCACAGAAATGCGATTATGACTGATAAATTTCACTATCTCTGAGCTTAAGCCGTTTCAAGTTTGCCAGAGAAACATATTTGCCTCGATTTAATACGACGAAAAGACGTAGATAAGTGATATCAATCCGTTGTTGTGGTTTCTTGGGTTTAAATACTTCCTATTTTCAGCGCGTTCAACGCGTAAGACCTATTGACGTTAAGTTCAATGTTTGATATTTTACCTGCGGTTGTCAGAAGCTGACAAGAGTTATTGGTATAAGAGGATTTGGTTGGCCAGTAAAAACGTATGTTTGCATTGGCGGGGAAACCGCTTTTTAATGCCTACGCCACAGACGATAACATCGTACATTTATGTAGAACTCTGACAGTGGAAGAGGTCGGCACTCTGCATGAACGAAAATTATACCAATGCGGTTTGAAATTCTCAGTTGTTATTGGTGCACATGCGTTTTCATTTGATCGTGCATAAAATTCCCTCCTTTTCATTACGACATTACTGTCTCTTTCCACAGTCACAGTGATCATACGACGTCCAAACATTAACTGGATTTCAAGGGACTCATATTTTAACCTAAATAAAGTCTTGGTTCTGCAACTGTTCCAGGGTTGTTCTTCAGTGTCAAAAATGATTTCAGCTGTTGCAGATTCATGTTCTGTTCGTTTGGACAAAGCGAATGGAAAAGTCTACAAATTTCATGCACTTGTTTTCAACCAAGGTAAGTTTGCATTTAGCTTGCTTTAATTTTTTTTTTCCTTTCTATATATATCTCGGCGGTAAAACATCTAATGAAGCCTGCAGGCATTTACCTTTGGAGACCGATATCATATCTGCACAACTTCAAAATACATTGTCTTTTTATCTTTTATTTTAACATGTATTCTGTGTCGCTAAAGCCATAGAACAAGGCATAAGCAATCATGGTGGCATGTTCCCTCAATTTTTAAGGAATTCATCGCGAATCCGTGGTGATCACAAATAATGAAGACCACAATACCGTCAATTCTTTCAACTGACGAACAGCTGAGGAAAAATTAATCAGTCTTGGGCTTCCTCTAATGGCTTCGAATTGTTTATGAGTTTTCTTAGGAACTTCGTAGGGAAGTGTTCCCAAGTAATTTCTCAGAAATTAGCACAAAACATAGTTTTTAAAGAGAAGCAGTTCGTGAACTCAATTTCTTGTTATCAATTTTTAATGCGTCGGGAAGGCATCCCCTATCGTCAGGAACAAAAAGAGATCTTAATTGAAAAACTGTTTTGAGTTTGAGAAGAACCTCAACTTGCTATGAATCAGGAAAACCTTCTTATTCCAAGATTTCAATAAAATAGAAATAAACGGGTTTTTAATCATGTTATGCAAAGATAGACACTAGTGAAAGTCATATAAAAGTGCAAACTGGAAAAGAAAATATAAAAATGCGATACGAATTTTAACTTAGAGAGGATGAATTATTTACTAGTACTTACGACTAATTTTCTGTCACTACGACACGCAAGAAAATCAACGATTCCCTGTAAGCACTTCTATGTATTTTTTTCCCTGTATATCATATTATTTTATAACTATTATCAAGAAGAGGAATTGAAAAGACAGTAAGTATAAAGCACAGTATTTCACTCACATGTAGAACGTGTGTGGTGTTACAGGTAAACTTTAACGTAAAACGGCTGTAAAGCTTCGTAATTTCGTACGCAAAATCTGAGCAGAATTTGTCCAAGTGTGTTTCTAAACTTTACACCTGTCACAAAGAACGTTATTCTTTATGCTGCTTCCAAGTCGAATTGAATTTATTCAACGATATTCTTTTAAACTGACCAGCTTGTGTCCGACACTTCTTTTTAATTTGTGAGAACTTAGTGTACACGAGAGAAATACAAAGTCTTGCTCGAAGTTATTTCTTGAGCGCATCCAGAATGATTATCTTTACACTCTGTTAACTTTAATAAAACAAAATTCTGTGTCTCATTTTCTCGTTCGCATGTACTAATAGGTTTTTTTTTTTTTTCTGCCGGATATTTCGTTCCACTTCTTTCAATATAAACGCCAAATATTTCATCTTGACTTCAAATAAATTTAGTCTACTGCTCGATTTCATATGTCTTTGGTTTGTCGACACATGCATTTCAAACATGACATATTCATTTCCTCGTGCTGCGCTATCAAAATAAGTGATCATGGCTTATAGATATTGGCTTTTTGCGCTTTACTTGAGAGACAGAAACACCCGGCATAAAAGCGACAACTGCCTAAGGCAATAGCTCTCTCTATCAAACGACCCGAAACTCAGTTACGATTAATTGATGATGCCTACTTAGAATGCCAGCTTTTAAGCTCTAGCGTCAATCCTTTTTCAATAAAATTTGAATTTGTGATTTGAACTGTGAATTTATTTCAGCGAGTGAATCGTAACCGACATAATATGACAACTAAAGGAATATCTGATTAACATTTTTCGAGGGTCAAATCAATCAAAAGTAAGAGAAAGCTAGATCCAACGAGATACAGACTACGAGATTTCATGATCTCTTCTTCAAACTTAAATGCTCTTTTTCATCTATTAACGCGAACTTTTGCTTTCCCTTCAGATGCTCAAGGAAATAATAAAGGGGCATACCTCGACCGGAAAAAGGAAAATCCCTCCGGACCAGCGACGAGGTATGCGCGGAAGAATGTGGGAAGATACTTGGATGACTAAGAGAACAAAAGCTAGCCAGGTGTACCGCGAGGACCGGGGTTATTTTCATTCATCTCCCACAACCCTAGCTAGTCGAAACTTAGCGGATTCTTGGGTATCATGAGTTTCCCGTACCTACATCTCGAATTTGAACTCCACAATCCCTACCATGGATGCGAAAACCCACCTTTTTAAATTATGTCTCGAACCTGTTGGAGACAGGAAGTTAGAGTAAAATTTAAGCCAACAAAAACAATGAAAAGGAGTTTAATTTTCTCTTGGAATAGCTTGTTATTGATAAAGATTTATTAGCACTAAGACGTGCAGAATTAATTAAAATCATGGAGAAAAGTGGAAGGAAGGATGCGAATTTTAAATTCATTCCCCTGCTGCGATTGCGCAATTACTGCAGCAACTGCTAAGCAAGGCGTCGTTTCGTTTATTAAAACAATGGAGTTGATTTTCGCATTGGCCCGACTCAGAGTCATTTTAGCCTGAGCCGCTAAGAAAGGGTTAAAATGACTCTGAGCAGTGCACAAAACATATTTATGCCCAAGAATAGAAACTGTATTACTATTATTATTACTTTGGAGCCGGGCATTGAAAAAACTAGTAGATGACAGCAAAAGAGCCTGAACAAACCCCTTCTTTCCATTTTAGCCCCAAATGCGCCCCAATGCCCGTCAAAGTAATAATGATTATTGATTTCTGCATGATGTTGACATTTTTCGCAGCTGATCAGTAGTACCCAAAACATTTCCGATCTCTTTCTGAAAAAGTCCTAAAACGCTCGTTTCTGTGTCATTTTATTTGAAGGAGTATACTCTCCCAGCAGCCAAAGACAGAATGGAAATGCGCATACAACGAACTTTTAAGCGGAAGAAAAGATATGCAGAGACAAAACGACGACCCTTTGTCTGGTCCAATTAGGAAAAAATCCAAACCGTCTGAAGACTCGACAGATGAACCTGATCATGAAACGAAGACAGAGAGACAAAGAGTGCGTTTCAAAGGAGTTGATGATTCTGAGACGGAGACTTCAACGTGTCCAGCCTGTAAACAAATCATCGTCAAGGAAACAGAAGAATACGACTCCCTCATGGAAAAATCGGTAACTATGGTAACATTTTTCATGATCAGAGTGGTTTGGAAGTGTGGTCGTATGCTCAATCTTTCTTTGTTCTCAGGCCTCTCCGTTTTGTCGCAATTACCTCGTTTTCAGGCATCAGCGAGCTGTCGGAACCCATTTACTTGACCGTGGGAATTGTCCGTGAGGGCCTGAGACGAGCCTTACAGGAACCAGGCAAAATGTCGATCGTTAGACGTAAAAACTGAGAAACTTTGAGAAGTTGTAGAAAGTAAACGCAGAACCGCTAAAAACAAATGTAATCTGAATACAGTGAGATCAATCAACATGACCATCATCGTGTCATGAAAGAATTTGATCGTAAAAGCGCTACAGAGGTGTTATAGAGATTTAAGGATAGAAAACTGAGTGGATTTTCAACCTGCTGACCTTAACCAGTGCTCAACCTGATGTCTCTTCATTTCACGTTTAGAAAGAAGACCTGGTAGCCATGGTGATGAATCTCAGCTTAAATCTACAAAACAGAAGACGAAAACTTGGATACTGTCCATCTGAAAAAGACATCGCTGAACTGTAAGCAACATTTCAAAGAGTAGATATTGCTTTATACGAATATGGCACCAAACCTTTTCTGTGAAGTGGTTTGCCCTTTGCTATTTTGGGGGACTCTGCTGCTAAACTATTAGCTGTCAGTTTCGTTTGCACTATGAAGAGTCGAGCGGCGAAGACATGAGAGGTCTGAGACGTAGAATAGAGAAGTTTCTCTGTTTGAGGCTCTCCTGTTCGTTTTCTCAGCCCTACCGCGTTTATTTCATAAACGAAAACACGCCGGCCGCACAGGCTGAATACCTTCTCTTAGTCAGGGAAAAGGTCCGCGGCGTGAGAACGTGGCGCAAGATTCTCAGACCAGTCACAAAGCGAAGTGCAGCAAAGCCAATACAATTCAAGCTTTCTCCCTACACACGCTTGAAATTATTCCAGTTATGTTCATCTGTTGTGACCCTTTTTTTTACTCCTAGCAGAAAGCAGTTGAACATCAGCAAAACAGAACAAACAGCTCCTAAAACAAGGCCAACAAGAACAAGACGCCGGTCTTCTTCCAGAAAGAGATTAACATCTGTATGAACAGAATTATTGCTATGATCGAGGAAATAATGGACAAGAGGAGAAAGACCCTGAGAAAGTAATGTATGAAAATTTGGAGAAATTAGATATGGACTCATGGAACCTAACGAAGAACTTTTAATAAAGAACTTTTAATTTATTAAATTAAGGAATTTTTCAATTCGTAAATTGTATGAAAGCTCCAAGCTAAAAAAAAGAAAAAGTTAAAAGTACGCAGAGAGATTTCGTCTTTCAAATTAACCACTAGTGTGATGTTAGTTAAGTAGAAAGAGACTAACTTAGTCATAGTAGTATGCATTTAGAGTATGATTCCTTGAAAGGACGTGAGTTGCACAAAAAGAGCAGAAAAAAAAGTTTACCTTAGAGATGTCTTGGGAATATGCCGTGTATGTATCCTAGCATGGCATATACACAGCAATTACCGCTGTCCAATAACAATAAAAATGAAAGAGCCAATCAGAAATAGAGGCTTTGCCCGCCAAACGGTTAAAAGCAAGGCAGATGACTTTTCGAGATGAGCAAGGCCAGGCTTGGCTTCACCTCGCATTCGTTTAAATTAAGAAATAATAGAGAGATTATTAGATTATTAATATTTATTGCACGAGTTCTTTAGAACTTATATACATTTTGTGCACGGAAAGCCACCAACAACTTAAATTAATGATAATGGTTTTCATGTATACGAATTGTACAAAGTAGCATGGTCCAACTTTCGAAAACAAAATGGGACATACACGGAAAAATTTATTAGACTATGATAGTCCATCAATATCATAAACTAAGAGAAGGAGCAATAAAATTCTCTTATAAGTTTACATTGTGAAGAAAACGTATTTATATTACCAGCCTGTTTAGTTGCCAGTTTTGTTTGTGCTATAAAGAGTCGAGCGGCGAAGACATGAGGCCTGGGACGTAGAGTAATGAAGTTAGTTCCTCGATTAAAGGCTCCCCTGCTCGTTTTCTCGGCCCTATCGCGTTTATTTCATCGAGCGCCTTAAAAAAAGGATAAAAAATAAAACAACACGCCATCCGCACAGGCTTTTAAAACGCTCTCACTGGATGCGTATTCAGGGGATAGGTCCTCGGATCCAGCCCCTCTCCTTTGTCCTCAGAACTGTGGGGAGTTTTACCACTTACACACCAAAATTTTTGCAACTACAGGATCGCATATTACGATACAATATGGAGAATTCGATACTTAATTATCTTGTAATATTTCCCAGCTTATTACGATATTGTAAGAAAACGTCACCGAGAACGCATTATCAGGGAAACTAACTCTTGGTGCATAAATTCGGCATCGCGCCTTGAGAAATTCACGTCACGAAAATTGCACCCGGAGCACAAAAAAGGGTGTGGTCATTCGTTTAGCATGACGGGTCGGAGTCATCTCCTTCAAGATTATTGACTCAAAATCAAAAATGCCCGATTGGTAGGGAAGTGTATACCCTTCCTTAGGTAAAGATAAATTGAAATATAGACATCGTTTGAGGATCAAGATATTCAAATTCAAAGGAACATCGTAACTGGCAATGTAAGATGGAAAAACAAACACTATTTCAAAGCAGAATTGGTTTACCCTATTTTTTCGGTTATCTGATGCAGCATTTTTTAAAGAAATTTTGCCTGATCAGGAACCATACTTCATCCAAATGTAACAAGAAAGACAACTATCAAAAGACACAAGTACCAAATCATAATAACTATCACTGTTACTCTCAACAAACAAAATCACTTTAATCATCTTTCAATTATTGAAGTTGTTTCCAACATATTTTATATTTTCTTGAAAAAACAGCTTCTCTATTTTTTTTTTACTCTTTTCATATCTTAAATTCAATAAAATAAAACCAAGCATAAAAAGCAGTTATAACTGTATCATGTAATGAAATCTGTAGCTTTTTTAAAAAAAAAATAGACTTTGGCAAATGAGCTAGCACAGGTAAACTGTATACAAAAATCTCCTTTGGTGGAAGTTTAAAACTCCTCATGTCTGGTCAGATCTTTGCCATAATTTGTTGCTTTGCTTCCAACAAAATACTTATGATTGTTGAGAATTTCTTCCTTTGTCAACATTGTATCCTGAGAAACAAACAGAATGAAAAAGAGACAATTAGTGTCTAGAAAAACTGCTGATCAAAGTATAATTTTCATATAAAATGGTCAGATGTCACACCAAAATGGGAAGAACCAAAACATTGGTTAAATATACATAAGCAATTCTTCCCCTCTCAAAAACATGTGAAACATATATACTTTAACTGGTTGTTGGCTTAACAATGACTTTAGCGTAGTGTTTTAACCTTCTCAAAAACAGATGAGAGCACTTGTGATTTCTCCCCACTACATCAATACATTGACTAGCAGAAAGGTGATGGAAAAAAAAAAAAAAAAACCTAAGGGAACATTTATTGATCCATCAACAAAATCTAAGAGCTGAGCTAAAATGACATCAGTGACAGAGAGCAAGAAGAGTTGAATACTTGAAATCTTGGAGTAGAAAAGGATTGAAGAGCCAGTTAGGGTGCAAAGGTTTAAGTTACCATAGCAAAATTGTAAGCACCCGACACACCCTTGACCAGTCATGAAGATGTCAATGACACAACCATGAGACTGACAACAACAATTTTTGATTGGTTTGTGGGTTAGTTTTTTAATTCATTAGAGTGGATGCACAAGTTACTGAAAACTTTTCATCAGTTAGAAAAATTCCTTGTTTTCCATAATTTACATTTTCCCTTTTGTACCAGGATCCAATGTGACATATTCATTTATTTCCAAACCAACAGGTATAAAGGACCAACCTTATCAGTATCAGCATGGTATATTAAATGAGACACTTCAGATTTGACAGCATCATAATTTGAAGGAAACATCCATTCCTTGACTTCCTCCTTAAATATGTGATAAACAAAAAGAACAAGGAATTAACCCTTTAACTCCAAGAAGTGATCAACATGAAACTTCTCCCTAACACAAGAGACTTGATCTAACACCAAATTCTCATAACTAATTAGCAAGGAAATGTGTATCAGGTAGAGGGGAGAATTAACGATCAAATCTTGGGAGTTAAAGGCTTAAGTAATAAGGAAACAAAACATTTAGTACATTTATCCTCCATGAAGGACTACACCCCTTACTTAGGAGATTTAGGAGCGATCACAAGATATTCTGACCAAGGCATGAGCAATAATTTAAAAACATCATCACATAGTGAACTCAAATGCAAATTCTAGAAATTTCCATCTTGATGTGTAATCCACATGTAAGCTAACCTCTGCTAGCCTTAAAGATATTAAGCACAACCTATGTCTGGCTAATTACATAATTCATGTTGTATATTTTAGCACCTTCACTTTATGCACATCTGACAAGTTACCTTGTCCATCACACCATCCTTATTTATGTCACGGTTTGTATGGAAATAGTTCTCATCTGCTTTCCTCTGGGCCATTTGTTCCTTTGTCATGTCTTTTTCATCCCTTGGGTGCACTTCGTCTACAGATTTAGCAAGCAAATGAAAAGAGCATTTACAAGGCATAATTTCATCTCTGTTCCTCCACACAAAAGTGCAAACATTGTCATACCCATTTAAATTCAACCAAATGATACCATTTTGGGGTTGCAGTATAATTCCATGGAAATGGACTTGCTTGACATTTACCATGGCCTAATTTGTGCACATCTTAATTCTCAACAGCTTGAAACAAGCTGATCATGCAATTACTTTAAACAGCCTTCTGCTTCAAAAAATAACTTATCTATTTACCACAGTCTGTTGAAAAACCATTTAAAATAGTTGGATATAAAACTCTTGATGTTTGATTCTGTCTTTTCGGCTGATCAAAGGTGAACAGTACTTCTTATTCACTCCTAAGCTAGATAATCAGCTTGAAAAAAGCACTTAATAAGTCACCTGCATTATAAATATATCTTACTAACCAAGTTTGAGGTCCACAATGCAAGTCCATACAGCAGTTACAGATCAAGTTTTCTCTGCTTGGATTTATGGCCTAAATGCAATGCGCATGGGCCATAAATCTGAGCAAAATAAAAACAAGGTTCCATAACATATAATACAGACCAAGACAATGTGGTTGTTAACTAAAAGATAGTTGTTAAATCCCTGGGTTCAAATAGAAGAGGGAAGATTTCAATTCTGTATATTTAACAGACCACATAAGGAAGTACCAAACAGAGTGCATGTATTTAGTATAAGATATAATAATCAGCAATGATTCACCAAAGCAGAGGTGAATATTGGTGGATATTTACTGGGCCACAAAGCAGTGAGGTAAGTATCCACCCCTTTCACCAACACTGAGGTGAATAATTGTTATAGTATATACCACACAGAAACCAAAAATATGTTACTTTCCATCAATATACCAAAAAATATCAGAAATTAAACCCTCAATGTGCAGATTTGTCTCAATCGCTGTCTAGAGGTCAAAAGTACTTGCTAATCACTTCCAAACTAGCCAATCTACTCACACTAAAAGTATTGTTCACTTGTGTGGTACATACTAACTACTGCTGATGCCTTCAGCCTTTGAGTATTATGTTTCTATACTTATTCATACCTAAGTACTCCTTGAGTGATAAGACTCCATCTTTATCTTTGTCCATGTCCTCAATAGTTTCCTGTACAACTGCATCATGTGTTTGTTCATGTTCCCATGGATGATAAAAGGCACTGAATTCTTCTCTGGACAGTTTGCCATCTTGATCAAGATCTGCCATCTTCCATCTTCGTTTTTCTATCTTTACTTGTCCCTTGTACATGTCATCTAGTTCCTCCTCTGATGGGAATAAACACAAAAATGATAATTGTCAAAAATTAAGTCAAGGTTTAGGGATTTGTACCTCAAAAGATCCAACTCAAATCCTGTCTCGCGCCTAATACTACAAATGACTTTCAGAATGCGACTCTTGCAAAAGTTGAAATAAAAAATAAAACTTTCTTAACTGAGGAACAGGCCTACAGTAAGTCAAAAAGGTAGCTGTGCTGTTGATAACTGTGACATTAATGGCCAGATTCATGATGTCCTTGCTCTAAAACCCTACAATCTGATAAACATGGAACTTCTCCTGACAAAACAAATATATCTATCCAGCTGAAAAGTAAGAAGAATAGACATACCCATCTGCTGTTATCTTAAAACAACACCATCACAAGAATATGAATTGGTAAGAAGGAGATTTAATGCACCTGAGATGACATGAAACAATCTGATTTTGGGTGTACAAAGTTTTTGTAAAGCATTGGAGAGCAAAGAATTCTCCAGCTATACCAATCAGAACTCTCTGTTGAAATCCCAATGACAGGAGCTCAATCAGACAAGGACCTGGAATTTTTGCATGTTACCTTAAACAATAATTACTATTTGTGCCATGACTCCAAACTTAACAGAGATAGAGCCTTTCTTACACAGTACCTGGCTTTCCTCCATAGCTGACTTCATTGTAGTCCTCCCATGTGATCGCACCATCAGGATCAACAGTTTTTGCAGATGAGGCATCCTTTCGGGACATTACTTTCTGTAATCTTGCAATGACATCTTTCCACTTTTTATCAATAGTTTCCTCATTGTGTTGATCCTTTGTGAATTTAATCCACGCTCCAAGTTCTTCTTTTGTAATTTTCCCATCTTTGTCTTTGTCTATTTTATCGACAATTTTCCTGCGAAACAGATAGTTGTGTTGGAGCTTGTACAAAGATAATTGTCTTTATAGAGAGCCTTAAAACAATGTATATCCTTGCGTAATTTGCACTATCAAAGAGTCACTCTTACACAAACATCTAATATGTGTGCATTTTTTTAGTGGTAGCTTCAAAACAAATAAATTTTCACTTTATTTAAGGGAGGATTGCATTCTTTCTGTGTACAAGAGTTACTGTAGATCATTCAGCTCTTATTGATTATCCAATGAAATGCTGGTTGAGCAAGGAGGCATGTGCCCTGAATGACCAAAGAGTAAATCAAGGTTCTGTGCATAATGATAACTTTTTTTCAGTATGAATTTGTTAGAATCTATGATGCGTTTGGGGAAGCCCCTAAAATGTCACAAATGGAAGTCCAAATTTCTTTGAAAATTGCCCAAGAAAGCTATAAACTGGTCTGTTGTAATGGCAATGAAAATAAACACAGAAAAATTGGTGAGATTTAAGGACTAACAACACGTTATAGCCATATCCACAATAGTTGGTCTACTGTGAATAAAAGAATAACTTAACCGTAACTATATGCTGTGTCACGCAACGCGCATTAGACCATCACACAACATACCCTGTACTTTTCCACGTGGCAGTCAAGGTCTGTATCATGTTACAATAACCGCTTCAATAGTTGGTTTAAAGAAGAGATATCAGCTAATTTACCGCGATTCATCAAAGAGGAAACCTGAAAATGGACTTTGTAGCTTTGCTATTTTTCGACCTTCCATCGCAAACTGGGAGATACCTGGAAATTCCTCGCAGCGAGGAAAAAGAACCTTTCCAGTTTCGGATAGCGCACGAAAAGCGCAAAACAATAATTATCACTCCATCCACGGTTTAAATCACCCAGACCTCTTTGTTCAATTCTAACTCATAAAGGAATAACACTTACTGTATTGGCAGCTGCATAATAAAATTATGGAGCTAAAACTTTGCATCCATAGCTGAACATCTAACACATCTAAACAATTGAGATGCCGCAACTTGGATCTACTTCGAGTTTGCCTTCAAAACAAAATGTCATTCAATGATCAGTTACAGCGAAGACCGATTCAACTCACCCAAGTCTTTCTTTGGACTCTTCAAGAGTAAGTTGATCAAAAGTTTTCTTCTGTTTTCCCAGGAAAGCTTCGTGATCGTATTCCGTGTTGTGTTGACCGTCCTTCTTGTAATGCTCCTGTTCCGAAAGTTTTCCGCTTTTTTTTCCATCTTCGACGGATTTTGCAAATGCACCTACAAAGTACAACGAAATACAAAGCGCATGGCAAAGTTTGGCCATTTCTCTGGGGTAATGAATAAAAATACAGCTGCTAGCTAATCAAATACAACGAAATTCCCCTTCCAAGGCAGACAGATCAATTTGACAGGAATTAGCCACGCGCTGCATTTTATAGTATCAGATACGCCTTGCTATTGCTGCATTCCCATTGGATACTTCATCGTCATGTGGTGCAGGCTACATCGCAATTCTCGCCACGTAGGCAAAATTGTTGTGTCAATGAGCTTTCAGATAGTTGAGAAATAAAGTTTCATTCACAAGGGGATACAAAGGCCATTCATTATGGCAGCCGCGACTGCCCTTATCCGTCACGCAAAGCAAATCCTGCAAATTCTTCAGCAAGGCGGTACCCTTTTGCGCCTTCGCGCGCAAAAGGAACGCTCTTACAGGGCCTTACCTAGACTTCGGAACAAGACGAGGTAAGTTTCGAGCGCCGAAGGCGCGAGCCGCTAGAGGGGTATAGGGGCATGTCCCCCAGATCAGAATATTTTGAAATCTAAAGGCTCAGAAATGCGCTTTTAAGCATCTTCCGTGGCATTTTTCATGAGAAAGGTCAATCTTGGGCGTCTTACCTCATGCCAGTTACGGCTCTGTTTGAAATGCGGGGAAAAACAACAGTAAAAAAAATAAAGTTATGAAAGGAGAAAACGGACTTCTTTTATGTTGAAAAAAGTCGGAGCTTTTGCGCAAAATCACAACGCACCGAAACTGAGAAATGTTGGGCAGGATTGCACACGCCCTCGAGAGCCTTGCACTCTCTCTTAGTTCCACAAGCATCGAGTTCAGGGGATAAGACAAGGGAGAGGGGGGAAAGGAGAAGGGGAGATGGGAGTAGGGCAAAGGAGAGAAGGGGGGAGGGGAAAGTAGGGAGAGGAGAATGGAGAAAGGGGCAGGAGATTAGGGGGAGATGGAGAAGTCGAAAGGGGGGAGGGGAAGAGGTGCGTTCAAGTCGAAAGATAAAATACATCCCGAAACACATTTTTTTTACGAGAAAGAAAACAGAAATCAGGAAACGTGTTGTTGTTCTCCAAATTTTTCCTTGTGCAATAAACACTTTAAATACAACAGTTACGCGTTTCTTTGCTGCATGGGCTATTTTAAAAGGGCAACATACCCTGCTTCACCAGAAACGCCAGTCAGCTTTAATGACCTTTTCCCGCACAATCGTAGCAGTTCTCTCCAAAAGATCGAAGACAAACAAATCTAGGAAATTCACCTTCTTTTAATTTCAAATCATTCCCAAGCTTTTAAAATTTGAGGGCAAAAAAAAGTGAAAAATCTTTAGAATTGCATCTTTTATTAAAGCAATGGTCAAGACCAAAGTAAATTGGAACTTTGTTTTTACTACATTAAAATAAATTAACGAACAATTCAAAAAGCTCAGAAATACCCTTGATTTGAAAAAAACAAAACAAAAAAAACCAAAAAACAAAATACAACTACCACCAACGTCCCCTGGCTTGGTATTTTGTATATCCAATTTAAAAAAGTCAGAAATTAAATAACTTTCACTTGCTATTAAAAAAAATCCATGAACTGTACACAATGATCAACTTAAAGGGTGCAATCATTCAGCACAGGTAGCTCGGCAGGAAAACGATCTTTCACAACAAGGTTACATTAAAAGACCAACACTTAAATCGGAACCAAGCAAAAACACAACATTTTTTCGCAACAGAGGCACTTGGAGTGATCAAATCAAAATAAAATTCTTTTACTTCAAAGATCCATTGGCTAATTCCCCCAACTAATGGCAGAGGTATAGTTAGGATGTTTCACAGGGGTCACAAGCAAAAAAATTTGTGTCATGAGAGGAGCAGTTAATGTAGCAGGAGGGACCTGCAACCTCCCACTGAAAATTCTTTCTTCTCTCATTTTTGTAAACTTGACTCAGAATCTTCCTACTAAGGGGTACTTGTGAGCACCTGTGACCACCTGCGACTCTAAGACCCCACAAGCCACGAGAATTTGGGGTTATATCCAAACAATGACACCTATTTGATAATTTTCTACCCTCTCATTACCTATCGGTTTGACTGCCAAATGTATTTGAATTTTAAGAAAATTTTGCATGAAAACCCACTTTTGGTAGCAAAGGAGTTGACCCAGAAAACCTTCAACACTTTGAAATAAGACTGGCAGGTAAATTTTGTGAGGACAAATCACAAGAAAGTTCTAGAAACTTAACCTTTAATTATGATCTGATTCATAATTCTTCCTTCTAGCTGCTACATATTTCCTTGTAAATTTGTTAAGAGAATTGTGTGTTTGATCAAGATAGCAAGTTTTTCCTGATAAGTTTGGATGTTCTCGTTATCTGTTTGCTGGATAATGTATGGATATCATAAGGAGAAGTTACATGTGAATCACTTCTGGGATTAAAAAGGTTAAGCAAACCTAAAAACCCACAACCTCATCACCACTGGTTTGCGCATGAAAGACTGCCTTTTCTCTTTGGAAACAAAGAGATTCCGTAAAAAAAAGTTCCCCGATTTTCCTGGTTTTCTAAGTTCACAGTAATAAGAACTGCTTCAAACAGTTCCAGGTAACACTAGAAAAAACTGCCATTTCATAAACAAAAAACAACATTACAACTTGTCCTCTTTTCTTTTTTCCTTAACACCAACCATTTTTTTTTCTTTTTCATATAAAATACTAAGTTGTGACATGTAATTGCTTGATGTATAAAAATATATCTTTAATAGCTATAATTCTTTGGAAACTTCCATAAGTAACTTAAATCTTGAAGATGGCCTAAAACTCGTCATGTCTTGTCAGGGCTTCTCCAAAGTCTGTTGCTTGGCTTCCAACAAAGACATCATGTTTATCAACAATTTCCTCCTTTGTAAGCTTATTATCCTGAAAAACAAAAATTAACACATTGCATTTACTGTGGATGAAATCTCTATGGGCTGGTTCAGATTTACACAAGTTCTAACCCAATCTGCAGTTTTATGCAAGCAGTGGGGCTTACATATTCACTATAAGAGGGTTATTTTAATTAACTCTTTAATTCTCAGGATCTCCTCTCTGGCTGCTACACAATTCCTTGTAGAATAGTTACAAGAATTTGGTGTTAGATCAAGTTAAAAACTTCTACTTGATAAGTTTGAGTATTCTCATTGCCTTATTGCTGGATAATGTATGGAGAAGTTACATGTTGATCACTTCTGGAAGTAAAGGGTTAAATATACTGTTCACAAAAATCAGTGTTGACATAAAAGATTCAGCAACATTTAAGATAGTTTAAAATGCGTTTTTGTTACATGGTGGCCCTTAACTCTTTAACTCCCAAAAGTGATTAACAAGTGACTTCTTAAATTATCCATATATGCCCATGGCTGATGTTAAAAATGTTCCCTTTTTACTACAATTTAATTCCCTTTTTAAACTTTCACAGCAGTGATGATCAATTAAGTGTCTGTACAAATCTGAATCTTGACCATCCATTTAGTTATTTCAAAAACTAGTACAATTACTCAATTTATAGTGCTTTTAAATAATTTTGTGATCTTGTTCCTTGGAAAATAAAAGAATGTTCTAATTTGTAAGAAAAAGTCATTGATCTTACAGTGCATGTCCAGGATTCAACTCTGAAGTGAAATTACCATTCCCATTATTTTTTTGTGGGAGGGAGGGACAATTTTGCTGTTTTTAAATTGAATTTTGGTAGATTTGTTTCTGATCTTAATTTTTTTTAATGTATGAATACCCTCTACAGTTTTGCTGCTCTCACCTCATCCATGTCTGCTTCACGAATAAGATGTCTGGCCTCTGCTTCAACATGATCATAATCAGGAGGAATGATCCAATCTTTTACTTCATCCTGTCAAATCAAAGTTTTTTAAACCATCAAGATTGCTTGACTCTTACCTGGAACAAATATCAATTGTAAGTCACCCTATGACTATAACTCACGAATAAAAGGTAACCACATGTAAACTTAAAAAGAAGAGGAGTTTACAGATGGAAATAAATTATTTTCACATGTTACATCAAACTGTCATAATTAACAACCAAGTAGAGAAAGAATAGCAAAACTTGAGCATTCAGTGCATTTACATTTTCTTACAAAAATCATCATCCAAGTTATGATACATAAAGAAACATACTCTGTCCATTTTTCCATCTTTGTTTTTGTCACGAAAGTCTCTGAAATGTTCCCTTTCAGTCTTCACCCATTCTGGTTCTTCTTTGTCCTTTTCTTTTTCACTCTCTGGATACAAATCACCTGAAATGGGAACAAGCATTGTCCAAAGTTACATGAAACTTGTTTTCTCTTAATAAGTAAGTTACATAAATGCCAGGACAGCAAAAAACATAATTTTCCAACCCAAAGATAAAAATATATGACAGACCATTCAAATTGATGAGCTCTTTAACCAAAGGTCCAAAATTTATTGACTACCAAAAATTACTAGCACTTATCCCAGTTTCTGCTGCATGAAACAACATGAAACAAGCAAGAGAAACAATTGAGTTTCCCCCTGGACATGCAGGGTGATAGTTTTACTCATATTACCCCTCATTTTACCTCTGCGTGTCATCTGGTTTTCTTCATGCTATGACAATACTCATAAATATTCAGAATACTTCCCACCCAAAAAAAAAAAAAACTCTATCATTAGGTCACATGATTCTCCAATCTAGTTAGATTAACACTAGCTTACAATACCTAAATATTCCTCAATAGAGACAGCTTTATCACCATCTTTATCAATATCTTCTAATGTCTCATCCACAACAACATCTTTCATGTGATCATATTCTTCAGGATGAAGCATTGCAGTATACTCCTCCTTTGATATTTGATTGTCCTTGTCAATATCAGCCATTTCCCAGCGCCGTTTGTCCCGTTTTAACATTTCTTTGTACTCATAATCATCTTCCTCTGAAATAAGATGAAATGAAAACAATTTGCAAAATGTTCAGAAGAATAAGAGTGCTGTGATTGGTAACATACTGTTCTTTCTACTTTATATGAGCATAAGACTGTAGAGAAAATACATTCTCAAAGTTAATGATACTGGTCACCAAAATTTTTAAGCAAAGCAAACTCATTGCACTCCCTCCCCCAAAAGCTGAATCAACAACATGCTCAACCAGGGACACCTTTAAATCTGGGATTATTTGAGGACCTTAGCAGTAAGAAGTGTGCAGTGTCTCTACTATAGTACTTTGTTTTTGTTCCAGAAAAAAAACACTGTAAACTGGGAGAATTTTTATAAATTGCGTGAACCCTTTATCTCCCAGAAGTGATTAACATAAAACTTCTCCCTACAACATCCATACATTCTTCAGCAAACAGGTAATGAGAATATTCAAACTTATCAGGTAGAAGCTGCTATCTTGATCTAGCACCAAGTTCTCATAACTAATTTACAAGGAAATGTGTAGCAGCTACAGGGGAGAATTAACAATCAGATCTTGGGAGTTAAATGGTTAACCCTTCACTCTCAAGACCTTATTAGTAATTCTAATTCAAATTAGGGTAATAAATGTGGTATCAGATTAACCAATGATTCCGTCATTTATATTTTCCTTAACCCTTTAACTCCCAGATCAAGTTTGTAATTCTCCTTACTGTCAACCATACAATTCTTATAATGAAGAAATTTATGTAAAATGGTTTCCGTGTTTACATAGCCTGATGTAAACACATGGGAGGTTGGGAGAACATGAGATAAGCATAGGAAGCCACAATGCGAAGCGGAGTGGTTTCCAGCTTATTGAGTGTTCTCCCAAACTCCCAAGTCTTTACATCAGGCTATGTAAACACGGAAACCATTTTACATTTCTTTTATAAAATAACTAATGAAAGAGGAACGAAAACCGTGTTTACATACGCTCATGTCAAATTTGTATTTTTCTATTATTCTCATCACTTATCTGGTTGATATTGTATTGATATTGTAAGGAGAAATTCTGTCTTGGTCACTCATGGGAGTTTAAGGGTTAATTCTAATCACTTGTCTGCATGCTATTTAATTGATATTGTAAAGAAGAATTCTGTCTTGGTCACTCACCTTGAAGTGACAAACATATAACTTCACCCTATATTATCTATATGTTATCCAGCACATAGGTAATGAGAATACTAAAATTTATCAGGTAGAAGTTTTCATCTTGATCTACCACCTAATTCTCATGACCAATTTACAAAGAAATGTGTAGCACATGGAGGAGAGAATTAACAACTAGATCTTGGGAGTTTAAAGGTTAAGGGGTTGAACTTACCTGGAATATACCCATAAGTCATGTTTTTATACAGCTCCCAGCCAATTGGTCCATTAGGATCTACTTCTTTCTTGTCAACATAACGCTCTTCAAGAGTCATATGTGCATTTTCAGTTTTTTTCAACTGTTCCCATTGCCTGTCAACATCTTCAAAGACATAACGCTTGGAAGTAAATTTGATCCAGTCTTCCAGTTCTTTCTGTGTGATCTTTCCATCATTGTCTTTGTCAATTCTGTCCACAATTTTTCTGCAAAACAAATAAAGATGAGGAGATTTGGTTAAAATTTCACTGCATCAGGTTTATCATTATTTGGAATGATGGACAAGGAAGGGATTAATGTTGACCTTCCTGATAATCTGAAGAGCAATTTGTCACCCTACCCATCTCCCCAAAAAATGCACTTTTGTGCCACGTGGCACAGTTCGGAAATAGAGATTTACGTGAAATGTCAAACGCCAGGCAAAAGCGATGTTTTCCATGATGCTTACTCGAGAGTGAAAGAATACTTAATAATTTAGTGCCTTACATTCAAGAAAAAGATTGTTACATCACCAACAAAGCCGTAGGAACAATAAGAAAAATAGCAATGATCCAATAATTGATAAACATGCTTACTTCATGCTGTTATGCATGAGTCACTAAGATATTTCCTTATGGAAATACGCACCAAAAATTTATTCGCAGGCTAGAAAATGAACAAAATTGTAACACGATAAACAATGGGGTTGTAATCCATACACAAACATCCTAATTTCAGCTGATATAAAATTTTGGTTAATGCTGACGACGTGGCAAAGCTGAAGAGCAATTATCAATTAACGGATCGAAGTAAACGTTCTCCTGTTTGAAGCATTATTTTAGCACAATTAAATATTTCTCGCCTTGTTGAACGCAGTTCAAAATATTTCCGTAAAGCCAAAAATTTCATGAGGCCCGCTTATCATAACATAATTTCATGCATCACCCGGCAATCACTAAGTGATTCCATCGATATCACTTCTGCTGCAGCAGCGAATGGCGATTTCATGTTCATGCAAAGACAACTCAAAGCGACAGAGTCCGCAATTTTCTGCAACTTTTCACATACCCTAGTCTCTCTTTCGATTCCTCAGGCGTCAACTCATCAAATTTCTTCTTCTCCTTTCCAAGGAAAGCGTCGTGATCATATTCGGCGTTGTGTTCTTCTTCCTTAAAATGCTCTTCTTCCGACAAGTCTTGATCGTAGACACGATCTTTTCCTTGGCCCTTCGCTTCTGGAGGTCGAGCATCAATTACTAACAAACACAAACAGAGGCAAACCGGAGAGAAAATTTTTGCCATAATGCTAAATTTAAATGTCAGATTTGTTCTGCAGGTAATTTACTCCACCAGTTATGTTTGATAATATGAGATTCCTGGGACTGACTGTCGTCTGTCCAAATGTAATAGCCATGGAGACAATGTGGTGTGATTTGATTGGCTGATAGGAATCAAGTCGGTAATTACGTGTATTTTCATTGGATGATTTCTGCCACGCTGGCAAGGGAGGATCGCCCTACTGCTGGAATGTAGGACGGGGGAAAACCTCCAAGGAAAGGGCAACGTGGAAGGTCAGTGCGTGACAAGACTACCATGCTGCTCAATCGTAGCCTGCGTTGCTAGCGGTCTGCAGGCTACTCAATCGCAACATAACACTTCATTAAAAAAATCTGAGATTCAGCTGAATTAATAACTCTGAATCAGTTTTTAGTAATAATCGGTTTATTTCTTGAGAGATGAATAAATGGGGTAGTTTCTATTGAAGAAGCTGCGGTGCTGAATGGATGCGGTGGTGGGAAGGGGGGGGAGGGGGGGAAGAGGGAGGTTGGAAGAGGGTGGGGTGGGGTGTATTTCACAACAACTTGGTTTGATAATGTAAATGACCACCGCAGAGGGTTTCTAAAGCCGACGTTTCATGCCCTTCGTCAGGGCAATTATCTTTTTGAGAAAATTCGTCTTGACTTTTTTCACCGAGCGCGAAAAGCGATGAAGAGGTTGAATGATCCGGCCGGTAGTCCTATGATAAGGAGTTAGAAATGTGTTCAAACTTATGCCAGCAGATAACCGTGCCTCGAGCAACGCAGCCCTGATTAATAAATTAATTATACTAATAAATGCACCAGCGAGACCGATCATTTCTTCCTAATGAAAATAGCTTCTTTGTAAACGATTATGTTGATAATCGGGTTCAAATCACTGCAGTGATAATGATAATCGACAAAAAGGAACAAAAATGATAATGATGATGACGATGACGAAAGGGATAATGATTTGATATCTTGATTACTTTATTACAGTCCCATATAATAATAATTCGGATACTGACCGACGCAATAAGAAGAACGAGAGTTCTCGCGCGCGCTTCGAGACGGCACGCGCGCAAAAATCTATTTTGTGACGTCATAACTGCAACAGGACTTGCGTCACCACACTCATCCCAAAGTTAGTCGTACTGTCAAGGTCTTCAGATCTCTAATGTCTGCAATAACACGCTTCTTCTCCCATGTCAAGTCTAGACAATCGTTCAACTTGCGATTTTTAAGACAACATGGTTACGAGCTTCTCGATGATTCGCCTCTTGGTGAAGGCTCCTACGCCAAAGTCCGTAAAGCTTACTCTAGAAGAACCAAACTTCACGTTGCTGTTAAAATAATAGACCGTAAAAAGGCTCCTGATGATTTTTTAGATAAATTTCTTCCCCGAGAACTGAGCATCATTCAAAATCTTGATCATCCTCACATCATTCGAGTGTATGAGGTGCTGGAAATTGGCGACAAAGTGTTTGTGGTTATGGATCTCGCCACTGGCGGAGATTTATTGGATTACATCAAGGAAAAAGGATGCGTGGAAGAAAATTTAACCAAGAAAATCTTCCTACAAATGTTGCAAGCAGTCAAACATTGTCATAAACATGGTGTGCTGCATCGTGACTTAAAATGCGAAAACATTCTCTTGGACGAAGGGAACAACGTGAAGCTCACCGACTTTGGTTTCTCCAGACCATTTAAAAAGTCAGAAATTTGCAAGACCTACTGTGGGTCGGCTGCATATGCAGCGTACGAGATTCTAAGAGGCAAGTGTACTTTATATTGAGATTTTATGAGTACTTACCATAGTTTTCATTGTTAAAATTAGTTTTACAAGAGTTGATGTACCTTGCTGGAGCCGTACACAGTTTTTGTTATATTTTAAGAACGTTTGTATCCTAAAGGGACAAGTTTGGGCTCTTGTTATACAAAGACAGTGAAATATAGCGACTTTGTTTGGACACACCCTCGTTAGGTTCCCAACAGACCGCTCTCAAACATTAGGAACTTCACTGATTCTAAGGTGCTCTCTCTCCATAAGCTGTGTTGATCAGGAAGTTTTCGCTGACTGGTTCACGTCGAAAGTTGAAGACCTTGTAAGGGTCTTTTTTTTTTCCAATGCTGACTAAAAGTTTGTAATCACTCACTTTTTTTCAGTAAATTATATTATGGTTTAAGTCAAGAGAACAGCTCGCCTCAGCAGTTTACCTTCCTTCAGAGTTTTTTGAGAATGAATACAAACATCAGTAGGAGTTTGTCTTTCATTCCTTTCAATATTATGTGCTTCTCATTACATATACAGCACTGCTTACGTAGGGTTTCCAGAAGAACGAGGAGTTAGGGGTGAGGGAGTGTAGTCCACGCTGTACAACAAAAGCGTCTTCCAGAGTACTACAGTGCATTTTATTTTTCTTCATATTTCTTTCTTGAAATGAAGGGGTTTAGTCATATGCTGAGGATGTATTATAATTATAATTTATTATGTTATAATTCATTTTACCCATAAGGTGTTCCGTATGACGGTGAAAAAGCTGATGTGTGGAGTATGGGAGTGATATTGTACACGATGGTAACGGGTCGGATGCCATTTGATGACTCCGATATGAAAATGCTACTGGCACAGATCAAACGCGGGCCAAGCTTTCATAAACCGAAACAGCAGATCACGGAAGACTGCAGAAATCTCATATGTGGCATGCTCACCTTAGATTTTAGATTGCGAATGGGCATTGAAGATATTGAACGCCACGCATGGTTTTCAGGTACTTCACGTTCAGAGCGTACTGGGAGCACACAGTCGGCAAGGTTGAGATCTTCGACAAACGAGGGCCAGAGTTAAATTGGAAGATCTTTATACCAATCCACTAGATAAATTCAATATTTCGTTCAATGTTTCGTTCAATTATAAAGTAGGTTTAAATTTTCAATGGCGTAATGAGAAGTACAAAAGATATAATCGAATTGTACGCATTTAAGGAAGCCAATCAATGTGCTTCAACTGCGTTCCAAACGCGGTTATTCAGTGTTTAATGCGATGCGTGGTGAGAAGAAAAGGATTGTTGTTAGTTTGTTTTTAAAAGAACGTTACCAATAAAGGAAAATCAAGTAAAGCACCAATAATTAGCATTCATTAATTCTAGTCACCACTTTCTGTACAATTGATTGAGTTTAATTTGATAGACTGATAGCAAGCCGTCGGCGCTTCAGTACATGCGCTTTTTTGCCCGCGGGAAAGTATGAGAAGATCTCATTAGTAATTCTCCTTACGGTCTGCCATAGAATTCCTGTGATGCTTGTTCTGAGAATTTGGTACTAGATCAACTAGAAAATCCTCAAACTTACATTCTCCTATATTATCATCAACTGTCTGATTGATATTGTATTGATATTGTAAGGAGAAATTCTGTCTCGGTTACTCATGGGTGTTAAAGGGTTAACCAGTGAGAGCCGGCGAGACGTCTGCAAGGGGTCTGAGTATTAGGGACAAGCCTCTGGCAAATCTCACCCCGAGTCTTCTGAAATATTCCCACGGGCGGGCGCAGAGGGGTACGTCCTGCCGGGCTAATGATGAAGGTATGCTCACAGCTGAAAAGTTTGAACAAATTCGAACTTTCTGCTCATTCCTTTTCACGCCTTGAAGGTAAGAGAAGCCTATGAGCTTTAAACAGCTCAATTGTTCGCGGGAATACTTCTCAGTATTCATGGGATTTACTTTATCATCTTGCCAAGATTACAAAAATAATTCTTACGGACGTGTCGGAAATCGAACGGAGTCGTCCAGAGTCGGAACGACGCAAGTGTCCGAAGTCAGACGGAACCGTCCGAAATCAGATGGTACTGTCCGTAATCAGACGGAAGCGTTCGGAATCAGGCGGAAATGTCCGTAATCAGACGGAGGCTTCGTGCGGAATCAGAGATTTGTGTCACCTTTTCCCCTGCTTGCAAATCGGAAAAAGACTCAAGAAATTGAACAATATTATCGGTACCAATTGAACACTTGCAACAATGGAGAAAGACACAGCAAACAAGTAAGTCAAATTTATTAAGCATTCTGCACAAGTAATTTTTTTTCAAAATCGCTTGGATAAAACCGTCGCCCTAGCACGTTGAACAGCGCTTGATCAAAGATTTTATTTAAATTAGTCACACCTCGCTACTTCACTGATTCAATCTCATTTTGTGTAAGTTCAAAAAATAAACCATTTATAAAAAAGTATTATTTTTTAAAAATATTTTGCTAAAAAATAAAAATTGGAACCTATCTAGTAAACATACAAAATAAAATTCTACCTGAAATACGGTTGAGTCACACCAACTGGACAATGTACCATTGGTCACATTCACGTGACTAATCATGGCAGCGATGGCAGAGGGGGATGCCTCATTTGATGGAAGGGTAGGTGCCCGTTGTAGCAGGTTCATTTAAATTCAATCTTATCGATAAATTGATTTGTTTGGTAAACAAGTAAATTGATCACAAAAGGATCATTCCTAAATCAGGTGGTATAAATAGTTGAAGATCGTTCGTCTCTTAGCCGTGACAATAAAAATAATAATATGCTAATATACACCCCTATGTAACGATTTCGTCCAGTCCCAGCCAATCAAACGGCTTAGAAACACAATCACTCAATTGAAGCGAATACATGTGGCATGCACAACTCTTCTACTAAGTCATTTGAAAGAGAACGTTGAACTTTTTCATGCAAACAATTTGTCTTCATCAAAAGAAACAGCCTTAAGGCACGCGAACATTTCCTTGTTTGCAGCTGTTATTTGCGTGACGCTCAACTATGGCACTATCAGGCATCTTGTCACGCAATGCTAAATACGCCATGTCACGCTAGAAGTATATTATAACCAGCTTCTCGGTAAAAGTAGCCGATTTTGACCTTTTTAAACACTGTCATAAAATTAAGTCCCTTTTCTCTTCCGCGTACGATACTTGAATTTTAATGATGCAAGACGAATGAATGGATCTATTCCGCTGGGCTTGACGATCTGTTTTGGCAGATCATCCATCTTGTCACCATTCCAGTTGGCGTTTTTAAGACTGCTTGAAGCGACTGAAGGCAAGCTGTAATTTAAGATCAAAAGACAAAAATGTAACTATTTAAACTTTAGCCCAGACTCTCTCCAGGAGTCCCTGAGACGGGAGGAAGAGAAAGCCTGAACCAGATAGTTAAAATACCGTATGAGATTGCTACTGTTATACTCATGTGGTGGCCATTGATCAAATCGATCTTTGCACATCTGATATTTCGGATTGATGTCAGTGTCGGAGCAACTACATTCCTACCCCTCCCCTAACTCAAAATTGTCAACTGATTACAAGTTAAGGTTAATGTTGGGTTAGGGGAGGGGCAGGTGCGCGATTGCTTTGATACTGAAATTAATCTAATATTTTACATAAACTTGCCTCAAAAGCTTGTCCTATCGTCATAGTAATATCATCTGACATAGTCTATTCAAAACAAAATTACAATCTTATTCTAGCAAAATCAAAGTCGATTAGAATTGGTAACTAATTATAAAAGCTTGCTGGAGAAGGAAACTGACATTTTGGTTCCAGCTAAAGAAATCAAGATAACAGTCAAAATAATATGCGAAGTCACTCGCACAGAAGCAAAGAAAACTTGTTCCTTAAAACTACTGGACCCGGTTGTTCGAAGGGTGTAGTGTATAGCGTGGTACGTTTTGTTTACACTTATCCGCTGGATAGCGATTTATCCGATGGACAGCGTTACTTGTATACTTGACAAAGTTTTTGTTACTTGACAAAGTTTTTGTTTGAGTCTTGAATGAAAACAGAACAGCGGATCCGTTAAGTTAACAGGGCTTTCGAGAAATGGGGCTTTCAAGAAACGAGTATACAGTAGAACGCGCTAACGCGAACTCTCAAGATAAAATGGTTCGACTCAGCGGGAGTTCGAGTTCGCAGATAGTAAATGACTGAAAAAAATGGGTCAAGGGAAATCGAATCTTGTTTGAGTTACCGGGAGATCCGAGTAAACCGGATACGAGTTAGCGGATTTCCACTGCATTTTAATCGTACACTTTACAAACTCCTTAGCAAATGTGCTTTTGAACTCATCTACACCAGAATATATCGTCCTGAGGGAGTCCACTTGTTCGTTAACAGATGTGTCAGTTTCTAAACAAGTGGAATTTCCAAGAAGAAAAGATTACCCCAATTTTCCATCCAAACTTTTAAACAAAAGTTGCTTGGAAAGACTAAGAAGTGTACACTTATAGACGGCTTGAAGGCATGGATAATTTTAGCAACTAACTCACCATGTTATCCATTCTGAACACGTGACAGTAATGGCTGTTTGTCTTAGCGTCTCTGGCGATATAAGCAAATACTGTTCTGTCTTCTGGATCCTGTGTGATGTACGATATGTTTCTGATGTCGTGATTACTGACCATTATCTACGGAAAAAAGTGTTCCGATTAATAGCAATACTCGGCTTGATATAAATAAAAGACCCAACTAATCTGGTTCAAGTCCAAAAACATCATGATTACTGACCATGATCTACGGAAAAAAAGTAGTCCGATTAATAGCAATACTCGGCTTGATATGAATAAAAGACCCAACTAATCTGGTTCAAATCCAAAAAGATCAAAAGTTAATTATTTAGAAACGCTTCCATCATCGTAAAAGTCATGATATCATAGTTATCATGATTAAAGAAATTTTTAGTTGAGTGTCGAAAGTAATCTAGCATTGCTCTGCTTTTTCTTTACTTCTTGACATATGATTGGTCCAGAAAACTTGCACCACTTCCTCGACCAATCAGATTCAAATTTAAAACTAGACGCGTTTTGGTCACTCGCATTTTCCCGCGCTTCAATCAAATTGCGCGTTTTAAGTTTGAGCTCTCATTGGTTCCTTGACATAACTTCCTTTCATCTGATTGGCTGTTGCTTTGGTTTTGGTTTTACAACGCTGAATCGAAAAGCACTTTGCCATTTCTACCGTAATTGGTTTGATTCAAGAGCAACATTTGATTGCGCTAATAATTTCCTAGGCAAGGTAAGTCTTGAAAAGGATTCTTATCGGTAACAAAAAGTGGGATTTCGACAACAGGAGCGAAAGTCATCATCAGAGGAGTGAGGAGTTTTTTTTTTTGTCTAATTCGCCAAAACTGATTGGAAGGTTTTGCCGTGATGGTATTGGCTAAAAGATTTAAGTCGCGAAAGTCAGTTTGATTGGTCACTTTCAATCTGCCAGTTATAGGAGGTCATTTGAGTGATAGTTAATTGTCAATATCTGTCGAGAGGAGAGTGAGTGTTCATTAACCCTTTACACCCTAACATCAGAATGAATATTCTTCATTCTGTTCTCTATACATTTCCTAGGGTACTGACAAGGAGAATTTGTTTTACAATCAAAAGCTTCTTTAGTTGGTGATCATTTCCTTTATTCTCGTGACCTTAGTGTTTGTTTCAGGGGGGATATTGTTGGGAGAAATTCCATGCTAATCACTCTTAGGGGTCAAAAGGTTAAACCAGCTTTCGAAAGTCAGTCGATAAATGATCATTATTTCAAATCGTCGCGGTTACCCTGGGAGTCAACTAAACTGGCCTAACATTTTTAAAGGTAAAAAATAGTTATCTTTTTATCTTCATCCACAAAGTCCAAATCCAAAGCAATACTTTTCACTGTTGCCATTTACAAACGTTACGTAAACTACAGCCACTTTTACCACTTCGTGGAACTCGTTAGCTTTTCCTGGCGAGTACTGATTGCAATGAAGAAAGCATTACCTTTGACCTTGCATCAATGAACTTAATTCCTTTTACGGACACTGAAAGCATCACTGAGGGAATTTTCTGAAGCTTGGCTGTAGACAGCTAAAAAAGACAAACAAGAAAAATGAAAAGATGCATGAAATATAGAAGAAGCCTACCTAAAGGTTCGCTAAAAACCATCAACTTTCCCTGTAGATTTTTTTTTTCAGACCTTCAGTTCACAAACAGTTACAGCAGTTTTAAATTGAGGGTCGGAAATTGTCGTGGTCTTGCTTTACCACGCTCTGTGATTGGTCAAGAAAACTCGTGCCACTGTCTCAACCAATCAGATTCAAACCTAAAACCAATCGCGACTTAGTCACTCACGTTTTCCCGCGCTTCAAGCAGTTTGCTTGTCTTTTTTTGAGTTCTCATACCTCGCTCTGTGATTGGTCAAGAAAACTCGCGCCACTGTCTCAACCAATCAGATTCAAACCTAAAACCAATCGCGACTTAGTCACTCACGTTTTCCCGCGCTTCAAGCAGTTTGCTTGTCTTTATTTTGAGTTCTCATTGGCTTCTTGGCATATTTCCTTCACTCTAATTTGCTATTGTAATTATTTTGGTTTTGGTTTAAAGACTCTCACTCAAACTTCGCTCTAGTAGGTAATACAACTTGTCTTACTCTCATTTTACGGGAGGCTTCAACGGTAGACTGCAACCCCGTGATTGTTTTAACTGCATGCGACCCGAGATACTGAAAAGAAAAGCATAAACCAAACCAACAATTATTCCTGTGAAACCAAAGGAATTTCAAGGACTGGTTATAATTAACAACTACTCACCGACTTAAAGGTGGCTTGTGGTGGATATTTATCGAGCCGCGATGCGGCAAGTTAAATATCTAACGCTACCCACCGGTACTGCGATAATGAATTGTTTTAGTATTACCAAAACGATGAGATAATAGAGCAAAAAAGATAATTTTAAGTCATTTATTCCTGCAACAAATACAGTATTCTCGGGAGCAAATCCAGCGCGCCTCTCTCAAAGGTGAATATCAAAGGATATTTGGAGTTTGTGTAACCAATCAGAGCGCGCCTTCGACGTTACACACTGTCATAGTGCATACTAATATATGATCATCACAGAAAGTGACATTCCTGACCAATGCAGTGTCCAAAGTCCCTTACAAGTTCTCTTTGACTAGTTTTCCACTCACCAGAGTACTATAATTTACACTTCCATCTATCAACATTGAGGGTTCGTGTTTCCACTTCATAGACCCATTTTCCTTTGACTTCCTTTCATTCGCCTGCAAAAGAAAATGCGTTCGGACTCTCAAAGCAACAACAATCCGGATTGAATTGTCCTCGGTTTAAAATCGAGGTTTACATGACTTCATACCTTTTCAGGACCAGTCATCAACTCTTCGGCAGCCGCCAGCAGGTCATCTTCGGTTGTTGCTCCGGCGGTTGTTATGGTCGGCGGTTTCTCATCTGGGCAGTACATTTTGAGCTCCGCTAACTGTACTTCGAGAGCAGCACTACTGTCTTCAAGCTTTGTGTTCTTAACAATTAAAGAACGTGTAAATATCAAATAAATGAACTAATGTATAAATAAATAGATAAATAAATATATGAGAAAAGAATAGACAATTAAAAAAATAAATAAATAAAGACCGAGCCAGCCAGTTTTTAGGTTAGACAGCCGGTCGGCCGGTCAGTCGGACTGTCGGTAGGTCCGTTGGTCGGTAGGTCGGTCAGTCAGTCAGTCCAGTCAGTCTGTCAATCAGCTGGTCAGTCAGTCAGTCAGTTAGTCAGTCTGTGGGTCAGACTTCAAGCTGGCCAACCAGCGAGCTATTCCCACAGTCAAGCAGCCAGCCAGTCAGTTATTCAGCCATCCTAGAAGGTCAATCAGTCCGTCAGTCTTGCCGCCACTCGGCTTCAAGTGGTCTTGACTTACTTCTAATGGTTCTTCTCTTTCTTTTTTCTTCGCTTCCTTTTTTAATGAAGCCATGATTCGTTTCCGATGACCGAGAGAGTTTATTTCCAGAACCTAGGAGCCCGTAAAAGAGAACTGCATTAAGCTCCCGGCTTCATGACAAATCTACACTTAAGCTGAAATTTAATAACGCGTTAAGCCCCGTTCATACGGTCATGATAGTAGATGATAGTTTCAACTTTCATTCACTATCATTGACCACCAAGTTTGCGTTCAACCGTTTCATGTCTATTTTGGTCCCGTTAGTGGATATTTTCTTCATTAGAAAATTACGCGCGTCTTATTAGCTGAAAAAACGAGTGCGTTTTTGATGTAACACGAATGCAAAGTTGTAACACGTGTGCAAATTATAAATAACGCGCGCGCGCGTTCAAAATTTCACCTTTTCACGCAAATTCAGTAATAGGTAACAAAATTATTTCTTGTGCACTTTGGTTTAAACAGGCACATATAATTTACTCGTACTTATTAACACCAAATTGCACTCAAAATGATGTCATAACTTGTAATTGTTCTTGCGTGTGCGCTGCTTTAAGGTGAATCAAAACAGTTTTTCCACCGACAGAATTCTGGAAAGAATACCCGTGTCATCGCGCGAGATTAAGTGTCAGAAATTCTAAAGAATGTCCGCTTAATATGAGTCAACGTCACTAACCGACGTTAGCTCCACTTCCCATAGCCTGTGTATTCTCTCCATATAGGTAAAACCATTGTGTTGAAACACATCATAGTACTCAGAGAGACTCAGAAGCTCTAACCAGTCCTCCAAACTCTCAGGCTTTGCTGACGCAGGGTCGTTGAGCCGGGGACAGGGTTTTAAGGTCTTCACCGCTTCCATGATGGTTCTGTTAAAAAATTAAAATAGGGTTGGTTTCACATTCAATTGGATGTCTGTAATTATTACTTTTGTTTCCTTACGTTCAGTGATTGGTCTAAAAAAGTTGTACCATCCTCTCAACCAATCAGATGCCAACTTAACACCAACCGTCACTTGGTCACTCACGCTTTCCCGCGCTTCGCGACTCAGTGCCTCACAACGATCAGATGCACCATCCTCTCAACCAATCAGATGCAAACTTAACACCAACCGTCACTTGATCACTCACGCTTTCCCGCGCTTCGCGACTCAGTGCCTCACAACCAATACCACAATGACCACAACGACCAATCAGATCAAAACAAAACAAGAGACAGTTCGAGATAAAAGAATAACAGTGAAACCAACGAATTATATAGCCCAGTAGTCAACGTCTCCCAGTAAATTCTTCCACTTCCACAGTTAACTCGCTTAAACTATTCGCCGACTCGCTCACTCTCCTTCCATATCTCATTTGTAGCGTAGGACAGACAAATCTACAAACACTTCAAAACGCTTACTCGAACTGAAATCAGGACTGAATTTTTTAAAATAATAAATGAATTTTTTTCATTCGTACCTTCTGTGGTTAAAGTCCACAATTCCTATATCCATAAGATCATCATCTTCAAGAACCCCATTCTGTAAAAGTGCCACGTTGGTTACAAAAAATATGTCTTAATGCGGTAAACGGTTTGAACCCGGGGGTAGCATGTAACAGTGTAGTTTGATCGCCCGGGTGAGCGTAGTCCTGAGAAGTACTGTTGTCAGTAGTGGTAACTGATGTTTCGACAACCTTTGATGATAATTTCTGCTCGGGTTGTCCAAATGTCAGTCGCTACTATCGACAACAGTCTTCCTCAGGACTACACTCATCCGAACGATCAATTGTACCACATGTCGTTATCATTAGGTCTAAATGTTTTGACCAAGAAAGAGGCGCACTAACATGAACAACAGGAACAACAGCAAAAGTAGAACGTACCAAGAACATGATATTGTCAAATCCATTGGCCACCAGACACGACTCGTACTGATCAAGATCCAGTGCCTTCAGCCAGCCCGCTACAGTGTCTGCCTTGCCTAACATGTACATACAAGAGCGCAAAATGAAGAAATAATTCTCTTAGGCGAGTTGCAATTGAAAAAATTGCGGATAAAAAGCTCAGAAATTTCTAAGCTTCGACATGATTCGAACCCATGCATCTCAAAAACTAGGTAGTCGCTACTACCAATTGAGCTGGGAGCAAGTAAAATTTAAGTGGGGTTACCGTTTTCTTTTATAGCAGCTCTCCTCTGCTCGGATCATTGCTTTACTTATAATTCAACCGAAAGTCAACATATGATTTATTTCATTTAGTTGTGATCAGATTCGTTTACGAGAACGAAGCGTGCATTTGTTCAGACTTCTTTTTCACAATGTCTTTAATTCCGCTCACCCGCGGGGATCATTTAGTGACTTTCTTTCCATCTTCATGCCAACATGTTTTACTTCATTCAAATGTGAGTGTCAAGTAAATTCGATTTAATTTTCCTTGCATTTGCCATTGCTCCCCTTTTAGGAAGATTAAGACCAAGTGTCTGTTACGTGCCCTTTTCTATGCAGAAAGTCATTGCAGATTCTCCTCACTATCTTCTAGGCAGGTGTTTTTTTAAATTCTAAAGCAAACACGACGAGAGAAGGAAAAATAACAAGAGCAACTAAAACGGTTAAAAAGACACCTGCATCAGCGATCTGTAGCTCTAAAGTCTGAGGCATATCAATCTGAGATATTGAAGACAGGAAGGCTTCGATCTAAAGCAAAAACACAAGAAAATTAATTGCTAATGTAATTACATGCGAAAGATACGTCAGGGTCTATATACTGAATCCCATCTTTTTACATGCGCAGGGAGAAATGTTAGTTTTTATGCATAATTTCCCGTTACTGAATTACTTGTTGTTGCTGTTGCTGTTTTTTCGCGGAGGTATTACGGTTTGTTTACCATTTGCCAACCAATACAAAGAGAGCATTAATCTGCTTAGTGACCGATCACCAATAACTATAGAACATGTTCTTAAAGAAATCTCTCTTCCTCTATTTTATAGCACCCCCCAATCTTAAAGATCAGGGTAAAATTATCTGAAAGATGAGAGCAATTTTCAACGGAGTGTCGAAAATAATCCGAGATTGCGCTGGTTTTTCTCTCTCGCGATCTCCGATTGGTGTAGAGAACTCGCAAGGCTAAAAATTGGCGGTCGCACGGTCGCCAGTGGCGAGTTAAAACTGACCAGGGCCACCAAAAGTTAAGGTTTGAATGCCCGATGTGCGACTATGCTACAGAATTTCGAAAAGTTGCAACGTAAATTATGCGAAGTACAAAGTTAAAATAAAACTCAATATGTAGTTTAATTGGACTACCTTTCTCTTCGTTTCTTTGCCTGGACTCTAAGATCATCCATTTTAGCGAAGTTTTTAGTTCTGAAGTGGAAATTCCGAGCCGTTTTAACAGTGATTTCACGAGCTTGTTCTTTCCTTTTAGTTAACACTCCGTTAAAAGTCATGGGGCGTTTATTCAAGTTTTTCATTTTAGACTAAAGGAAATCGAGGGCTACTTCATTTTGGGATGGGCCACGAAGAATTTAAGGAAACTGGCCCGACTGGCCACCAAGCAGTGGAGTTAATTTTTAGCCCTGAACTTGCGTCATCCTCTAAACCAATGAGATTCAAAACTAAAGCCAATGGTGAGACTTGGTCGCCCACGTTTTCCCGCGCTCAGTTCAAGAAATTCACCTGTTGTTACCTTGATTTCTCATTGGCTAATGATGACATCAACCCTTGTTCTTACAGGTTGCCGTCATTAACTTAGCTTCGGTGTTTCGTCAATCAATTGAGAACTGCTTTCATAATAGATTTAACAAAAACCCTGTCAATACCAAAGGTCTGAGTTCAAAAGGATAAATTAGCGAGGAAAAAATCCATAACAGGAACAAAATCTCGTTTGAAATTGAAAACGTTACCTTTTCCCATTCCTCTCTCTCGTCCATGGGGCTATCCGCTGACAATGTGCTTAACCTATATGAATCAGGCCTCTCAACAGAATCATCTTTCTTCGCAACAGTTCCATTCTCGCGGGTTTCACCCGGCGAGTTCTTGTTTACTTCATCGCTTCGTCTAAACAACACATTTTCATAAACCAACGGCGAAGGCCTCGCATCAGTTTGAGTTTCGGCTCCGTCGGGCTCTTGCCGCTCTCCACCGAGTGCAGCGTTCACATCAGAAAAGATATTTTCGCGCGAAGAATGCGGCGAAAAGCGCTTATGTAGCTCGGCAAAATCACTGTTTTTCGGGCTGTCCATCTCTTGCGCGGAAGCCATTGCAGGAGGAAAACTAAACGGGTCTTGACTCCTCTCAAAAGAAACAGTACTGCTTTCAGCTCTCGTAGGTTCCCCCTGTGGAGATGCGTAATCTTCATCGTGCAAACTGTCGTTGCGGGGAAGAAGTTTCGGTTTGGTCCTTTTGCGTGGAATGGGTCGGGGGGGTCGTGGTTGATCTTGTACAACTTCGGGAGCCTCCGGAATTGTCGTCATATCTGAGGATTGTAACGATCCGAAAACATCAAATACTGAGGCTTCAGCAGTGTTTGGCGACGGAGGAGAAAATGGCGGTGTCATTGTAGGTTCTGACATATTCGACATCTCGCTGGAAGCAATGCTGTCTCTGTTTAGAGTTTCGCCAGGTCCTACGGCCGAAGGTGACAGTGTACAATAGTCTCCCCCAGAACCACGACTTTCTCTCCACCGCATTTTGTCCAAGTCTACCGTTCCTACCTCTGATGAGCCCTCAAGGCGCACTATTTCGTAGGCCCCAGACTTAGGGGGCCTCTCAGGTGACGTGGGATCTTGTTTCTTGAGCGAGTGCCAGTCGCAATATTCATTCATTCTCCGTGGGGGGAGCTTAGGCTGAGCTTGTTCCGGTTCCTTCTCGATCCACTGAACTCCAAAGTTAACTGGGGGTTGGGTCGGAGGGGTTGGCTGTGCTGGTCGAGGGGGAAGCTATGAGAACGTAGAAACGTTAATTAAATGAGCAAAGTACTTTCTCTTAAGAGAGACGTGGCCAGGAAGCTGTGAGCGAAGCGGAACGTAAGAAGTCTGCTGAGAGTTATGAGCTGAAGGACGGGAATGGATTCACTCTATAACGCACCAGGCTTCGCACTTAACACTTCTAAACTCTTCGCACTACATGCCACAAACTACACAATTCGTTCTTCACGTAACACACATAACACTTCACTCGTTACACTTCGTTTCGCTCCACATTCTTTCCAACGAATTCTTCCCGCTTCCCGCTTCACATTTCACGTACCATAAATCATTTCTACATGTAGGAAACCTTACTACTTTCCAAACAAAAAATCAAATACGGCAAAACAAAAATTTTCTCTAAAAGAAAAAAAAAACACTTGAAACACCTTTGGAGCCACTTGTACACAAGTTAACCACGAGTTTCACCAAAAGCCGGTTACTAGCGGTCCACTGCTACCTTCAAGCAGCAAGCTCCCGTGTGTTGGGGTTTGTCCTTATGGCCCCTTTCCGGGCACTGCCGTCTATTACACCATAGGCAGCCGCTTAAGGGAAAAGTTATCTGATGATCTGATTGTTAATTCTCCTTTCTGGCTACTATTCATTTCCTTGTAAATCCGCTACGAGAATTTGATGTTAGATTAAGATGACAAGTTTGAGTATTCTCATTGCATGTTTGCTGGATAATGTAAGAATATTATAGGGAGAAGTTACATGTTAATCACTTCTGGGAGTTAAGGGGTTAAATAAAGTAGATAGCTTACCGGAGGTACGTTTCGTGGAGATGGTGCAATTTCATACACGGGAGACACCATAGACGGGGGCACCTCATACAGAGATGACGAGCCAGGAATGTTCACTGCGCTGGTCCGTTGCTGGGTCACTCGCGCTGGTTCTGTCTGAGACCCTGTTTTTTGAGGACCTACCATGGCAAGGGTTTCATAGTCTCCACGGCTGCTTAGCTGCTGTTGGATGTCAATTGGAGGGCCCAGCTTTTCGTATCCCTCATCTTGGGGTGGGAGCATGGGTTCATACCCAGGCAGAGAAGCAAAGGGTTTCATTTCAGGCGCTGAGTCGCCAGCGAAAGAGCTTAGGTTTCGTGGTTGTACAATCTCGTACCCTGGTGCATCCAAGGGGCAGGATCGGTTTGTTAGAGTCGTACCACCTGCAGCAGAGGAGCTCACCTCCGGGCTACCTCGCTGATTCTCAGATGTTCGACTCAGTGGAGGAACTATGTCGTAAGAGGGCTGTTCCATTGTAGCTTTTCGTGGTGGGAGGGACACAAAGTCGTAATTAGTCGCTTCCTGTCTTGGGTGATTGACCGGCTGATTGACCGGCTGATTTCCAATCCTGGTGTTTTCGTACATATCAAACGACTGACCCCTTGGAACTCTAGAGGAGACTTGAACGGGAGGGCCATTCTCCTCCTGACCATTGCCTTTTCCCCTTAATGTTGCAGGGGGGACTTCATAGACACTGTCATGTTGGTTTACATCAGGTTTCGGTCCTGATGGCAGATTAACAAGGTCATAAGTGCCTCCACTTTGGTTCTGCGACTGTGAATGTGGACGGGTGGTCTCACCAACCAAACAATAGTCAGGATTGTCTATGCTAGCTATGCCTTCAAAAAAAATGGGAGATCACTCAAACATGGCCCCTTAGAAAGCTCGTGAAAAGGTAACTTCTGCTAACAAGTCTGTGGCTCTATACAGCATTTTTCGATTGGGTGTCGAAAGTAATCCAGGCTTCCCCCTGGGTTTCACTTTACGGCGCAATTTGATTGGTCTAGAAATCTCGTGCCATCCTCTAAACCAATCACATTCAAAACTAAAACCAGTCGCGACTCGGTCACTTGCGTTTTCCCGCGCTTCAGGCAGTTTGCTTGCATTCACTTTGAGTTTTGATTGGCTGATTGTGACATTTTCTTTTCTACTGATTGGCTGTAGTAATTATTTGGTTTTACAACACTCTATCCACATGCGCTTTATTTACCGTTGTCTCGCGCCTAAGCGATATGTCCGAGTTGAAATAGGTAGCGACAAACAGTCTGTTACAAAATGTATGGGGAGGGGAGGTGGGGGGCGAACTGTCTTCAACTGTCTTCTCATGAAAGTTTAAATCCCTGAAATTTCTGTTGCGTACATGCACAATTGTTCAAGGTCTTACCCATAACCTTTTCGTGGGTACTGTGTCTGGAGTAAACGAGTATTAAGTTACATAAACTGACATCTCCATTTTCCGGCACCTGTCACTGTGCGTCAGAATTTTAATAAACGTATGCCACAGTACCAGTGAAAGAACCTTAATGTCTACACTATTGTAACTGACATGGAAAGAGTTTCACTTTCCCCAGCCGACCAGGAAATGCCAGACAGGAATACTCACCCGCCGGTATTTGAGAAGGAGGCCCTGTCCAAGGCGAGACAATGGGCTCACCTTCTTTCCGCACTTTGGCATAGGTACTGCCTGGTCGCAGTGGGCATTTACCATTAGTGACTGCACTAAGGTTGCCTGGAAGTCCCACAAGAGTGTAACCAACAGTGATCTCCTGGGAACTTAACGCGGGTGGTGCGTCTGTGGCAGGTTGCTCAGGGAAACCCAATAGGGTGTACCCTTCACCAGCAAACGTCAAATTGTTATTGATTGGAGGTCTGGACCCTACTTCTTCATATTGAGTCCAGTCAGTAGTGTGTCTTGCAGACGCAGCTGAAAATGAAAAAAGGTCGACGTAAAAACCTCTGAATTAGCTAAGATACATTTTTCTTCACAACTCAAAGAATCAGCCACCGCATGAATTATATAAATCTACGTACACTCTATCAAAAATGCTGCAATCTAATTGACTTCGCTACTCACCACCTATTTCTTAAATAAACTCGAAATGTGGTATAAACAAAAAAGTGGCTCACGAGGGCAGCTGAGTGTGTCACCTCTGATCTTTTTGTTCTTTAATCAAACTGTTATTAGCTAATAACCTTGGATGCCCTGGGTTAAAGTTGTCGCGTTGTAAATATGTAAACCTACAGTGTGTGTTGAAACTTACCTTTAGCTGGTGGTACCTGATCATAAGTTGGCTGCTCCTGGAAACAAAAAATTATCTTCTTTAAACTATACAAACCGTGCTGTATGTATTATGGACCAAGCGTGCGGTCAAGATGGCTGGATAAGTTCCGAGTTCTTTTTGGCATTTCTATGGACTGAGACGAAGTCATGGCCCACAAAACGCAAAAACAAGAACGAGTCACTTTTAAGTGCATCCCAGGTTTTCTGCAAAAATCTAGGTTTTGCCAAAAGTCAGCCAGCATTAATTAATTGACCACGCAAGAAGCTTAGTCAATAAAGGATTCAGTGTATAGCAAAATATTTCTCTTTCATTACAATCAAGAATGGTTTTTTTTCCCGCGCTGGAAAATTCATATCATTTGATGTTTTAATAATTATTTATTTTTTTTAGTTTTTGTAGCACGTTAAACTCAGAACGTCTTTCATGTCTCTTTTGTTAGGAAAGTTCTCTGCCACTTTTTACCACTCGATGCCGACGACATTCTCCAAAAATCTTGAACTTTTTAAGTCCGCTCGATGCAATTTTTTGTTCTTACGCGGGATCAAAGCAGGCAATAGAGTTTTAGATCCACGTTTGGTATGTTCACCGCAAACATAAAACCGCGGTCAGCAGTTTGTGGTTAGAGGTTAGAAGTTTCGAGACTTTCAGCTTTTTAGATCGACGTTGGCTTTTACATGAAAAAAATCAACATTTGCGCTGCCACCTGGAATTACACAAAGGATGAGGTTCCTTCATTTCAAACACGGAGTTCAAACGTAGACGGCAAACGGCGAACGTGACCGCTGGGGTCACGTGACTCGTTGACGTTTGCGGTCACACAGTTTCAGAAACAAACGTGGATCTAGAACTCCCAAATGACGGGCCTAGAATACAGTCATATAAAAACAATGACAGGAAGACAAAGTAGAGATGGTTTCTATGGCATACATTCTCCAATGATTACTGAACCTCTCAGCCTCATTCTCAAAAGCTACAACTCTTAGGACACAGGCTTTCCAAAAGCAAGTTTCCCCAGAACCATGATGAATTGAATTAAATTTTTTTTAAAGCTAGCAATCATAGAAACTTTATCACAACTAATAGCCTGTAACAATTCAAAGGCACTTACAAATGACTCCTGTCTCGTTCGTTGGGTAGGCACAGCATCGTAAGTCCCTGATCTTCGAAGGGCATTTGGATCCAAACCTGTAAATGACAAAACCTAGATCAGCTGCAATCCTCGATAAAACCGTCCACAGGTTGACAAACAATGATCAGGGGGCAAAGTGCATTAGTAAAGTAGCAACAAGATTTCGAGTGCAATTTGTTGTTAATAAGCACGAGTAAATTTTTCAAAGACAACAAAACTGCACGAGCCTATAGGACAGGAAAAATTTACAAGTTTTTTTACACCAAATTGCCAGCGAAATTTTGTTAAAAATTTCTTGTCACTAATATACATGAATAAACATCAAAGGAAGGCAAGACAGACGTAAATTTTCAGAGCGTGCGCGTGCCATTTATAATTTGCACTCGTGTTAAAACTTTGCACTCTTATTACACAAGAATGCACCCGTTTTCAGCCAATCAGAGGCACGCAATTTTTTCAAGTACGTTATTAACCTCCTTGCTCCCTAGAGTGATCAATAATCAGTTAATGGGAATCCTCAAACTCATCATGCAGAAGTTATAGAGATCTAACACCAAATATCCCAAAAATGGTTCAATTTCATAAGAGTACGTCAGAAACAAGATAGAAATTTATCAATCAATTTTACAACACACCTGTCTGACGTGGAACAGGTTTATAGGTTGAACTCCTGGAAACAGCCATTGACTTAGGACGCTCGGGGAACCCCTAACGTTATACATTAGAAATTGAAGATTACAACTAATCACATTTTTAAATGCAGTTTTTAATTGACTGTGGAGGTTTACCTCTTATAATATTTTTTTGGGGGAGTCTAGTTGCCACAAAAAAAAAATATAAAAATGACTGGCTGGAAGATATTTACAGGATATCTAGAGGCCTAAAAATTGGACAACCAAAGAGAAAAAGACAATTTTCCTAAGATTAAAAAAAATTACAGAGTATCAACAATAACTCGTATCAAATTTCATTTCAGGTTAACTTTAGAAAACTGATTCTGAGTATTGAAAAAAACAACAACGAAAAAAAAAAAAAAAAACAGCGTACTTCTACACCACTTGCATACAGTGTAGGTTGTAAACTGGCAATGCTGCATATCTAGTCACCAAAACCTTTCTTTGCTCACCATAGCAACCCAAATGGTCGTGGCTTTGAGAACTAGGGAAGCCTAGTTTCAATGGCTAAGTTAATCTGTACTCCCGCCCTGAGTGATTGGTCATACTCTAACTAAAATGAGTGGCATGAGTAGTTGGCTCGTCTTTCCTTAGAAGGTGGTTGACAAACCCTCCACTCAAATTAATAAACAGAAATCTTGTAATTCATCCCTGATGAGTCACTTGAAAGTCTGCCCTTTCCCCCAAACAAATTAGTGACCAATATTTTTACGGAGATAAACAAAAAGTTATATAGAAAATTCAAAAAGTAGTGGAGCATGCCACATCTTTTGCCACTCATTGCAGACAGTGACAGCTGACTCTGATTTGAGTATAACTTGGCAATTGCATAAAAAAATCAGGTGCTCTCTTTCCTTTTCTTACTCATCCACCAAACTGACAAAATCTAAAATGTTGACCAAATCATTTTTAAGAATAGAAGCCTGTGGATGATAGTGAGTTTGTAATTAAAAGCTTTTACATTTACTTATCTAGCACATCAATGTGCCTTTGATGGCCAAGTTTATATTGGGAAGGCAAATAGTCCATTTTACAGTTGAGTGCTAGGTTGCCAAGCCTTTGAACAAGAGTGAGGCTAAGGTTGACCTTGTTGTGATACAAACATTCTGCTTTTCAAATGTAAATTACTTTGTTATCATGCAAACAAGATACTGATCTTTATCATAACAAGCTACCTTCAGCCTCACTCCAGATCAAAGGCTTGGCAACTAAGTAAACAACTGTAAAATGGCCTATTGTCATACATGTTAAATTGATTTGAACTCACAGGAAATGTGTCTGATGTCCTTGCTGAGTTTCTTGTACTTGGTTTAAACTCTGTGATGACAGCAGAGAAAATAGTTATTAATAACAAGGACCTACAGTGTACATGATACAAATGAAAATCACAGACATCTTTTATGACACATCAACGGGTAATTTAGTTATCACACATGCCCTTCTTCACCCAGGAGTACTGGCTAACTTTTGAGAAAACAAAAATTCCTGCAGAAAACCTGGGATGTACTTCAAGTGACGAGCATCTGATTTCTTCTTACAATAGCACCTCTAACTCAAACATTAGGGTCATGAAAATAAGGGAAATGATAACTAACTGAACAAATTCTTGAAAGTTGAACAAATTTTCATTGTTGGTGCCATAGGCAAGGTGTAGAGAACAATAATTACAGAGATTAAGCATTCTCATAATCACCTCAGACTACTGAGATAAATTCATATTTACTGGGATAGGGAAGCTACACAATTCCTTCTTGACAAAAGATTCACCACATATTGTGTAAAATTAGTGTGTCAAAATGTTAATATTATCCCTCTGACCCTTAGGAGTCACACATTAAGGTCACGATAATAAAGGAAATGATTATCAACTAAACAATCTCTTGATTGTCAAACAAACTCTTCTTGTCCACACCTTAGGAAATGTATGGAGTGTAAAAATATACACAAACATGCATGCAACAGCTGGAAGCATTTTAGTTGAACAAATCATCTCAACCAATGTAATTTAACATTATCAACTGAGTTGATAACATAAATTGGCCACTGCAAAGAATTTAAAAGCTAACATTTCAAGTGTTAGCCCTTCATCAGAGTGAACGTCAGCTTTGAAACTCTTTCCTGTCACCAATTTACATTATAAACCTAGTTGATAATACTAAATTACCCTGTTATACCCTCCCACCGATGTAGCACCACAGTTTCCTCAGAAACTTACCCCTTTACCCCTTTATTCATTTATCTCTACCAATGATCTGACTTTTGTCTGCAATTACTCACAGAATTGTTTGAACTCACCAGTGTTTTGCCGCCTTAAATAAGAAACAGGCTCTTTGAGGCTGGAGGCTGGTTAGTAACAAGTTCAAGCAGAAAATTAGTAGCATTGAAAGAATTGGAGCATCACTAGGTATTAAGGTGATTCCTCAGTTTTGCGCTGCGCATCCTGTATTGCGCATAGGGATCAAGTAATCAGAGCAATGAGCACATGCGCACTCCCAAAACACAGTACTATTTTTCAATCCGTGGAACAGGTAAAGAGGTGCAATGGTCTTAAGCTCTTGAATGTGCATTGTGACCTTCCTTTTTTTTTGCATAATTTTGGTGTAAAATTTATCCCCATTAAATTTAGGAAATTAGAAAAAATTCCTTAAGGGAAAAAAAATAAAGCTAAAAGTGTGCACAAGGCCCATTACTCGAGGATGCAAATTATGACCTTGAAAGGAATGACTTGAGGAACATTTTGAGTGAATTTCATTGAAATTTGCATGATTTTCCCAAAACTTAAATACTAAATTGTTCCATAAGCTTGAGACTTTCTACCTGTCAAGTTTTTTTAAAGTGTTTATTTAAAAACCCTTGCTCAGTTCCAGCTGCAGCAAAATGTCATGTGTGATTAGTGCCAGTAGAGGCATTAATGGGGTAAGTTTTGTCCTTCATGTCTCCTAAACAAGCCATTGACCTATCTTTTTTATTGTATTTTTTTGAAACAGACATTGGTGAGGAACATTTAAGGAGAATTTTAAAAAAATCGTTCAATAACATTTTTTCCTGAGGAATCACCTTAACAAACTTTATACAGTGAAAATGGAAAATCATTCTAAAGTGCATAAGAGCATGTTAACATTATAGAAGTGATTAAGGGAACTCACCCCCAGCCCTCCCAAAGCTACAAATTAAAATAGCTGGTTACTCTTCAAGCACAGCTATGCTCCAGGAAATGTATATTAGTTGTTATCACTACCATTAATAAGAAGAACGCAATTGATTATGACACTGGCTAACTTCCTTTTGGAAACTTGACTTTGCAGACACATGCTGAAAATCTGACTATGAATGTGGCCATTTTCTTTTCAGTATCCTGGCTAAATTTCTGTGCCATAACAGATTCTCAAACCTCTTCTTTCCATCTCTAAGAGGTCTGTTTGAACAAGGAGCTATGTAAAAGGCATTCTTGCCAAAAGAAAAAAATTGGTTTTTGATAACCAGGAGAGAGGTAGCTGCTTTTTAACCCCTTTTTGCACCATAGTATTGCCCAACTTGATTGCACGGTCTATCAACACGAGACCCCATCCATACATGTATACAATTGTTTTGAAAAGGTTGTAAAAGTGCACGCAACAAACCCAAAAGGTATTGTGGGTAGTTTCAGGTCACATCTCTTTAACCTCATGATCAGGATTTTTGAGAAATCTGAGAATGATGAGGCATTGCGCATTTAATGAATTTATTTATTTATTTGACTTAGATGTAAACTCATTGATTGCCAGATACCCAGATAACCTTTCAAGATTTTTTCATGCACTTACATCCTTTTTTTCTGAAAACCTTTCTCAAGAAAGCTGCATGCAATTGTGTCAATCAAACCTTGCATACAGGTTTAACAAGAAGATCAAGATCAATAAAGGATAAGTTGTATTTAAAACACACCGTATATTAGTTCTTTTATCTCCCTTGTTCTTCCAGAAGGGTGTGATGCTAAAAGGTCCAACACTGTTTTGTTGTTGCCATCCACAACAGTGACATCAATCCCTATGGCAACGAACAATGAGACCTTATCTTCTACATTTGTACAAGGTTATACTATTTTCATACCCAGCCAGGACAAGGAATTCTCTAACACTGTTTAAAAGGCTGGATTTCACTGTTTCCAAACCATTCCAGAGCTTTCTGACTAATAAAACTCAAAATCAAGACAACTCTGATTGCCTTGGATGGTCATCCACCAATCTGGAAAATCGGGGGTGTTTCTATATTCCTAATGCATCCCAGAGTTCTAAGATGGTTGCTGATCATTGAAGATAACTATATGAAAACTTTATTCATCACCAATTCTCTAACTGCTCAGTTCCTGCATCCCCAGCTCAAAGATAATTGGCATCTATAATCAACTAAGACAAACATCTGGCGATCTTCTAATACAAACATATATCAGCAAAATCTGGGACAGTCAAGAAATGGTGAGATTGCCAATAGTCTGGGACTTTCCAGATAAACAAAAACCAGCCTTTACCCCAAGGTTCTCACTTCTAATATCTTTACTTGGTATTTAAAAATATTCATAGAACCATTGAGTCAGTTTCAGTCTCAGAATTATCGTACTAACAATGGTCAACACTTAATCAGCAAAGATAAATTTTTGTACAACTTTGGAATTATGACATTAACCCTTGGACTCCCAAGATCCATTTAGCAATTCTCCACTCTCACCAATAAACATTTCCTTGTCAATGAGAAGGAAGAGTTCATTGCTATGATATCCTCTGCAAATGACCCTGTCTGTTCTCACAACCTATTTGCAAAATACTATATTGGAGGTAAAGGGTTAACCCCTTTAACTCCCAAGATCTCGTTAGAAATTCTCCTTACTGTCTGCCAAATAATTCTCATTATGTTAGTTTGAAGAATTTGGTATTGAATCAATTAGTAATCCTATAATTGATAGTTTTCTTTATTCTCATCACTCATCTGATTGATATTGTATAGATAATAGTAAGGAGAAATTCTGTCTTGGTCACTCACAGGAGTTAAAGGGTTAAGACTGAAAGGGAAGCTGTAAAGAGTTCCAAATTAAGCCTCTAAAGTCTTAATTGCACATCCAGAGTCTCAAGAGTTGTCTGGTGAACTCACAAGTAAAAATTTATAGTCACCAGCATTTCAGCCTCTGAACTAATCAACTTACCACACTGTAGAAGAAGATTAACCACATCCACTTTGCCATACAGTGCTGCTTCATGAAGGGCTGTTCCAGATGTACCCTACAAGAGTTATAATGTCACTTAATGGGAGCTATTTATTGTCATTAATCATAACCATTACAATTTCCTCAAATGTAATTGGTGCATTAGCTGCTTTTTTTTCACTAATCATTCAGTACAGTTGTAATTGGACTTAAATTTCCTAAGGTGCTAAGAAAGAGAACTTGTTTAATAATCAAGAGTCTCTTTAGTTAGTGATCATTTCCTTTACTCTCGTGACCTTAATGAGTGATTCAGGAGGATGTTGTGGGGAGAAACTAGATGTTAGTCATTCCTAGGGATGTCATTTTCTCAATTAGTGATTTAGAGGTGATGTAGGGAGAAATTAGATGCTAGTCAATCCAAGGGATGGAAGATTAAAACTGATATATTACCGATATATTGACATCCATTCCACAACTAAGGAAATATGACACCACATTTATATGGCCGTTTCTTGCAGCAAGATGAAGAGGGGTGTGCGTTCTAACCATATTTCCATCTTCAAGGAGATCAGGATGATAGTTCAACAACTGCTTCACCTATAATCAGAAAATTACCATTTTTAACCCAGTTCTAGATTATTACTTAAATAACCCTTTACACTCTAACATCAATATGCATATTCTCCATACTGTTCTGCAAACATTTCCTTAAGTGCAGAGTAGAAGAGTTTGTTTAACAATCAAGAGCTTCTGTAGTTGGGGATCATTTCCTTCATTCTCTTGACCTGTACATTTCCTGAAGTGCTGACAGGGAGAATTTCCAAAACAATCAAGAGCTTTTTTTTATGAGCTGATCATTTCCTTTATTCCCATGTGTGATTATAAGGGTGATATGGAAAGGAAAAATTTGATGCTAGTCACTCTTGGGGGTTCAAGTGTTAATTATTGCTAACCCGTATAAATCAAACATTTTAAAGCCAAAAAAACTGAACATGTCAATTCAGTCCACTCTCAATTAACCACCTGACTCAGAGCAAAGTTTCTATGAGTTTGTCTGAAATGTTTTTTACTTACAGCTTCCATTCGACCATACTGTGCTGCTAAATCAAGTGGCGATTCCTGACGACTGTTTCGAATACGAGGATCTGCATGATTCTGTAACAAAAATATGATATCAAGAAAAATACCAAGCACATACATTTAACTGAATTCACCTGGAAAGAATACTGGCAAAACACCAGTCTAACTCATTAGGGACAACAGCTTGTATGGTAGAAATCGAATAAAATCATATTATGCAAGGTCTTATAAAATGAATATCAGAGCCTTCTGCCGATTTTTTTTAATCATTTCTATTCAAAGAAAAACCTACCGGTATTTGTTGTTCAAAGGGCAGATAATGCTATTCAATGGATAAACTGCTATCCAGCAGATAAGCGTTAACATACTGTGTGTTATCCACTGGATAGAAATTTATCCAGTGGATGGTGTTTGGGCCTGTTGGTCAAAGGGATGACAATGCTATCCAAAGGATAAATTTCTATCTACTGGGTACTGCACCATCCACTGCAAAGAGATTTATCTAGTGGATAGTGTTATCTACCCTCTGAACAACCGAATCCTGATCTGTCATCAATCTTTGCAGCCTTCATACATTAAATAATAGACATCATGTACCTCAAGTAAAACAGCTACAACAAGACTTTGCCCAAACTGAGAGGCAGAATGTAAAGCTGTGTCCTCTGTATCATTCTGTTCAGAATCAGGATAAGAATAAACCACAATGTCAAGAAATGATCCACGTACATCTAACATCTAGTACTGCTCAGTGACAAACCTGTTCATTGACATTAGCTCTTGATGGTCCTGTGTTTATGAGCACTTTAGCCACATCAGCATGGCCATTCCATGCTGCCAAATGAAGGGGGTAGTTTCCTACAGATATAAAATAGTTCTTTGTTTTTAGATCAAATTTTTTGCATTACGTCAAAATGCAGTAACTGAAGGAAACAAATTTCATTCGACCTGCAGATTGAAAATCAAGTAAACCAATGATCCTCATCACAAAGTGTTTCAGATTCCTTCATGGAAGAGAAGAATACTCCAAAATCTGCCTTGCTCCCTAGGTGCAACTTCAAAGCTTCAGCTGATGGTGGTGTCCAACTACTGCTATAGTATTTGGGGGCATTGGTTAAATTCCTGTCAAGGCCTGAATTTCATTTGAGGCTTCTTTTCTCCAAGCGCTAAAATTACAGCTCAACTATGGATCATTGCAACACTTGATTTTCAATCCAAAGGTCTGATGAAGTTTATTTCATTACAAATTGTGAAGTTTGGTTGTTTGGTTACTTTAGCTCACATGCAATATCATTCCTCTGATACTCACCAGAAGTATCTGGAATGTTTGTTGAAGCATCATATTTTAAAAGAAGCTCAGCTGATGACCTGAGAAAGAAGCAAAACAAAAATAGATAAATGTGGGAATACAACTGATAGAAAAGTCTGTACTGTGTGCATTGTGATCTTCGACCAACAGATACTGGTTGGAAAAAGGGATAAACTACTAAAGAAATAACAATGCTAGGAAGGAGGCAACTTGTAAAGAAAAATGTGCAAAAAATGGAAGTGTGAAAGAAACCACTGATACAACTAAGAGAAAAGGGGTCCTAAAAGACACGTACCTCTTCCACTGCCTTTTTTTTTGTGAAGATGAAAAAGCAATTACTAGTATTTATGGTCATTTTAACCTTTTTAACCCCAAAAGAAACAACCATTTACTTTTTCAATAAAGTGAAAGCTGATCATGAGAATCAAAGAAATGATTGCCAATCTAAAAAATCTTTGATTGTCAAACAAATTCTCCTTGTTAGTACGAAAGGAAATGTATGGAGAAGAGTGTGGAGAATTTGGATACTGATATTAGTAGTGGGCTAAAACAACATACAGTAGCCTAGTATACTGTAGCCTATAAACCAAACACCATTAAGGACACTAGAGTGTGTTAAATCTCGGTAGTGGAAAATTATGCCCGCATCCATGGAACGTGATAACCTTAAGGTTAACGAAAATGATAAAACATCAATAGCTAGAGGGTTAAGGTGCTGGAGGACATACAGGTAATTGGAAATGAATGGCGCGCCAGTCTTGATCGAACACACATTCGTGAATAAAGTTCATTTTTCGCGATTTTTGGAATGAGCGATCGGCTGACAAAGAATTAAAAGTTAACTGAAAATATCAATGAAAGACAGCAACCGAGTTATGCACGTAATTGCACAGTGCGTGTAATAACACGTCCAGGTTTCCTTGTGTCATTTCCGATCCAAGTAAAAAAAATATTATCGTTACCTGTGACCATTTAATGCTGCATAATGAAGCGGAGTGTATCCAAGTTCGTCTTGATGATTAGGGTTGACGGTCCTGCTCATCAAACTGCAAAAGCGTGAAAATCAATAAACAAGAGCAAAAGAGCAATCAGCTTTCATTTCCTGTCAATCTGTAAGACAGCTCCCAAATACCTTTGAATTCCAGACTTCCTTGTCTTATTACCGAGAATCTTCTCGATGTGTGCGACATTTCCAGTTTTTGCAGCTTGTAGAAGGTCTTGCTCTTTCCCCATAGTACCTGAATAGGTGAAAGAATGGCTACCTTCTTGCACAAAATAATTGACATCTAATACAGGATAAAGAGCCAGCCTAAACCGCCATTTTGTTTTTGCGTTCCAATGATTGACCTCGAACCAGTCTCCCTCGTTGAAATACAATCACAGCTCATCGCAGCCTACAATTTTTGCTCATGCCAATTCAATCCAACTTTGTTCCGAACTTTAAGATCGCCAAAGGTTACTTCCCACCTTCAGAGGCCGAAAAAATGGATTTTTCTTTTATTTTTGTAAAATTCACACGTGGCATCACTGCTTATGAAAAAATCTTTGCTCATGGAAAAATTAAAAGCAGAAGAAAGTCTTAAGTAAAAAAAAAAAAAAATGCCCAACGAAGAAAGAAAGTACCATTCTGTCAAGAGAAGTAAAAAAAGTTCCTTTGTGAAAGGGACTGGTACTGGCGGAGCTCCTCACTGGCGTCCAGATTTCCGGAACAAAGAAGTCGCCGTCAAACCAAAACTTGTCATACATGATGTTAAAAACGAGGTTTCCTTCTCTGTTTGCAAGTACCAGCCTTGGTACAAAAACTGTAAAAATCACCTCGAAAAAGAGCCCATTAAGTAATGGGCTCCTGCCTCGAATCGTAATTTTGAAAACTGTATCTCGATTCGTTGTCTCGCTCCTCAGCACATTTTCCGGTCTTTCCATCTTTTGCCGCGGGTTTTTCCTTTGCTTTTGGCAACTTTGCTCATTATTGTGTCGTCCTCCAAAACGCTCTTTGAGCGATCGAGATAAAACAGTAAGGGAAGGTACGTTTTTTCTTGGGGGGGGGAGGGCTGGGGAATTTTGGTATTTTTTTCCAAAAGAAAGTGTTGGCCCTCCCTCATGTTTTGATTAAAAAACTCCTGACCCCCCCCTCCCCCACTTTTAGGTGACTGACAAAAGTGTGACCCTCCCCTCACTACCACATGGTATGCTCCATGCCATAGAAACCTCAGAACATTTTTCGACATTTTGCTTGTAAACGCAAAATGTTTGAATATGAATAAATCTCGATATTGAATATGTGCGCGCTGAAACAAGAAAATGCGAACGATCAGTGTGGGATCCAGGCTTTACTTTATACATGTAGACACCCAGTAACTTTGTAAAACTAGTACCTGCACCGAATTAAAAGAAACAAGTTGAAAAGAAAAAACTTAGTCTGTCAAAGAAAAATGGAAAATAACATCACAAAAATCCTCATTAAAAATTCTGGAAAAGGTGTGACCCTCCCCTTGAATAGCTGAAAAAGAGGGTATGGCCCTCCCCCTTTGGTGCTCACTTTCACTGATGACCCTCCCCTCTGAGGCCCCAGCCCTCCCCCCCCCCCCAAGAAAAAACGCACCTTCCCTAACAGTCTGTTATGGTTACATTTCCCGGGAAATCTTGATCCATCATCATTAATGCCAGGAGGTCCCGTTGTCCTATTGGTTTGCGGCATGGCGCTGGTTGTTTGCGAACCTTTATGAGCTAAAATCTCGCATTTGATTTTGGGAGGAATACAGCCACTTTGAGCGAATTTATAGGGTATATGGATTCAACCGATTTTCGTTAAACTTCGCCAAAACATTCTAGGAATAATGACAAACGAAAGTGTTTCGGGAAATTTTGATATTAGAAATATCTGTCCCGTGGCGCCCATTTACGCAGTGCGCCTTGCATATTTACAGCTACTCCAACTATAGATGCCGATATCTAGACAACTAATCAGAACATCGAAAAAGCTTGACACGCTTTTGTTGATCCATGCCTTGTGAATAAGACTGTGCAGCCATTTTGCTCGTGCTGCGGCATTCGGTCGTTTCACGCCTTACCGGCTCCTGACACTTCCCTAAAAGAAATTTGGCTTAAAATATACTTTTATCGTAAACTGCGGTTAATAAACTTTTTGTCTGATATATAGTTTGCTGGGAGCTGGAGCTGGGATTTTGATGAAGCTAGCGCGCGTACGAATTTTTTTCCGAAGGACACCCGCGAAGGTGGGAAGTAACCTTAAGTCATTCTAAAATAGGAAGAGTACACTGTCAATTTGTTTGCAGCTGAAACCCTTGGCCTTTCCTCTAATAATCTGCTGATGAGAAAAAATTTTCTCCAAATCAGTGGTTAAAAGTTAATTTTGGAACAAAATGACTACCCCTCTGTCGACCCGAAAGGACACGGGTCGACCCGCGACCTTTTATCTGTAAAAGAGTTCCAGAAAAGTCGGTCAGCGGATATTCAAAAAAGCCCGCGAAAATGACGCGCTTGCGTGTGCTCTGCCAACTTTCTCATGGCTTCTTCATAAAATGACTGTAGTTTTGTGCAAGGAAAGAGTTTTCCACGATTTTTTTCGACATTCCGTTTCAATATGGTATGGAAAACGATGATAACGAATGGCAGGAGTTGTAGGGTCGTAGCTCCGCCTGAAAGCCATCGAATTCTTCTGTAACCCTGTCGTTGATGAGTTAAATCGCGGAAACGAGAAGGGTTGTACGGCTTGCAATCTAAAATGATCAGCTCAATTAATTATACACACACTCCACATGAATCACACGAAATTCATGACAGTAACCCATATGCAATCCTGTTTATTTTTATGTCATGCACTATCGGAGGTAAGCTTCAAATTGTCTTAGTTTTTTGACATTGCTAATGTACGTACCAGATTCAGAATCACTTTACAGGCATATGTTAATCGTTTTTTCTTCGCCAGCTATTGTTCGGCAAATAATGAAAGGATGGCCTATCCCATACACCGTCGTTCTGATTGTTCTGGGACTTTGTTTTGGAACAATATCAGGTGCTGTTCCAACACTACAAAAGTAAGGCAATTTTTACATTTTTCTTTTACTTGGAAGGAGGACTCTCAATAAATATAAACAAAACCAATAGTTAAAGCAAGTTGATGCCATCCGTGTTAGGATGAGAAAATGATTAGGAACGTTACTGGTATTCAATAGATTTACTCTCACCTCCGCAGGCCTTATTTTCACTACTACTTATATAAGTAGTGTTTATAACTGCAAGGAGCGTTTCCATCTTCGTTTCTTCAACCACTGTTTACATATATGATTTTCATATATTAACAGTCATTTATTCACCACTTCGAGGGTTTATTTGAATCAACAATGACCAGCTCTTAGTTAAGTTGGCTTGTCAGCACAGTTGGGAGAGCACTGCACTGGTATCGTGGAGGTCATGGGTTCAAATCCCGTACGGGCCTAAGTTTTTTCCAGGCCCTACTTTCAATACTACTTAAGTGGTGTTCAATACTAGGAGGATTGCTCCCATGTTCGTTTCTTCAACCGCAGTTCAAATGGAAAGGAGTTTTGAAAAGTAACCGCTTACTTCTACGTTACGAGACAAAAAAATAGCACGCTAAATTAATAACAAGGTTGGACAAGAAAAAGACAGACATTTGTAGACAAACATTTCTTAAGGAATTTGAGTCAATTGCTCATGGCCATCTCCATAATCATTTGCTATTAACTTCAATGCGAAAAAAAAAACAAGAAAACAAGAATCTCGTACAAACATATTTAGTAACAAGCATCAGTGTCACAGGAACGTTTTGGAAAGATCAAAGAACTGAAAGCATTTTTTCTTCTAATTAAGGTACACGTCTATGTCAAGTCAGAACCCTCATCTTATACTAACCACCTTCCTACCAGTTCTACTATTTGAGTCAGCTTTTGCCATGGATGTCCATATTTTCTACAAGATGTTCTGGCAAGTTGTGTTGCTTGCAGTGTTTGGTTTAGCTGTTGCCACAGCTTTGTCAGGTATTATGGCCAAGATGGTGTTCGTTGATTATCAATGGACTTGGCTTGAGGCCATGCTATTCGGATCAATAGTAAGTGCCACAGATCCTGTGGCTGTAGTTGCCCTGCTGAATGACTTGGGTAAGCGATGCAAAAGTCAGTTTACATCAAATTGTTTAGCATTGTATCAAAGAAAGTAATGTCGTCTCAGTAATGTCAGAGTAGTAAAAATTATCATAGTACCTTTCTAATGATAAACAATCACCACCTTTAATTTTTTAACTCTAAAAGCGACTGGCTTAAAATTTCTCCTTTTACAATATCACCGTTGAATCAAATGTCTAAAGGTCATGAAAAAATTGGACATTTTTCTTAAAGAAATCTCCTTGTCATTACCACTCTAGTGGCAAGAGTGTGAAGAGTGTAAAGGGTTACATGATGTGACAGTCATTAAACTTTAGAGCTGTGGAACACAACTTAACTTTGAGTGAATGCTTCAAAACTGTGTAGTCAAAGGGTAATATTGTAACTAATTGTGATCATAACTATTTATGTAGTCCTTATTGGCGATAATCTCCTTCTGTTTCGAAATTATCCTCATGAACAACTGCATTAAAATATTTGAATAATTAAAATGTTTAACCCTATGCACCTCAGGAACAAGCAAGCAGTTGTCTACTATCATAGAGGGTGAATCACTGTTAAACGATGGAATGGCAATCGTGTTGTACAAGATCTTTTTTAGCCTGGCATTTTCCTCGATGACTGGTAAGAAATCAAAAAAGTTCGTTTTAATTATTTTTTCAGTGTTTATGCAATACTTACAAATTACAGTAATAACATTACTAACACAACTTACACGACTATGATACCTGCATTGCTCACAAAAATGACGGAATAATAGTAACGATAGTTGTAATTTTGATAATGAAAATGACAATAAAAATAAAAATAAATCAGTAAGTAACTGGCTGGAGAAATGTGATGATTTATTAGGGGCACTCATACTGCAGGTGTAATTTGCGATGAAAAACGCAGAATCTGCTGATGGCGAAGTCAACAAAACTGCCTTTGTTATTATAAGTAGCTTACATGCATCCATGTTGGTTGATCTAAAAAACAGAATCACACAAGCCAGTACTTACAGGTTCATTACATATACTCTTCTCAAAACTTCAACAGAAAGCATAGGGCTCCTTCCCTCCTTCAGACTTGTGCCGTCCCGTTTCTTTACCTACCTTGTAACCTCGCCCGGGTAAGGTCGAAATGTTCTCATGCGCAGATCAGGAAATAATTTTTTTTATCTTCATTTGAAGTCGGCCTAGAACTGAATGAACATGCTACCTCACTAAATCGAGGTGCGTGGTAATAAAGAAGTTAGGAAATTATCCATGCCATTGCTATTTTTGTAAACTTCTATCATCTCTAATCTGGAAGCTTCTTTTCTTATGCAGCCACGGAAATTGGACTGTACTTTCCTCGTGTCGCATTGGGAGGCTTCTTCTTCGGTCTAGTGGCAGGAAGAGTTACCGTCTTCTGGCTGCAGCATGTGTTCAATGATGCCTTGGTAGAGATTACCATCACCTTAGCTAGTACATACTTGACATTTTACATCGGGGAAGAGGTGCTTGGAGTGTCTGGTGTCATTGCTGTAGTCATGCTAGGAATACAGATCAACGCGCTGAGAACAAGCATCAGTCCAGAAGTCGAGGTTTTTTTACACAGGTATACTCTTACCTTGTTCCTTGAAGAATGCTTACAGATAAATGCAAAACTTGAAACTATACTATATATTAGATCACGCAAAAGATGCGCTGAAAAGGTTGGTTTTAAGTAATCACGTTCTTCCATTGTCAATACGTCTTAAAATTTAAGTTAGACGAAAAACTGGCAGTAAGTGAAAAGCATGAATGATTGAAAGCAAAAAAGGAAGAAGTAAACAACACTTTTTAAGTGGTTTTGTATCCTGTATAAGGGATTGTAAAATGTCAGCCAACGGAAAATTGAACATTTTATTGATTCATTTTTAGGTTCTGGGAGATGCTCGCGTACCTTGCCAACACGCTCATTTTCATCATGGTGGGTGTTGTTATCATGGAAAAGGCTCTAAACAGTTTAAACGAATACGATTTGTTTCTTCTTGTGGTTGATTACTTCGGAATTACAGTGATAAGGTTAGTACAAACGTATTTGTCTTAAATTGTTTCATTTTCATTGTCACCATTCAAAGCCTCAATCACTCCTCCAACAACCCGTTCAACCGGTCTTTTCTTTTCCGTCTTTTCAGAGGATTAGTAATGATGACATTCAGCCCCATTCTGATGCGAATTGGATACGGCCTCTCATGGCAGAATGCTGTGGTAGCAGCTTGGGGTGGATTAAGAGGAGCAGTCGGTCTGGCCTTAGCATTGCAAGTTTACATTGACCACCCTCCTATTGGCGGAAAGGTAAAGTTTCCCTCGTATCAGGGTTGACTTTAGCCAACTCGGTTGCTTTCTAGTAGTATAACGTTTTAGACGGCACAACATTCCGCACCCTTAAACTTTTGAAGATCATACGATTCTCCAGCACCCATATTCAGGGGCTTCATAGCTCGATTGGAGTGTTTTTCCGTTGCACCGGCATTGCAAGGTGAAACGTCCAAGTTTTGTTGACGCTTTGAATTTTTTAGTCTTCTTTTCGCGTTAGTATTAACAGAGAAACATCATCTCACCAGAAATCTCACCACTAGCTCGCCACGGGTCTCAGCCTGTATTTACTTGTGTTCCCTGTATGGTTAGTCAATCTGGCTTACGTGGTTAATAAGGCCATTCTTTTACAAATAAAAGACAGCTGAGATTTCTTCCCGTGGTTGTAAGATTTCTGCAGCGACTTGAATCATTACAAATTCGTGGAATGGTTTGACGTGACATCAATATTTTAATACTGATGAAGGTTGATATAAAATGATTGCCTAACTCTCATCCAATCTAGGTCTTGGCGCACACTGCTGGCATTGTGATGTTCACTCTTTTGGTTAACGCCACTACTATGAAAAAGTTATTAGAAAAACTCGGAATGAGTGAGATTTCAGACGCTAAGAAAATCGCCATGGCCAACGCTGTGAGACAAATTCAGGAGAGCAACCAGCGTACTCTTAACATGTTGAAAGCTGACCGATTCCTTGCGGATGCCGACTGGGACATTGCGGAAAGGGACTGTGATGTGCATAACCCTTACATGGAGGTAGATGACGAGGTAAGAGTTTCACTAATCTTAATCATAACGTGAAGTATATTGCGTCAACCAGGACAGCCGAGTGCCTATGAATATGAAATAACGCTAAAGTAGATCTGCTAAGATAACGTGTACAGGCTTATGTTAAAATTCCTTTACTGTCTTGTGGTAGCATGCTGAAGAAACGCCATTCTTAGTTCGCCTCAGCACCTGTCCGAACTGCGAAAGCAGCGTTCCCAATGAACCCTCAGCAAAAGAATTTGCAGAGATGGCGAATGACGGTAGAGTGCGCTTGATCAAAGCACTGAAAGTCAGTTACTGGAAGCAGTTTGAACATGGAATGCTTTCTCGCGAAGCTGTTCAGGCATTGATCAACCTAGCTGATACTGCAATGGACGAGGAAGGGAGGTGAAAATTAGGCGGTTTAATTTATTTTTAAAACATCTATGGCCTTGAAATATCTATCGTTGATTGATAAGGCAAGAAAAAGAACTTAGCTTGTAGACTGCAGACTCACATCTGTAACTGCAGCGTCAAAATAATTAATCGTAGTTTCATTGTGGCTCGAAGTTTTTGTTAATTTTTCCGATAACCTGTCCAGTGAACTGAGAAAAGGAAGACCAGTCTGAGCATTGACAAGCTGGGGAAGGTTTTTTTCGGTCTTTGTTATTCTACACTTTTCCTTTGCATCAGGTCTTTGATCAACCTTCCATTTCGCTCACAACTTGTTTCTTTCGCTTCCAGGTTTATTCAAATAGATGATTTGCAGCCGTTTTGGAACGTGCCTCCCTTTCTTCAGAAAATTGTATGTAACTTTAATATCTTTTTTCGAATCAACTTGAAACACTTACAAAGCAAAATGTGCAAAAACAGAAGATCCTTTAAAAAAATATATCTCTAGATTATTTAATACATGACCCGTAAGGCCCCGATGCACTTTTATGAAAATACGTATTGGGGCTGAGCGCAATGGCGTGAGCTGGGCTGGAAAAATCCGCGCAGCCCAGCGTGCGCCCTCTCACGAAAAAATGCTAGAAGAAAGGAAGAAAAAGAAACCTACGATTACACGCCTATTGATTGATTTAGATCGATAGGCAAAGTGCAAAATGACTGCAAAGTGCGTTCGGTCTGCGCCTCATGATCTATTGCCAAATGTTTTCCCCTTCGAGTTAGTTCCACAGTATTACGTACGTCGAAGACATTGGAGTCTCTGGTGAGGACAACCCGCGGATGAATGGCAGGCCATAAAGTAGGCTGATTTGCGAAACGTAGTTTGATAAACTGCACATATCATTTACACATGTTACGTACAACTGAGCTAAAAATTGCTCTTTCTTTTATTTTTAATTGTTTCATAGAAAGATAAACTGGAACAGATGAAGCAGACCAGACTAAAGGAACGCATTCCGCCACCAAATGACAAAATCCGAGCCTTTATGTACGTCGTGGCAGTACATGTTATGTTTGAAGTAATTGTGAATACTTTGATCGTTATCAACATGGTACCAATCATTTTGGAGCTTTCCTCGGACGATGATGCTCCATATATGGGCGTCTTGACCATAATCAATTACGTCTACTGCACCATATACATCGCAGAGGCGGCGTGGAAGGTCTGTACATATTTCTGTTGGATTTTTACTGCATGGGTGGCGCTTAATACAAGGCTAAAAATTGGCGGTCGCACGATCGCCAGTGGCGAGTTAAAACTGACCAGGACCACCAAAAGTTAAGGCTTGAACGCCCAATGTGCGACTATGCTACAGAATTTCGAAAAGTTGCAATGTAAATTATGCGAAGTACAAAGGTAAAATAAAACTCAATATGTAGTTTAATTGGACTACCTTTCTCTTCGTTTCTTTGCCTGGACTCTAAGATCATTCATTTTAGCGAATTTTTTAGTTCTGAAGTGGAAATTCCGAGCCGTTTTAACAGTGATTTCACGAGCTTGTTCTTTCCTTTTAGTTAACGCTCCGTTAAAAGTCACGGGGCGTTTATTCAAGTTTTTCATTTTAGACTAAAGGAAATCGAGGGCTACTTCATTTTGGGATGGGCCACTAAGAATTCAAGGAAACTGGCTCGACTGGCCACCAAGCACTGGAGTTAATTTTTAGCCCTTGACTACTAAATTGACTAAGCTTTTTTTGTTTAATAATGACATTCAACTCTCTGTTTCAAAACAAGAAAGATTCGAAATATCACCTGAAAATTTGCAAGGTTTGTCAAATGAATCATGACCTTAGAATCTATTTATGAAAGTTACAGCTGAGAGCGAAGCAAGTATAAAAATATTCCAAGAAACGCTATGTTTTTATGGAAGCTAAACGAGTCTTTATCATTGATTTAATCACTTCTTGAATTGAGATGTTCACACTATCCATCTGTAAACCAACGCTTAAAAATTTAAAGTGTGTAACTGAATTAAAACAATGAAACGAAGAGGTTCAAAGATGAGATATTCACACCAACCATCTGTAAACTCCAGCGCTTAAAAATATAGTTTGTAACTGAATTTAAACAAATTACATAAAATCCTAGAGATTTTTAGCAGTGATACCTACTCTGAGAAAGAACTGTCGATATCGATGTTATCAATTTGTTTCTATAAAACAGGCTTTGGCATTCCGGCGCTTCTATTTTAAGGACTACTGGAATCTAGTCGACCTCTTCATCGTTGCTTTGTCAATTGTCGATATCGTGATTGACGAAGTGGCTGGTGAGGCCACGGGAAACTTTTCACCGTCTGTACTCAAAGTGGCCAAGGTGTTTAGAGTGTTGAGAATGGGTCGTCTGTTGAGGCTTTTCAAGGTAAGTGACAAATTTACAGAGCTTAACCATGTTTTTTTTCCTTTTTATGGTTTTTTCCTAGAGTATAGATGTAGAGAGAAGTTACTAATCTCAACTGCAAAGCAAAGGTTTGCTTTCATCTGGAAAACTCTTATTTCTTTGTCTTCCCAAATTGTAAATTATGACTTAAGTTTGGCCTCAACTAGTCTTAATCGAAACGTAAGCGCTTGCCGTTCCCAATAATAACCAGTAATCCTCAGTCATTAGTGACATTTAGCACCAGGGTTTTCAGCGGAAACCTCGAACGGCAAACCGGTGTAGGTCACGTAATCAAGCCCTGTGGTCACGTTCGGAGTTCTCAACGCGCGTTTTCAACGCCAAGGGGTAGGTTTTCACGTAAGTGATTTACCTGAACGTTTTTTATCCTGAATTTGTTTTTATGCCACGTACAAATCAGAAAGTTATGTAAACCAGTCTTTTTAGAACAAGTTTAGATATATTTTTAGCGAATGAGTGAAAATAGGACTTCTTGTTGCCATTTGAAAATCAAACACTGCTGTTGTCTGGAAATTCAATATGGCGGCCTCTTCAATCGGTTAGAGAGGTTTAGCTAAAGCGGTGGAAGCCATAAACGTCAAACGCCAAACGCTTAACCTGAAACTGCCGTTTCAGGTTTGCCGTTAATGCGAAAACCCTGGTGCTAAATGTCTCTATTTTCTTTCTTTAGTACAAGTAACTTCATGTATTTAAGTTCCGATTCGGAATATTCATTCTTCTCCATAGACTGTTCTTCCAAGACTCATAAATGCTGTGAACGACATTATCAACCGGCAGTTAAGCTTTGGCTATGATGTTGGCAAGGGATATATAATCGCTGAAGAAGAAGTCATCAAGCTGATTGATCACATGGTGGTCGACAAAAGGATTGCTAAGGATTTAAAACAAAGATCGGAGCAAAGCCGTTTGGATGTCGTCCGAAGCCTCGGTAATCTGGCTAAGATAAACATTATAAACGCTTTTTCTTTTTCTTTGAAATAACGCTGCTTCAAGATAACTTTAATCATCGTATTTGATAAAGAAAAACCTTTGTCCAGTGTGTTTAACCGCCTTCAAAGTGAGCTAATATTTCTTAATAGGGGAAGTTCTGCACAGGTTTATTTCTTAGAATCAACGACTAGACCCAAATGCATCTATGATGTATGTGAAACGCCGATCGTTTTTTCTCTTTTTTTTCCATGCGTCCCTGTTCTCAGGCCTGTCAAGGTAATTCCATATTTAAGACCTTGAGGATGACATCATCAACTAACTGTTAGTTCTCTATGGCTGGTTTTACAGGTATGCTGCAACGTGAGCACCCCGGGATTGCGATCTCCGTCAAAACGCGGCAGGCTATTCGCACGATTCTTAATAATGCCCGTGACGTTATTCACGAACTCAAAGGTGGTGGCTTGTTAGATGAGGCAGAGGCAGCAAAATTAGAATCGGTGAGATAGGTCAAAATTACGCGACAAAGTGAAGCATAGGCAAAAGCGCGTAGGGAAAACGTAGGTGTAGTATTATAAAAGTCATTTAGGCGACTTCTGAGTAATGTAATTTCTGATTTGAGTTATCAGTGTCTTTTGTTGAAAAACATAGGAAGGTAATATGACTGTGTCGTATTATAAAACAGAGCGACATAATCGCTTCGGCGTAAAAAAATTGTGGAAATTGAAGTATAGAGCGCTTTAAAATTAACTGAATACTTTGCTCGTCTCCTTCATAGGAAATACAAGAGTCTTTTCCAGTACCAAGTGGAAAGCTTCATTCGTTATGACTAGAAAATAACAAATAGATGACTTCACTATATTCCCTTGAACGTCTTTGTTTTGGTTTACAGCTTGTTGAGGTAAAAATGAAGCGACAGCTGAGTGCTCCAGCCTCCATTTCCCCACAAAAGCCCACCGAGTTGCTTCGTAATGTGGTGTGGCTGGAAGGAATGCCGTCAGAGGCGGTGGACTTCATAACCTCAGCCGCACGCATCCAAATGTTTGAAGCCGGTGATACTATAGCAAGACAGGGTGAAGACCTTAAGGGAATATATTTGATAGTTTCAGGAATGGTTAAGGTACCGAGTCATTTTCTTATTCTCTGATAAATAAACTTGTTCAATCTGCATGACCAAATTATATGCCATATACCTTTTTAAAGTCGTGTGGCTAGAATTTCCCTACATTCCGTCTTTAAGAAATTGCAGCTGCCGTGTATTGGTTTTCCACATTCTCTGGACACAATTCTCGTTTGTTATGGAAAAGTAAATAATAAATAAAAAAAGAAGCCATTATTTACAGAAGAAGGGTTCACAAAAATTCGCGCATTCGTGCAAGGTTCTATCATGTGATGTGACCTTCTCCCTTTTTGAGACTCTTAAAAGTAAAGCAGAGCTGCCTCGTCTCTTGTTTAGATGATCGGCGTATCGGTGGCAAGGAGAGGTTACTTTGATGGTGAGGAGCCAGAAGTGGGAGAGATGATTGTCACTACTGATTACGTTTCCGCTGGTAACTTGATTGGGGAGATGGGTCTTCTTACTTCCTCCCAAAGAAACTCTTCTTGTACCTGCGAGTCTGCAGTCCAGGTACAAATATTATATCACTTTACATTTTTTACAATCATTAGACTTGCTGGCGTACTAACTGGCCGTTATTAAGAGAGGGCCAATGTAGGGAGTTTCCAAATTACGTAGATGTGTGGTAGTCTTAGTTTTGCAAACACGCGCCTTTGTGATTTAAATAAGGGTTGGAATGATGCTTTTCCATCAAACCATTTTATAACTGGTTACATATATACTACCGTATAAGTTCCCTTCTGTATGATACCTGGTCTCATCGTAGTCCTTTGACTTTGGAATCTTCTTCAATTCATTCTCAGACACGAGTCATCCTTTGATTACTGGCCATCTATTCCAGAGTACTTCCACGATGACTGGAATCTTTAAAAAAAATGGTTGGAAAAACCATACTCAATAAATTTCCCTAGAAGTTGTCAACAGTTACAAACTCTTGTATTTCTTGTGCAAGACTTTTTTTTTCCTGTTTCTCCATAAGGCCTATTTCATTACCTCAGATGATATGAAAGTTGCCATGACTCGCTACCCAGATCTCGTTGACCGGCTTTGGAAAGTTTGTGGCGTGCGAATCGCTGTCCCTCTCTTGTTAGAAGTGCCCGCTTACTACAACTGGACGAAGGACAAAATCCGGGTCATGTGCGAACGTTCGTTTATCGTCAATCTTCCCATAGGGTTAAATACTATATTCAAGACTAACGAGCAGATGAAAGAGGTAAATTAGATCTAATTAGAGAGCGGATGTGATAGAAATTTACGCGAAGGCTTTCCATCGTATGTATGGATATATCCTGTTTCGATTCAAGTTGGCTTATATTTCACATAAGATAATTTGAATTTCAACAATTTTTCAAAGAGAGTAGACGCGAAGAATTTATACATCTACCTCACGAATAAATTTAAAAAGATTGTTCATCTCGCCTCAAGGTCTTTGCAGACACCTGGCTAATATAAGGAAGGCATGGCCAAGTTCCTTATCCTAATAATGTTCGCTTTCAGTTTTCTTTACCTCATACACTCGCCAAATAACTTTTTTAAAATTTTTCTCCTACCTTTGTCTCATATTCGTCTCACATCAAAGAGACATTTCTTTTTTTTAGGTCTTGATTTTATCCTTATCCTAAGAATGCTCGTTTTCAGAATTTTTTATCCCATACACGCACCAAATGACTATTTTTCTAAAAAATTGTCTCCTGCCCTTGTCTAATTCGTCTTACATCAAAAAGAAATTTCTGTTTTTTAGGTCTTTATTTTATCCTTAAAAGATGTGAGCAACATTTAAAATTTCGTGTGAAATGTGTTCAATTCAAAAGGCAAAGGAAAAATGGATTTCTTCGAAAATCCATTGAAAATCGACACAATTGTATAAATGATGGCCTCCCTAGCAACCGTTTATTGTTAACAATGCATAATACCCCTCGCGTTCATTTCAAAAGGTTGTTCTTATCCAAGGCAAGATTACAGATCTCGATAGCAGAGATATTTATGAAGGACCATGCGTGCTGCCGAAGGTTTACCGAACGTTTAGATTGCATTTCGATGGAGTCGAGCCTAAGATTTTAGTGATTGCTCGTTTCCATGAAACTGCATTGCCTGATGACCCAGAAGACAATCCTTCAGTACTGGATATTGTAGGTGAGTCACGTGTCACTTTGTCCAGAGTTTAAGCATAGCTACGGAAGAAAGAACGGTTAAAATTCAAGTCTATGTTAAAGAAGGAAGAACTGAAATTTTCAGTAAGGGTGAAGTTTTTGTACGCTAACAATATTTTTTTGCTTTCAATTATGTTCGTCCTAAAGGCCTTCACGCACAAGCTGGATGCAAAAGTATTTCGAATCTATCAGAAATTTTTGGAGGGACCGAGGCAACATTTAGAGGAAAGCGAAGATTATCTAGGGGAAGTCGAGTATTAGGCATTGAAGAAAGCCATCGCAAACTTGATCCTATACCAGACAGACCACAAAGTAGAAAGATAGTTGTATCACCGATGCTAGACGACGATAAAGGTGAGCACCGATTTCTGAAAGAGATGTAAATGAAAAATCTATGTGGTGTCGGTCGAGGACATGATCAGTTGGTCAATATTTTTGCCTCAGAGATTGTGTGGCAACCTACAATGACAGGCAAAAGTTTAGGCATGTTTTACTATTTTTTGGACTGTTTAGTCCATAACGTTCATGTATCTCTCCCTCTTTCCATTTTATTTTTGCCTCGTGTTTACAAAAAGGTCACTAGTGTCTTGCCTGGTGTTAACATAACGGTCTCCAATTTTTTTGCAACATTGTTTAGGGGGAAAGGGGAGAATTTCAAGTAACTTATTAGAGATGAATTACACGTTATCTATTTATTATGTTGAATGGAGGGTTATTGACCACCTAGTAAGGGAAGGTGTGCCACCTACGTTCGTCGCTCTTTGAAGCTTAGTGCTTGAAGAGCTTTTCTTCAAAACTTCACCGTCAGATTTTGGTACAAACGAAAGACTTTGAGCCGTTCGTGATTCTGTTATTTTCAGAATGTTAACTTTGTTCAAGTCTGGATCATGTGCCGAGTATGAAGTCGTCGGCGTTTGATGGAACGCTACTTCAAGATGTTTCTTATAGAGCTCTCAGAGATATGATTTGATTTGCAATAAATTTGCCTATTATCAGAAATGTTTGGTTCACCATTTCTTATTGTCACATATTAAACTGCGGTCTGCTTTTTAAGCACTTTCACTTTTGCCAGCCAGAGTCGTAAATCGGGCTTAAAGGGAAAAGCCAACGATAGGATTGTAATATGGAGGAATTAAAACTGCATGCTATATATTTTCGGTAAGATTATTGGTGCGTTCTTTACAATGAATGATATTTAAATTCACCATGTCATCTACGTAGATTTTTTGGAGGATCAAATCATTCTTTTCATCAGAAACGATTGTTATAGTACTTCTGCTTACTAAAATTAAACTTCTCGAAAGACCAGCTTTACACTCAGAAATAAAGACGACAAGCACATTTTGAACAAACAGTGCGATGGAGGTAAAACAAAAAACAATCGTCAGCGAGGAGACCAAAATTTTAATCTGGGTCAAAGCCACAAAGCAACGTCCCAAACACAAAACATATAATGAAAGAAAATATTGGAGGGGGGCTGGCGAAGGGAAATTCGTGAATCTGAAAAGTTCATTGGCGTGGGAAACGAAGCCAAAATGAAACATTCTTCTATATTTTTATCCGGTCACTTCTAATGGCCTCAAGTACTGAACTACACTTGGAGATGGCAACACATATTTACTGATATTTTCACAGTTTTGGTAGCCAATATGAGGGGCATACTCTGTGGTTAATTGAATTAACAAATAAACGATAAAAGTTTTTCTCTCCACCCGCTCCCCTAATTTCTGGAGAGAGCATTGACAACTGAAGTAAATTGCGCCCTTCAATCTCATTCTTCTAACCTTACGACCTTTAACACGCCAATTGCATATTACGCAACCAGTTCTCAATGGAGAAAATTTTGAAGGCTTGCTGCTAGAAGCCTTTTCCACTTGTGGAACAACATTTCTTTTCAATTATTCAGTAACTTGCCGGTGCTATTTCAAAATGAGGTCCCACTTATTTTAAGCGACGACACTTTCCAGCCATTTTAGCGGCCGGAACAATGGAACGGAATTTCAAACCAACAGAATTGATATCCGTTTTACTACTGTATGTTTATGTGGCGGACGGATTTCGAATAGCAGTAGCAAAAGGTAAGTTTTACAATGCATTAATAGCTCTAAACTGATCGACAAAGGAGGTACTGAGTTATTACTGGCATTTCAACTATAATCTCTTAAGCGATAAATTCAAAATTTGCTTATGAAGTCAACGCAGAAAATCTCACAAGTACAAAGGCAACTGCTTATTCCGAAAGGGTTGACATGAAACCATTGTGGCTTAAAGTTTTCTTCTATGAAAGAATGATTGTTTGAAAGGCGCATTTAAATTTGTGTATGAGTATGTCTCACAAAATATAGATTGTTTTTAATCTTGGAACAAATAAGGCCAATTCAAAATTGGTAAACAAAATAAGAGCACTCTCTGAACGAATAAATATCGAATAATCGTAAACTAGGGTAGAAGTGTTCATCGCACTCTTTCCTTTAAAAATAGATAATTTACGTTAGATTCTCTACTCCTTGCTCCCCGTATTTTTTTGTTGTTTCTCAAGCTTAGCGATTGAAGGCGGAAATTCTTTGACCCTATTTGACCATTGGTAGCAAAGAAAGATCTTAACAAAGTTATGTTTTTATATCTTCTATGTTTGGCTTTTCATTTTATTACTGAGGTTGTTCGTCTCAGACTGGTACCAGTTCGAACGTTATGAGTTGACCAAAATAACTGAACTCAAAACTGCCACCAGTCAGGTTGTCTAAAAGAATTTTTCTTTTCACTGCTCTCTTTTTCAAATTTTTCATTTCCTTTTTTTACGGTTTGCACGCTCACTTTAAAACGTGGAAAACGATTTTTTTTGGTTTAATCTAAGAAAATAGGTGAAAAATCAGGGATAACTTTCAAGTCATTCAGGAGGTCAATTTCTCCAAAGTCTTCTAACTTGCATGTCAGTGTTCATTGATTTTCTCAGTGATGTTTCAAGTAACGAGTGAATGTTTTCAGGTGCCTCAGGAGATGGAGTAAAAAGTGAGGGCAGAAGGCTCAAAGCATCTGGATTAGAGGAGGAAAGATTAAAGAAAGGTAAAACATGTCGCAGATATGATAATGAATCAAGGCTTTACATCAAACACATGTAAGCCGACACAGTGTTCAAGTTATGTTCAACACAAATTAATGACTTGGCACGGGATTTTCACATTGCTACCCAGGTGTAACATAAGCTTCTCTTCTCGTGATATTTCCAGCAGTAATTGAATTTAAACCTCATTTACGGAAAAGTACACTTATATATATTTTTAGTGGGATTAATGGACCTTGCTTAGCGCATTACCTAGTATTTGAACTGAAAAGAGTACGAAGTTCGTTGGTGAACATTTCCTTTATTCCCATGGCATTAATGTGTGATTCAGGGGTGATACTGTTGGACAAATTGGTTGCTAGTCATCCTTAGAAGTCATAGGCTTAAACAAGCTTTCGAAAGTCAATCGATGAATAATCATTATTTCAAATCGTCGCGGTTACCCTGGGTGTTACTTAATGGTTAAGGCAGCTTCATTATGATCACTCTAACTTCTCATCCATGTGGGGCCTTTGGTCTGATTTTGATTGCTTTCAGATTTTGGTCTGATTTTGATTGGCTTTGTGGCATACAGTCGAAATGCGCCCTAATTGAGTACATCAAGAGAATATCTCTCTTGAGTACATACAGCAACTTTCGAATTTGACTGTTGCATGCTGTTACAATGCTGGTTAATTACAAAGAGCTGTGTCAAATAAATTTTTCTTGAAAATCACGAAAGGATAGGTTTTCTTCGCTTCCTCTTTGTAATATATTTCCTTCGCTTTCCAGCATTGAAGGCAATCGACTATGATGCACATCCTGTTTTGGAGCACCAGGGGCAAAATATGGAAACTTTGAAAAAAGGTAGTGTTTCTAAAGGTGTTCCATAACTTTGATTCATCTGTTGTTCTGAATTCCCTCGAAAGTTTGCGTTGTTTCGTAAAACTATAGACAATCCAAAGCCATGATGTCGGTTTTTATTGTTTTGTAGTTAAAATATCTTCGAAAAACATCCTCATTGAATATTCGTTGTTCTTAAACAGCTTTACGTTCCGTCGAAGACGATGAACAAGAAGAGCGATGGATTAGAGACATTGAATCAGGTCAGTTTTTACTTTGCATCGATATTTCTACAGGATTGAGCGCGGAGGACGGTAAAGTCACAAGGGCATGTCCTTCCAGAGAGAGTTCCTGAGCAACTTTTGCGCTCAGAATTTGCAATCTCATTATTTATTCTCATTATTACATCTCTCATTTATTACGGTTGCTATGATTGGTCATAGCGAAATACAGCCCACTAAGTTCAAAAGTTTGTTTGAACTGAAATCTTCCACTTCTGTTTGAACGCAGAGATATGATAAAAACCTCAGCAACTACGTTTTCTCGGTTCGCTCTGTTAGTTATTATATATGATACCTCGTTTTTTCCGCTCGGATTTATGTCCCAAACGTTCGCTGCAACATAGAATTACGGAGTGCATCCTCATGACATGACTAAGAAACATCTTCCTTTATTTCACCCGACATTACCGGGCATAAGATTTACCATCTTTCTTATTCAAATCACTTTCTTGTTGTTTGTTCAACAGCTTTGAAATCAATTGAAAGAGAGACAGCATATCATGGTCAGTGTTGGTCTATATTTTCATAAGTTTCTAGTATAGAAAAAACTAGGAAATTGAATAACTTCAATCTGAAACAAGCATGGACAAATCTCGGCTGTGCATCGATGAAAAAGACTCGACCTGCTTTGTTAACGGTGGAAAAATGTGAGCTACTGATCGAGTCTCGTTATCATTGGTTAATGGGTTTTCATCTGATTTGTTGATTTTTGTGTGTATAAGAAAAAAGAAAACTGTGGAAGCAAAGAACGATGGAACAGGGAATCTTTAGGACGGGAAATCTCAAAAATGTGATATGAATTGAGGTGATTTTCCTATTTTCAGAGAGCAGAAAACGTACAAAGATAGAGAAAGGTGTGTTTCGTACTGATTAGTTTTTTCTTCTTTTTGTTTTTACCACTTACAGTATTCATGTACTCTTGCACATGACAGACACAATATCCTTTTTAACCCTTTCATTCCCAAGATCTCTTTAGTAATTTTCTAAACTGTCTACCATAAATTGCTTACAGCTTTGGTCCTGAGAATTTAGTATTGGATAAAAAATCCCATAATCAATGTTTTAATTATTCTCATCACTCGTCCGCTATAACAAACTGTATGGTTTCCGCGAACCTGCTTTTACCATGAATATATATTTTACTGTGCCCAGTAATTCAAACGATGGATGACGCTATTGAACGAATAAATCGCCATCCATCAGATAAGTTAGTGATCACAAAACGTACTGCGCTGTCCATTGGATATAGATTTATCTAGAGGATGGCGTTATCCACCCTATTAACAACAGGGGCCAGACTTGGAAATTACGAGATTCTGAGAGTAGACTTACCACCATCTAATGTTTATGTCGACACTTGATTTCAGTTTTGGCTTCAGTAGAGGCACACACAAAGCAAGGTGGGTTAAGGCTGGTGAATGCAAAACTTAGGTTGTCATGTTGGATGCCAGCTTGTTCGCTTGTTCAAATATTGATGAAGATCATCAATGATTTGCTGATGTGTTGATACAAAAGGGGATTATGAGCTGATCAGACATGTAGACTGCATTCGGAATTGGTTAGTATGTTCTTGGTGCAGAGAGTCGTAACTCCTTAGCTGATCAACAATCAATCAGGGTAATTTAGTATTATCAGCTGAGTTGAAAACGTAAATTGGCCACCGTAAAGAGTTTAAAGGCTAACGTTTCGAGCGTTAGCCCTTCGCCAAACGCTCCCACCGACGCAGCACCACAGTTTCTTTAGAAAATTCCCCCCTTTGATCAATAATCAATCGATTTCCGTAGGAATCCCGACGGGAACTTATCGAGATTTTGTCAGTATCTTTGACAGGACTGCAACCATGATTTTCGCCATGAACGTGATTTATTCAAAGAACCTAAATGCAAATTCTCACTTCCTCTTTTTCCAGCCATGTCGTCTATGAACGCTATTACAAATGATATTTCAAAGAAAGAAAAAAATGGCTTAGAACTATCTCTTCCTTTCGGTACCAACGCTACACGTCAAGAGGGACGGACCATAAGCCTTCAGACCAACGGGAAACAAACAAAACGAGTCTTTATTCCAAAGGGATGGATGTTTTGCACCATAGCACCTCCAAAGTGTTACTCGTCGCTGAGGAAGAAAAGTAAGATGTCTTCCTCTGTTATCAAGAGAGAGTTTTTGCTACGACTCTAGTTTGCATAAACAAACTTACCTGCTTCAAACTTTGGAGATCTGGGAATGTACTTAGTCGTGGTGAAAACCATCCCTTAAGATGTCATGGTTGTCACTTTGTTGGAAAACGTTTCTGCCTGGTCATCTTCCCCTATTTGACAGATTCTGAAGTTGGCTCCACTTAGTTACTTTCTTAGTCTAATATCAGTATTCAATTCCGAACGCATCACGATAGATCAAAGTTTGCGTTAAACACCCAAACCTTACACGAAAGACGAATCCTTTGGCGACCTGAAAATACTCGATAAGTACTCGCCTAGAACTAGTTTTGTCTTCATTTCCCTTGTGTTCCCATTTACCCATCCGTTTCCTTGCAAGACCATCTTGCGGCGATTTTCTAAAACAGTGGTCGCGGCTCTTTCATAACCTTGAGTTTGTTTTGGTTAATTGCAGGAAACATTAGTAAAAGGCACACTACTCTATCCGTTGCAAGACAAGCAGTTTCATCGTGAGAAGTGCTTTGGTGAAGAACAGCTGGTGTTGTTGTCTTTATCCTTTGAATACTCATGTTATCTCATTGAACTCCGGAGTGTTCTGTTCACCTTCATCTGCTGTATTTCTGTTATAGACCTCTTGAAATACCCTTGAATCACTGTTCTACCACATGCTGCAATTTGTGCAAGAGCTAAGAATATGATAAAATTTATTAAATACCATTTCAGAGAAATTAACTAAACGAAATTAATAAGACAAATACTCGTCTTAATAATATGTATGCTGAAATAATTGTAATAGGAATTGCGAGAAAGCCGCCAGCAATTTCTGCCTTCAAAGACATGCTTTTGCTCTGCCAGTCTAGTTTCCAGAAGGCGTTATCCGATCTTTCAGAAGAGCAGGAATCATAACTCCCCTGTAAACTATGCACGTTATTTCTAACTTTCACATTTTAGTACCCATTAGCATCGAAATAAATTTACTTAAGAAGCGGTTCTTCTAGCACAGGACGAAATCACATGTTTCCGTATTTCTGAAACGTGGCGGAAACATGCAACTCCATGTTTCCGTTATGTTTAACATGCACAAAAAGTGGTCCGGTTCCGTTGTATACGCAGCAACGGAAACGCGAGAAAACGTCACGAAACCAGTAACGGAAACACAGGTTATCCGTCGTGTTTCCAGAACGGTTTAACATGTTTCTGCCACGTTTCCGTTTACGGATTCTTGCAATTTCGTCCTGTGTAGAGAGCGGCTCAAAATCAGTATGATATCTAATAACCTGTATATTCATAATATTCGTATTAACCATATTTACGCCAAACTGAATATCTTTAACCGGTGATCTTAGAAAGTTCCCATTATCTAGGTTCTTCATGTGCCTATAACAATCCAAATGAAAATTTTGGTAAAATTGCAGATGGACATTTATTTGGTTTGGCAGCTTTGCCACACCTTATTCAAACGTCTATAATAACGAATCAGTTCAGACCGTCATTTCCATGTTATTTTGACTTGAATGGACTTGAAATGTTCATCATTTAAAGCTTGAAGCAAGCCCTTTCTTGTTAAGGAAATTAGTTTCCTTTTGGGGAGTTTTAAATTTTGCATGCCATTTAGGGAATGAGGTTATTCCATGTTTCAAGTCAAAAGTTCACTTTACTCAGTATTCTGTAAAAGCTAGACCATAGATAAATAGCGACTCGCTAATTATTCCTCTGGCTATAAAGTAGTGTACATATTTATATAAATGTATAAAACAATAAAGTAAAGCCAAACCGTAAACTGAATGCTTGTGCCTCGATGAATTTAATCTTCTTTGGTCGGTGTCAGCGTTTCCCAGACTGGGCTAAAATGGATTTGTTTATTTTCTATATCTTCTTGTTATCATTTACAAAGTCCTAATAATGCAAAGGATCACTCATTATTTATCGGGGGAGGGGGGTGGAGGATTTTTGGGAGGGATCACATGGCTTTCAGAAGGAAAGGAGTAGAGAGTAGTTGTCGCCAACAGAGTATAAAAGTGGGGGAATTTAGAAAACTGGCTGCCATCTGACTGCCATTTAACTGCCAATGATGGAGGGGAGGGGGAGAGAGAGAGCGGGATATAGCAGAGCCTTATGGGGGGAGGATTGGGTGAATTTTATCGTGACGCAAACAAAGTTCTCCAAGTCGACGATAATAATGATCAAACCTTCCTCCCCCGACAGTAAAAATGACCAGTCCCTCGCTGTTTTGCATTCATGTTGAACTTGCGAAGAGCTTGCGTTGCATTTTAACTATTTATTGACTGAACCAACCAGAGGTGAGTAAAAAAATATTTATCATAATGCATATATGTTAATAACATAAACTTTTTAAAATTTTTTATCATGGAAAAATTACGATTCAGTTCCTAGCTTTCAACCATTTACAGAGCTTAAACTTACTGTTACCACCACCGTAATAACATCATTATTATTCAAAAAAAGATTTTCTTGAATCTGATTTAAAATTCTTTTTACATGAGATCGCTTGCGCGATCAATAAGCCGAGTAACGTTTAATATTTCATGCGATTTTTTTTGCTATTGTTTTTCTTCCTTCTACTGTAACTCAGTTTCGTATTGAGTTTTTGTTTTTGTTTTAGCTTCAATCTACTTCCTTTACCAGTTTTTGCACAAACTTGTAAGATAATATTAAGATCGATCAAACAAGTTTTGAATTTCTCAGGAAAGACCAGATGTCACCCGAGGCTTAAATTGGTCGGTCGAGCTTGTGGCTAGAGCAACCACAAAAATGCCACAGAAAACCAAAATCCCTCCGAGATAACACCGAATAATTTGTTTCAATTCCCCCTCAGACTTCATAATACATCACACTTCTCAATTCTGTCGTGAAGAAATATTCGACCACCTTGGACCGGTAACATTGTATCAAGCAGGCACAAGAATGGTAAGTAAAACAAGCGGTTACATAAATTGTTCGACTTTCGTGAGAGCGTCAACATCGACCGTTAACAAATTTTCGCATGCAAATGTTGGCTTTACACATATTTTACAATAGTATGGATCATATCGATGATGCTATATTTGTGAGACAACAGCCATGGATGAAAATAAATCAGTGCTCACAGATAACCCTTTTCTAGCTGGATTAAACCTATATAGAAATTTCTCAAATTATTCTCGTTCGTGTCCAAGGTTATGATTGAGTAAAAGTATTACTTTTTTCTTCTCAGGTGAAAAGAGAATGTAAACAACACTTTGCGATTAATTATTTACACATTCTGACTTTTAAAAAAATATTTGAGTCTTTCAGAATCGAGTCTGTCTGTCACATTAAACTGAAATTTCTCAACTCAATCGTTTTCATTGGTTTCTGATTGTTATTTGGAATAAACGGCAAAGAAACGGTATACACTTATTCCAGGTGTGTGGGGAGGTGTAAACACACAAAAATGTATTTTGACACAAAAAATGTATTTTGACAATAAAACGCGTATCAGTCGGCGGAAGAAAATGTTTTCGACTGGATTATGTTGGCGTCCTTTCGTTTTTACTGAAATGTGTGTCAGAGTGCTGAGGCAAGTTTTCAATTTTACGCCAATTAACCCTTCGCATGACTAGATCAATTCGAGGAAACGGTAATTGTCTGTAAATTAAACCTAAAATTCCACGTGTCTTAAGGAGGAAATTTTCACTGTTGAAGAGAAGCAAAATTATTGCTTAGTTTACTGTACATAAGATTTTTTTCCCCTTCTAAAACAAGTCGCATGGTATTATTGTCCAAAATTAGTTGCTTCGTTGATGTATCAGAAATATGAATCTTCCTAAATTCACCCCTTTTTCTCTATTTTTTTTATTGTTGTTTAATTTGTTTATTTGTTTCCCTCAGGATAAACTTACTGAAGAGCAAATTCAAGGTGAGGTTATCCCTGCACTCAATAAATTCAATGCAAAATGTTTTAAACAACAGAATTCAATCCTACTTTTGAAGGCAAAAAACGAAATACCATTTCTAGTTATCGAGTATTATGTGATGTTGCCTATATACTGATTGCTTTTCCTGTAAGTGTCCGAGACTCGGACAAAACAGTTCGTACACGGACCAAAGTGTCAAACGTTAAAAACTGCATGGACACCAGGGTCTAAAAAACGGAGGCATTAGCAAGCGTCCGAATCAGATGAAACCGTCCCAAAAACGGTCGCAAGTGTCCGAAATCAGGATCCGTCTGAAAATGTACGAAATCATCCAAAATCTGGCTCGAAGGTCTGATATCGATATCGTTTGATTTTCGATACTTGCGTCCGTTTCTGGACTGCTCCGTTCGATTGTGGACGTTTTAGATAAGGTTGCATTCTATCTCGGACGCTTAAAATTTGTGATGAGTTTCTGTATCTTTTGTGCAAAGTTTCCCTAAGCGGTATTTTTCATTTATTTATTTATTTATTGTTAATCAAGAGTACAGAGATGCATTTCAACACTTTGACAAGGACAGCAGTGGTTTCATTACCACCAAAGAATTAGGAAATGCCATGCGCTCTCTTGGCGAAAATCCACGCGAAGAAGACCTACAGATGATGATTAACAGCGTGGACATTGATGGTAAGTAAACTAGCCAATCAGACAAACAGATAGAACGATTGATAGACAGACAGACTGACAGACTGACAGACCGACAGACTGACAGACCGACAGACTGACAGACCGATAGACTGACAGACCGACAGACTGACAGACCGACAGACTGACAGACCGACAGACTGACAGACTGACTGACTGACATACAGGCCCTGCTCTTGAGGGTTCGATCAAGAGCTTTCTGCCTCCTTCAATTTATTGAGTTTAAACCTCTTTCATTTTCAGGAAATGGTCAGATGGATTTTGAGGAATTTGTCAAATTGATGGTGGCAAAAAATCAGTTTTCTTTCAACGAGGAGGAAGCCAAAGAAGCATTTCATATATTTGATCGCGACTGCCGAGGCTTTGTGATGTCGGATGAACTACGACAAGTCTTTCAGACCCTTGAGGAAAAGATTCCGGATCATGAAATCAATGATATGTTACAAGATCAAAAGCATCAGTTTCAGAGGAAGATAACTTTTGATGGTGAGTATAAAAACAAAATCAAGAATAAACGCGCTGACTTAAACTCGTAAAGCTCTCACAGTCGAGACTACGTCACGTGAGCCATTGAAAAGTAAGTGATTAAAAAATAATTGATGTTAGTGAGCTGCGTAAAACTCTGGGACATTGGTCAGATCTAAGTCCGCGTGGCGTACTAATATCAATATTTTGGTGGTCGCCGTGTTTAGCTCCTCATATAATTAAGTCATCATTTAAAGTATTTATCGGAGATATTCCCCGTTTTGTAATGAAGTACTTATCTATCAAATTTATCAGATAAACGAGAGAGATCGTGACGTTGCCGTATCAATCAAGATTAAATGACTGTGGCTCTCAATCGAGAGGAATAAATGTACCTAACAGCACTAGTTCTAGTCATTCATGCGACTCTTCAATTCCGGTAGTTCAAATTTACCCATGCAAGTTACCCCTGCACAAGTAAAACATAATGTAACTACAATCTTCTAAAGAGTTTTTTTAAGCTTGTTTTGTATTCGTTTCCATTTTTTTGTATTAATCTATTATTTGATAGATATATATTTTATGTGTTTTAGGATGTAAAAGAATTAAACCTCTTACCTTTTCTTCACAGATTTTTTTCAAATGACCAAAGAAGGTGTCTGCCCTAAGGAGTCCAAGCAAAAGGAGAAAGAGCCTGCTCGCCCAAAATATGCACGGAGACGGCAAAAGTTTTATATCTACAGCTAAACCCTTTGGTGATGGTACTGTTTGTGTTATGCGATGGGATCTGTTTTGTTCAAATAATTTTGTCAGCTCTTCCAGTAAACCTTTAACGCTCTTGTATGAAGCAAAGATGGAATTATTTAAAAACCTTCTTCGCATGCGTTCATATACATTCAATACGTGACGTGATTCTTCTTAAGTAATCTTAAAATCCCAACTCTCGTACCATTTCCGAAGCCACCAGCGCGATTGAGAGAAAATCGATTTGTACTCACGTAAACATGCCATTTCTAAGATGAGTATATGTCGCATAAATCCAAAGAAACTGAATTGCTCGAGTCTAAGAAAACTTCTTAGGAATTCTCTTTCGTATGACCTATGAATGGGAAATCACGCTCATTTAACTTTCCACTGCTGTACTGTAACGTAATGATCTACGGGAAGTCCGTGATAAAGGTTGAAGTCCGTGATAAAGCGTGAAGATTGTGCTGATCATGACGTCATGATTATTGTTATCTAGGATGTTGTGGACATTTTTCTCTACTCAAGATGACAATGATTCAAGTATACGGTTATCGATATATTTCTCCTTTCTTTATATATGCCTTTACTGGATATTGCCTATAAACACTTTTTTTTAAGAAACTGTGCCTGTAAGTTAAATAAGGTATCTATCCTTAAACTTGAAAAATTACCATTATCAGTTGATATATGCTTCAATACACTGTATGTAAACCGTTTTTGATAAACCAGAGACCACAGTGCTGTGCTCAAAAGTTAATTAGAGTTGTGGCTCCTTTAATCGAGTCTTTATCCTAAATGACAAGTATTTACTGTGAGTACTGTTCGTTCCATCCAGAAAATTAAATAAAGTTTGCATACTATAAAACTGTAATAGCAAAAAATCTTACACTTGTCCTAATCAAAGGTAAAGTATTCAAACTGACGTAACTAGAGCACTGAAGAAAAGTATGGTTAAAAATGTTTAGATACATCTTCAATTTTGTTTATGATTCGACTAATAAAGTCAACTTTATCTTGTTTCATGAGTGAACAAAATATTTTTATTGGTGAGAAGCACACCAGTCAGCAAGCTGAGGTTTTGCTATCATTTTGAGAATAATTTTGTTTGTTATAAAGCAGTTTGCCATAAGAACATAACACCTAGCAGTCAACAAGTTTCAATATCTCCCGAGTGTTGGAGCAGCAATCTTCTATCGTCAACTTTAAAATGGTTGGTGAGAACTATTTTGAGATGATTTGATAAATATAGGGCCTACCTCGAGCTTACAATATCAAAAAGGTTTGAGAAAATTCTCTGGATTTGCTTTGGGTCAAAAAATGATAAGAACACGTTTGGGCCTAAATCCTGTATTCTTAGGTTCAACTTTTATGTCATTTTAATTTTAGCGTAACTCTCGCGTTTCTGATCATAAATGGCTTGAACAGTTTTAGTGCGTTTTTTCTGTAGGGTCGAAAGTGAAGATTCATAGAGCAGACAAATACACGCATGCAGTAACCTTAGTACTTAAGTATTTTTCTTGGTATTTTGAAACTGACGCAACTTTTCTTCTGTGTTGTTATGTTTTTAAACTAATTTGATATCCTATCATTTCTTTTTTGGAATTCATAATTTTACAATGGACTGTTTCAATTATTTCTTTCCTAGGAATCGATCCCAGAGAGCCAGCTGGAAGGTAACCATTGAAATGAGATTGAGATCAGATCCTTTAACCCACGCAGAGCATGACTCCGCTGAAAGATGAATCCATTTATTCATCCGCAATCATTTCTTCAGTCAGTCGATCGATCGATCAATCAGTGAATCAATTAATCAACTAACCAAACAAGCGACCATCCATGCATTCACTCTGATGAAACGCTACTAACGCTCGAAACGTCAGCTTTAAAAACTCTCTACGGTGGCCAATTCGCATTATCAACTCAGTTGATAACTCACAACAAAATTATTCTGTAATCCTCGCCACCGACAGACCACAGTTTCTACCACGCCTCCTACATCAGTGAGACTAGCAGAAACCTCACAACTAGATTAACTGAACACAAACGAGCGGCGAGGAGGGTTATCAGTTTGTTATGAGGTTAAAAAAAAATTCGACAACCTGATAGAGAAATTATATTTTTGTTGTTGGATTTTCCAGAATACTACGAGGCTTTCCGTTATTTTGACAAGGACAACAGTGGTTGCATCACAACTAAAGAGCTGGGAACACTGATGAAGTCCCTTGGTGTAAACCTCACAGAAAATGAATTACAGCGTATTATCAACACCGTGGATATTGATGGTAAGTAACGAAAGGGAAAAAGTATTATCGTTGCTTTCCTGGAGTTATCCCCATCGACGTACGATCTCATTGGTTACTTTGGAGGTCACGTGACCAACACCTAATAATTAAACCGTTTCTGGTGAAAATAGTGAATAGTTGTTGTCAGTCGAAGGTACTTAGTCCGGTTTCTATAAACTGATTGGTCAGTTTTATCGTGATGTTATTAGCTATAAGACTCAAGTGGCGTAGGTCGGTCGTGATTGGTCGGGCTCGATACGTGAGTGAAGTTAGATCGTTCTGCTCGGTTCGTTTCTAATGTTAATGTCGTGAATGAGTCGTTTGTATGGTGCCGGTAGTGGTTAACAACTGTTGAGGGGAGTCTGTTCCAAGTTAGTAAACCAGCTTTCCAGAGTCAGTCGTTGAAATTAGTTGGTGCTGTAGGTATTGCGCAGAGTCCCAGTCAATAGTGTGGTTCGTAAGTCGGTGATGTTCAGCAATGTGATTGTTGACATCGCCTTTCCCCGTCGCTCGTTTGTGTTCAGTCTAGTTTTGAGGTTTCTGCCAGTCTCACCGATGTAGGAGGCGTGGCAGTCGGAGCAATTGATCTTATCTTCGGTTCATAGGTTTGTGAGCTCACAAACCTATTACCACACTACGTCAGTTACTGACTAACGTCAAAGACAAAGACGAGCCGAGGAACAGACAGGGAGCAGTGTGTAAGATTACATGTTACCCCAGGTTCAAACCATTTGCTGTATTACTTCGGGTTTGATCAGATAAAATTATAAAAAAGATAAAGTGTTTCTCCATGGTAACCCCTATATGTTGTCTTCAAAATGAAGACACGTTCGCTAGGAGGGCTGAGAGATTTATTGTGCTCCCGACATTCCATGAAAGCGCAAGCGCTATTTACCGTGAGGTGCCACCATAACATACTTTCTACTTATCACAGGAAATGGTATGATGGATTTCCAAGAATTTGTGAACCTTATGTTGACAAAAAATCAAAATGGAATGGAACTCTGCGAAGCTAAAGAAGCTTTTAGAATCTTCGACAGAGATGACCGGGGGTTCATCCTTACATCGGAGCTTCGGCAAGCGTTTGCGACGTTGGAAGAGGACATCCCTGAAAGCGAGCTGGACGAGATTTTAGAGGACAAATGCCAATCAGGAAACAGAAAAATATCTTTTGAGGGTAAAGATATTTTAACATGTTATGGTGTGATTTGTTTAGTGTTGCAATGCCATTCGTAAGAGTCATTTTCTGTTTGTGGACAGTGTTCTGCAAATTTCTGTGGAAAGTTGATGTTGGATTGAAATAGAAACTTGAAGGGGTGCCGCCAAAATGCGTTTATCATTGAGAGAACTTTCTCAAGAATTAAACAACGTGTTACGCACAAAGTGTCTGATTCAAAACGAGGGTAAGCCCAAGACTGTTGATATGAAGACTATTCTTTATTTTCATACACGTACGGATAATTTCATTAAAAATGTTTTACTCTTAGCCTCATTTTGAAAGTGAGGATTTTTAGAACTGGGTAATGATCTATTTCTGGTTAGATTTGTATTTGGGGGATTGCAAAGATCTCAGCGTTTATACCTCTTTTTCTGACAGAGTTCAAGATGATGATGCGAATAGAAAGTTCAGAGGAAAATGCAAAGAAGAACTCATGTACAATTCATGCTTTCAGCAAGTGAAATCACATTCTCTTACTCTCTACTTCATTATGGTATCTTTATGATTACTCCAAAAAGAATGATCAGTCAGTGCCTCAGTGACCCTTGCATAAACACATAATCATAATGTAATCGTGAATCCTCCTTGAGGGGCAATAAAAACAATCAGGGCCAGTTTAAGAATTGTTTAGCGAATTCAGAACTTGCGTCAATTCTAATTTGCTTAAAGTTGATAAAGGGACTAAGTTTCTATAGAAACTGTAGTATTGTGTCGGTGGGAAGTCATTTGTTCTGACTGACAGAGAGCTAAAATTTGAAATATCATCTTTAGAAACTCTTTATTGTGGCGAGTTACCGTTATCAACTCAGTTTACAAAACAATTTTTCTTACACTCAGATCGCTCTTTCTACCCTAATTTTAGCTCTATTTGGGTGTGAACCTTGTTAGAAAGGGGCTAAAGGTCTCTTTTTTAATTCCCCACACTGTTTCCTGTTGTAACATCAAGCAAGCTAGTAACTATCAGGTTAGCATGCCTGACGCCAGACCCGACCCTCTCTTCCCCTAATTTAAGAGAACTGAGTGTCTCCTTATCACTCATAGTAGTTGCTACACAACTCAGTGCAATTAGAACTTCGGTAGATTTTCATTGCATGATAAGGATGAACTGGTTACTTTATTTTTCAACGATTTACCCTCGTTTTTCTTGCGAGAATAATTGTACCTATTTGTGTGGGTATTTTTTTTATCATCCTTTACCACACAGTTGCAGCAAAAACAAAAAAAGAAATAAGAACTGTAAACAAAAAGAAATAAGTAAAAAATCTTTCCAAGACAAGTGAGACAAGGCGCCATTCTTCTCGTCGCCAAAATGTCTCAAACTCCTTGAGCGAGTTGTCAACGAACAGATTCAGTCCTATTGTTATCTTATGGTAAGTACTGCCTCCAAACCTTGAGCGGAACTGTTCGGCTGAAAACAAAGCAAAATCACTTAGATTCCATAGAAACTTCGAATTGATCGTAGCATGATCTCGCAGCTAAACGGGCGTGGAAACGAATTTACGCTCAGCTTGCGTGAATGGTTTATGCCGCTGCTTTAGCTTGTGTGTTGGTGGGCTCGTATTCACGCGTTTCCCCACTTGAGTTATAAGATCTGTCTGTTGCTGACTTAAAAAAGGGAAAAAATAATCTCACAAAGCAGAGGGGACACAGGTACCTCAAGGGGCCCCTCCTTAGCTACGACTCTGGATTAGATTTTTATGCTTTGTGCTATGCACGGTTTTCATAAAAGTACAATCGTGTGTTTTCCAAAATCATGATTGGGATAGGCAAGCATACCTTCCTTTCTAAATTTCTCTACCGTCCTTTGGCGACGTTTCACAGAAGATCGTAAGAATACCAGCCACGCCATTCTGTCTAGTAGGTGGGTCTGCAATATGTGATAATAACACATATTCCATTCACACCAGCAAAACTCGTTTAGTTAAACCAGGTTTAACTGAATGAAAAAAACTGAATTTTCCATTAGTTTGAAGTATTCACGGACTTTTTATTTTAAAAGTGCTAAATTTTAAGTCGATAAACATCGGTCAAAGCAGCTTCTATGAAGAAAATAATATTCAACTGTCTTTAACAAAACAGCTATAAAACATATTTAAGCTTTGGTGTGAATGGGTTAATAGTCTTTATAACTGCGAACCAGATCAAAGAGATCACCATAAGTAAAATTTTTTTTAGAAACTGCAAAAGGGAAAAAATTATCTTTGGCATCTTACCTTGACCCAATCAGGCATTTCTATATGAACATTCATGTGATAGAAGGAAATGAGGAGACAAGAAACAGCGATAGCACAAACGCACTCGAACATTACAAAGTAAGAAAACTTGCAGAAAACAGGCAGATCTGGACTCTTAGGCATCCTATTTAATGCCTAAATAGATAAAAAAAAGTGAATCCATTTAAAGATAGATACTTTTAATAACTTAATCGCCCAAGATAAAATTTAGACCCAGGTCTCCTGAGTTAGCTCTGGTAACTAGTTCTATTCCTGGGTGGAAAGAGGCACTGCCAGGGTAAAGATTTTTGCTTTGCTCAAAAACACAGTCGTTAGACTCATTGATTATAATGATAATAATAATAATAATAATCATCATCATCATCATCATCATATCATCATCATCATAATCATAATAATAATCGTAATAATAATCATCGAAATATTTATCCAGGATAAGCCTTCAATGCAAAAGTACTGTTATCAACAAGGTCCAGCTGATTAGGAATTAAAAACTAAGAAATAGGAAATTATTATAAAAATATCTAAAAGATAGTACCTATTAAAACAAAAATACTCTAAAAACTGCTAAAAACTGTTGAAAATAACATAGAAATTGCAAGCAATAATCGTCCAGGGCTGAACTTAGAGAGTCAGTCATTTTTTTTTTTCTGATACCCCCAGAAGACTCTGTAATTTCCTTGTGATCCCAACCCCCCCCCCCCCAACTGGCAGTTAATTGGCAGTCAATTTTCTTCAATCCCCCATTTATACTCTTCTCTGATCCCCCCTCTGTTTACCCTAAAAACCGTGTAATCCCCCCCAAAATCCCCCGACCCCCATCCCTCTGGGATAATTAATGACAGGTTCCTAAAAACCCAGTTCCCTTACACCAGAGTCCACGTTACAGCCTTCCCCACACTATGTCATACTTACCCTTAAATAATTGACCCACATGATGAAGAGAGTGTTGATACCAACACCAATTCTCTCCCCAGTCTCCGTCGGAAGGAGGAAAACGAGAAGTGTCAGCATTGCATTCGATAAACACGGCAAAAATAGGATCACAATGTAATACGTTGTGTGACGTCTCAGCTGCATGGTGAATGTCACGGAAGGACTTGTGTTAGTGTCGTTGTCATGCTGGTCAACAGCTGTATACAAAGGGACGTTTATCCTCGTAAATTTATTGCAAACTTGTTATTAAGTATGTCCGTTAAGGGAAAGCATTTTGTGTTGAGAGATCTTTGTTTTGAGATTTCCTTTGTTAAGTTGTAAATTTCGGTAGTCATTTGTAATTCGCCAGGGCGTCCGCGGTCTCATGCGTTCAGTTGTTTCTTAATTGAGTTCCATAAAACCTTTCCGCATTAACATATTCTCGCTGATAAAGTTTTGCCAAAACTCAGAAGGGTGAAGGAAAGTAAACTTTTGCTCGAACATCTAACTTAGTTGAAGAAAGAAAAGGAGTCACAAATTATTTTTGGTAAATCAAAGTACATCTCCCTTGATTGAGTAATTTGAGCCGATGGAACTTAGCATATGATTTCCTATCGCATATAAAACATATGGATGATATCTTGAAAGGCTTAATTAACCAAAAGAGACCTTCTCGAATCGATCACTCTTCATTCCATGTTTAGGGCTTAAGGACGCTTTCAGTTAGCCATGTTGCTTGGTTAAGTTGTCATGGGAATCATAATAAACAAAACTTGTCAAATTCAACTGTAAAAAGAGGTTGTTTACCGCGGTATTCCATAACTGACCAACCAGCTGAGGACGCAAAAGCCTCCTTTGACTCGGCCAGTATTGATGATTTGACATCTGCTGAGAACTTCAGATCCTTGTTCGTGTACGCCCATGTTCCTGAATAAAAGGGGGGCAAGTATCTAAAGATAAGCTGCGTTGGTGGGAGAGAAGGGTAAGAGGCTAAGGCTCTAAAAGTCAGCTTTACAAACTCCTTACGGTGGCCACTATCAACTCAGATTAGAAAAACAAATTATCGTGTTCCTGAATGTTTGTTTATCAGTCTTAAAATCGTGTTTGCAAGGAGCAAGAATGTGAAATCTTAAAATTATTTTAGCGAGAAGCAAGAAAACGAAGGAGTTCAGCTGAACGTGGACTCACCGAATTTAGGGTTGCATCTTTGAATATCAAACGGATACATGGTCATGTCCATTAGGCACGAGATACTGAGGATTGTCGGCACGGCTATTTTGATTTGGCCGTCATATCGAATCTCGGCTAAGACGCTCAGACCATCGTCAGAACTTTCAAAAAGCGGGGCAAAACGTGACTCAAGCCTGTAAGTAAATTGTTTGAAAAGTGGGTAAAGACAACAGACAACTTCTTGGTAAGAAGCACCTCTGGCCGGAGCTTATTCCCCAACTCCCCTCCTCCGGAAACCGCAGAAAGACGCGATTAGGAATATTGCTACCCCCCCTGGATAGAAGCTGTGGGGGACGGTCTCATAGTAAGTGAGCTAGACTCCAGGTCGAGAAGTCTGGGTTCGTGGCCTGGCCGGGTCATTGTGCTGTATACTCACAGTGTATCTCTCCATCCAGGAGTACTGGAAAATTGTCAGGAAAGCCTGATGAAGTGCCTGAGGGTAACCTTGGGATGAACTGGCATTCCATACAGGGGGAGTGGTGATACTCCTTGTCACTTAATGCTATAGAAACTGGCATATTAAGCTCCGGCTTGAGCACAGACTTTACCTCTACTTGGATGGGTACTAATTCTTCAAAGATCCCCCCCCCCAGCACTTTAGGAGGCTTCCCTGATAGTTCGCTGATAGCCATTCATACGCCTGGCTGGATTTAGGGAATGCGAGAGTCAAGTGTCTTATCCAAGAACAAAACGCTATGACCGGGCCAGGTTTCGCACCAGGACATCTCGACCCAGAATACAGCACTGTATTCGTTTTGTCCTCGCCTCTCCCAAACATTTTGAGTTTGAGTTTTCCAAACTTAGTAATGGACAATTAAGAAACGAGTGTTTTTACTCACGAGTTTAATAGTCCTACGGGTGGTGTCCAGATCGTATCTACTGGTAAGTTAATACGCGTCAGGTTTCCATACTGCGAAGGACTCCAAATCAAGGACCGATCTTGCCAGGTCTGCAAAGCGTGCAAATAGTATGTTCCGAACGATATGCCAGCAAAGATAGATTTTTAATTGTTGATTACTCCATGGAAAAAAAAAGACAGACAGACACATGCACAGACAAGCGCATGATAAAACGGATTATCATATAGAAGAAGGGGTAAGCGGATAGGCCAAGGAGTCAATCTACAAAAAACGGAGAAAACCTGCGAGACAGACAGCTCAGAAAGAAGGACGGAGACAACTTGGACAAAGAGACAGACAACACTAGTTATGTAACGAGTTTAACAAACATATTCCATGTCAAAATGTGGTAGAAATAAAAAAATTGGCGCTGAGGCGTAGCCGAGTGTGTCACTGATGTTCCTAGTGCATTTTGACGTTCTCTGTGAATGATCTATTACCGTGGAGACCCTCGCCAATATAATATCTACTTATTTTATAGAATAAAATCAAACAAGCAGAATAATGTTCATGGTGTCTTCATTTATGTGTCAGTCCTCAAAAAGATCATGAGCAGGAACAAGTTAGAGAAAATGATTTCCCATTATTTTCTCATTCAGCTTGTCATACAATTAAAATAAAGAGCACCCACTGACCAGTCTAAGCCAAAGGCTCATCCGCGCAAGCTGCTCAACCACATCCTGGAAAGACAATGAATGAAGACGAATTTCACATAACTGAGAAAATTCAAAACACATCAAAACTCTTTTAACAGAAGCTAAAGAAGGATGCCGTATTCCTCAAATAAGCGCCCGGGCGCTTATTTAAAATTTGGCAAAAAGCGGGGCGGGAAGGGGTCACTATACGCACAGAGGACAGGAATGGGTTTGTACCATCCTTCCTAAGAACATTTGCCACTCACAAAACAACAAGGAAGTCTTTAATCGAGCCTTAAACGTTATCTGGCACGAGGCACAATTTGTATCTTTTCAGAATAACTTAGAATCAAGGTATATCTTGCGTTGACCTCGCTAGATTTCACAATATCTAGTCTAAGAAACCATCATTTCTGTTTCTTGTTACTTTATTTCCTGATATTTTCTCTCAAATATCGGAAGGGAAGCACTGATGCAATTAGTGAAAGGGGTGTTTGAAGAACGGCGCCCCTAATTGCATTAGTGATCATGACAAACAAAACGACAGAAACAGCAAAAAAGAATTTCGCGCTTACCACTCTGAGCAATCTATATGGCTGAAGGCCCAGTGAAATCTCGAGTACTTGTGACGTATTCTCAACTGGTCTCACATCCGTATTATAGTCCTTCAGCAAATTTTCAACCAACAGTCGATCGAATGAGGCACATTGCAAACCTAAAGGGGTGATGTCTCTCTTGGAATGTTGGGATATAAATTACGCACGGTATGTTACTATAAAGTGCGGTCAAATAGGGTTTTCCAATTTTTAGCAGAAATTCCGCGGAATTCGAGGCTGAACTTATTGATAAATAGAAGTTCAGTTAGAGCCAAACTGCCTGAGTTAAATGGCGAAACAACCACGAACACAAACATCATCACTTCTTTATTGGATATACTACCTGAGCGCGGAAGATTGGAGCGAACTTTTGATAAATTGGAAAACCCTATTGCTTTGTACAATTGTAATTATGTGTATTTTTTGCAAATTACAATAGATTACATGAAATGTTTTTGCCGCCTGGCACTTAAAATTACATTCATTAAATGGATTGCCAACTTTGGCAGCAGGTATCAATTTTAGTTTGTTTTCAACACAGGGTGTTTTTACGGGTGACTAGCTTGTTGTTGGTTTAATTTTAAAAATACCCAAACAGGACAAGCTACGATGTTTACAAAAATATTGTTAAATGGTGGCATGTGTAGAAAAATGCAGATTCAAAAACTTTGGATGCACGATTGATCATTGCTATGGAGAAAGTGCTTTGTATCTACAACCTTGAATGGATGTACACAATGTACTAGTATCTGAAAAAATCGATCAGCTTTTAAGTGATCAAGAAGATTTCCTGAACCGTTCACATAACTTCACAGAATACTTTTTTCCTCATATGAGATATGAAAATTTTGAAATTTGCTTCTAAGGAAATATTTTGTATTATTGTCACTGGTCAGCACATACATTCAGTTCAGTATTACGAGGCTTCCCAATTTCATTTCTTTACATTGCAGGTAGTTCTCTGCTTACCTTGAAAAAAGGCTGAAAGTATTATTGCGACAGTCGCGATCGTAGAAGACATGATAAATCTTCATTACTTTAGAGTATTACCATGAAGTAACATCAGAAACGCAGCGATGAATAATATGAACAAAAAGTACGAAAATATTTCACCATTTTCCAGTTTTCCGTACTAACAGCGTGAGGCAAACTCGCAGCCTGAATTAATAAGCTGACGGTGTCGTTTCTGTTTTATTACAACCTCAGCAAGTTATTAATCAATTATTAACGATAGACTTGCGCGTTTGTGTCAGGTCTTTGGAGAATCAAGTCCAGCGAACGATAAATCTGCTTATTACTCATGTAACGACCAACAAAACCCCGATGGAAAGACCACAGAGTTTTCCGGTGACTCCTTCATCTTTGTTACACAGGATATAAAAGCATATCAATCGAGATGTGAGGAGGCCCAAACCGTGAGTCTATGGACTACAACTCCTTTATTTTCCGTGGTGACATTTTCCTTATTATAGTCTTTCGAGAGAAATGCTGAACAAACCACATTGCACTAAACCTAATTTTTTTAGCACAGTCTACCAAGAAGACGATCCTTAGAAAGTGTGGAGGAGGAAGAATGGAATTCCATGCTCCTCCATATTCCTTATCAAGTCGTTTCTTCAAATTGCAACTGATGCTTCAAGTTAGAGTAGCCTCTTACCTTGACACTAGGCAGGAAGTGCTGAAGTGATCTTCATGGTTGAATGTCCTTATTATAACAGCTAATTAACCCAATCTCCCCTTCGCGTGTATTTCCGAACGAGGGACAAAACAAATCACTCCATTAGTGCCCATATTTTGGTTCAAAGAGGAGATTGCCTCAGAATCTCAATTTCAATCTCGTTTTCATTTCAGGGGAGAAGAAGGAAAAATGATAGAACTAGTGATAACAAAAAAACACCAGGGATAGTCTACATCAGTATATACCACAAAGACGAATTGCGCTGTTCGAGCGCGTTGATTGGCTGGTTCAGAATTTCGAAGTAATTAGCAAGGACTATTTACCTCCAAGTGTTGCGTGTCAATCTAATTTCTGACCATTTTTTGTATATCAACAGAAATAAACCAATTTTTGTTTGAGGTAGGACACATACTAAAATAATTATCCACCTCAGTGTCGATGAAAGTAGTGAATATTTCACTTACCGCTTCGCGGCTCGGTTAATATTCACCACTATTCACCTCTACTTCGCTGAATAATTGTTAAATGTGGACAAAAGTACGCTAAGCATTAACCTGGGTGTGCATGTGTGTTTATAGTCTGTAGGTCTTTTCCACACGTTATGTCGCGTGGGTGAAAATAAGCTCTACAAAACAGATTGCAAAAAATATGGTTATATATAATTGTTTTATTCATGAAATAAACTCGAAAGAAAATTTCAATTCCATTGGAATAAATTTAAGACCTTCCCATTTGATTATATCAAGTTAAAAGAAAGTTGACACATATTGGATAATAATATTTTTACTTAAGAAAATAACAAAAATAATGTAATGTTATATCATTTGCTTGTGAGAGAATTTCACAAAACGAGGTTATAGTTTCACCAAATTAATCTCCCTTATGATTGCCTCTCCAAATCATTTCACTTGACCATATCCACTGATTTCCTTTAACAAAATTGACGTTCATCAGGTGCAACAACTGTAAACACAGTCAACAGACATTGCAAAACCTTGTAAATGACGAAACAAACTGGTGCACATGTGTAATTGAACTCATGCCTATCTGTCAGTACCAGTGGTTGACTCATCCAGTGACGGAAATGAAACGTAGGTTTATACTTCCGGTTTTACCAGTTTGATGAATTCTGTGGGATACAAAACATAAAGAGAGATTATTACGGAACCGAGGAGGTGTCTGAATCTCAGAAAAGGGATAATTTAATTTTCCTTTAATTCACTTTTAATGCTTTTAATTTTCTGAATACAAAAGATATTATAAAATTCTTTTCAAAACGCTTGACCCGAACAGACTCTTAGCTACCTACAATCCGCGACGAAATAGTTGGTATGTTCCATTTAGAGTACAGTATACAGGTGTAACGTAACATTTCTATCCCTAATATCCTTACTCTACCCCTGTGCAACGTTGAAACTTGCCAGGGTACTTAAGACTTATTGTGCAAGATATACCATGACGATTTTTCAACATGTTGCAGCATGGAACCTCGTCGAGCAAACTGTTAAACGAATTAACACTCTATTACCTTCAAAGGTGATTTTTCGTTTCCGACTTTCCTGAGAATCTTGTAATATCTCGTTGATGTCTTGTTCTGGAATGCTTTCCCCCATGTGCCGCATCACGTAACGAATCTCGTTAGAGAATATGTATCCCTTGTCGTCACCGTCAAAAGTTCTGAATGCTTCCAAGAGCTCCTTCTCGTCCAGCGTGTTGTTGTTTTGATTAATCATCATGTTCACAAACTCGCCAAAATCCACCACACCATTTCCTTTTTTCAATTGAGGGAAAAATGATAGTTAGCCAGCCTCGTTTGAATAGTAAAAGACGATCTAATTGCATATCCGAGAGTATCTTTCCGCGAGGTGATAAGTATTGACAGAGCTCTTTTTCAATGAGTGTCGTAAAACAAAAATAATTACAACGACTCATCAGAAGAAAAGGGAACTGCCTTTGAGAGCCCATGAGAAATCGAAGGAAAAACAGCCAAACCACCTAAAGCGCGGGAAAACGCCGGCGACCAAGCTGTGGTTGGTTTTAGTTTTGTATCTGATTGGTCAAGAGAATAGCACAAGTTTTCTGGACCAATCACAGAACAAAGTAAAGGAATACCAATGCAATCTCGGATTACTTTCGACATTCGATGTAGGACCGTGACTGAGTGGAGCACGAGTGACCCTTACATCAACTCTTATTAGCAAATTATTGTGTCAATAACGAATGCGAGCAACCAAGATACGAAATATTTGATGCTACCCCAGCCAAATTAAGTAATTGGTAAACCTAACGAACCAATCATGTTCAGAGTTTTTGTTATAAACTCAAAAACGTTTTTGAAACTATGAACAGATATGAAAGCCGAATAGCTCGTGGATTGTTAGGAAAAACAGTAGATAAGCTATGAGCAGCTGTTTTATAAGCAGGTATAAGGATTCAGTCTACTAGTTAGTATCCATAAAAAAGACCTTCAGGAGGTAAAGTGTTTCTTAAAGGGCACCATGTTCTCATTTTACATACATAAGGATGATTCGTCAACAATTTGAGCTGCATCTAACCTGGTAAGTTTTCCTCGACAAGCGGAGTTCAACTTGCCAGAGACAACTTTATTTCGAAAATAGCTTGGTTTTGTCAACTGAGTTGATCGATCAGTGTAAATTGGCCATCGTAAAGATTTTCTAAAGCTGATGTTTTCAGTGAGCGTTAGCCCATCCTTAGAGCAAAAGACGAAGGGCTAGCGCTTGAAATGTAGACAAATTCAAATTATGTCAGTGTAATACCCTCCCCCAGCCCCCCTCCACCGACTTAACACAGAAAATTACCCCCATCAATTATTTGCCATGAAAAGTTTACCTTACCGTCATAATCTACTTCATTGACCATATCCTGGAGCTCGGTTTCCGTGGGGTTTTGCCCGAGGGATCTCATTATGGCCCCCAACTCACGGGTCGTTATATAACCATTGCCATCTTTATCGAAAAACTTGAACGCATCTCGATATTCTGGGAAACGTAAGAAAATATAGGAAAAAAGATCAATCAATAATTTTTGTGGTCGAAGTGCACTGAATGTAGCTGCTCAAGCTAGTTTGTAAGCACTCCACTCTGCATATAATTCCAAACAAAGAAAACATGGCAGAAAATCCTATATACCGGTAAAAGAAAAAACTAAATATGTAATTCAAAATACATAACAGACTGTGTCGCTAGTCATCATATGTAACTAATTTATGACTACTGTCAGGTAAACGAATAGAGTTTAAGAGCCAATAGTTAAGACACATACACGGGTTTTGACTACAACTTGAAATTGATCAGTTCCGTCGCAAACACCTGACCTCTAGCAAAGACAAAATAATCACCTTCTGAACTTATAATCTGCGAAAGACAAGCCTTTTCCGCTCGCAAGTTCAAGAATCGGAATCCGATTTCATAAAATGTTTCCATGAAATTTATCTTCTGATAGTTTATTTAGTCCTTAGATTTGAGACACCTAAAACGTTTACTAAAAATGTCTCGGCAAACATACAATCTACATCCTTTTCTTCGATGTTTACCAGTCAACTAACGATGAAGGACCGTGTTTATAATATATATGATCGTGTATTCATCTGGTGACCCTTGTGACTCGTTTCTAACCTATGAAATACGGTTACAGATCGCTAAAAACATGTAATACTTTTTTTCAGACCTTTTTTTGGGCAGGAAAAACCTGTCAGGTGCAGTAAAGCCTATCCAAACATCAGAGGAGGTATCTATTATAGTATTTTCAAAGCATTATTAGCATACCAGGGTATTTCGTGCGAATTCAACAAATTCCGTCTTCAGGAAACATATTCGTTTTCTGTTGTTATGCTAACTCTGGCTTAAAGTAGTAAATAGTAATTGTGATTATTCAAAATCTGTAAAGCGTCGTTAGATCTCAGAATGTACCTTCAATCTGTTCCTCTGTAAGTTTATCCTGCAAATAAACGGAAAAAGATACATGGTCAGAAAAATCAAATGGGATGCGCAGATAAATATGCGAGGACAAAGCAGACGAATTATAAGCGGTGATTACTCCCCTCGTAATCTGTAGGAAAAAAAATGAATAAATTACATTGATCTTTTTTCCAAATTTTCCCCTCGTTTCAGACAAAATGTTTTAAAATGAGTTTCATCGGGTGACATCTGGAATATTGATCTACCTCAATTTCCATTTCAGAGCCTTACGGTTGAAATTTCTCGCCTTTATGTCGATGCTTTTCTGAACTAAAATTCTTGCTGTTTGTCAAACCGATAGCGATCGCAATTGCATGCGCTTTTCCTCTGTCTTAGCCAAAATCTAGGAAATCGAATTGAATAATGAAGAAAGTTCTTCCTGTGTACTTTGGAAAATCTATTTATAGTGCCTACTTTCACATGCGTAGTATTATTTGTAGATAAACAAATTATTTTGTAGCTTCGCTTCTTGGTCAGGCAGGGCAACAAGCGTTTCAAAAAGCGAAAAAGAAAAAAAAAAATTCAAATTGTTGTTACATAGGTCATAATTTTGAGCGAATGATCATTTTAAGCAGCCTGTTAGGTATTATCCAGCTTGAGTTTTTGTCTTAGCTCGGCAGGAAAATCATTTTAAATCTAAATTTCATTCTGCACTGAAAAATCAGCAAAATATTTTTGTCAAAACCTTGAAAAGAAGACGATTTATGTTATTGATTCTATCTGAAGCTTATCTTCTTAGCGTTTGAAACGGGACCGATAGATTCTAAGTTATCTTATGTATAATCGGCTCTTTAGAGATCACGCATTTAACCTGATCGGACAGCAAGGCCGCTCAGAGACAGGCGGTGTATTTGAAAAGTTTGCCAATTAGATAAGAAAAACAAAAAATATAATAATAAAAGACGGCTAAGAATCCTATCAAGAAATTACAGTGAACCACATGGCGTTATTCCACCGGGCTAATTTTGCAATATTTAATTTTGCGCAGAAGTTTCCCAGCGGATGTTCATTGAATTTCAAAGCTATGGCGCTTTTCTGCATAAAACGCTTATACGTTTATTCATCAAAGTGACCTTATGCCGGAGGGGGGGGGGGGGGGTGGGAAGGGTACTCCTAGATATTTGTCTCGAGTGAGTAATCCTGTTTCTGAAGTTTTCATTCTCTTCTTGAAATCAAAAGCAATACTTGCAAGAAGGAAAAGGTTTCCTACCTACCTCCCGTACTGCTTTATTTATTCCAATTATAGAAACAATTATAAATTTGCGATGCAAGAGCCCAGTTAGACCTTGTAATGACTTCCGATTGAATTCTGGTCAAGTAAACAATGCATCGAACAGGAAAAATATCTTCGTCTGAAAACAATGACCAATTACAGAAAAAAAATACACAAAACACAATTATCCTATCTCCGACCAAAATCATCAAAACCCTTTATCGCTGCATAAGGACATTTTGCCTTCTTTAAGGGTTAAATCTTACCATACCCTTGCCCCCCTCTTTTTTAGTCCTATGCCCCCTGCCTCCGCCCCCAGCGTTCCTGCTCAAAGGTCTTGCATGTTTATCTAGTTTGAGTCACTTATTTTAGCAGGTGATTTTCTAAAATTGTTATTCTTCGACAAAAAATTGATGACAGTTAATTTGAATATCACCCCGAATCCATTTCGCAGAGACAATCCTTGTGACAATATTTATTTCAAAATGACCAGCATTTCAATCTTTGTGCTGTACAAAATTTAATGAAAGCGTCGAGTTTGCAAAGAGGTTTGACATGTTTTCAGACCAACGGAAATGGAATAAAATTAAACTGTGTACAAAATATACATCTATTCTAGTATCGCTTTTTTGAGGAGTTTATGATGCTAGTGCACCAGATACAAATTTTTCACCGAAGATTTTTCGCTCCCAATGACAAGGGGGCTGAAAAGAACAGTACTTTTTAGCATTTAATTCTTTTAGTCAGTTATTCAAGGCTAACCATACAGCTAGTTAAATTTACAACCAAAATTCCTTCCTCTCCCGAGTTTTTGTTCGTGAAAAATTTTAAATCCAGTCATATGTGTCGTAACCGAATAGTTCCTTTCAAAGATTTCCCCATTTTCTCTTTCAACAACCATATCATGCATCACGTGAGGTGAAGTGAAAGTTTATACAATAGTATGAAGTTAAGTCTGACAAAGCCAGGTAGAAAAGGCGAAATCAATTTTCACCAATGAAGTAACACTGGTATCAAGTAAACATCGAGATTTACAAGCAATTCCAATTTCCATAAAACATTACAAGAAATTTGCCATGGACTTGTGACACATTAACTTCCGTGTTTACGAAAGGAACTACTGTTCGTTTATTTGCCATCGTGAAAACAGCGTAAGTAACGCAAAGAGTCAGTCAGGAAGCCTCAAATGATATTAAGTCAATCATGATGTACGCTGGCTTAGGATCAGGGTTTTGAAACTTAGGCAATATGGATCAAATGTTCGCTTCAAATAACTAGACCGAAAAAAAAATATGCAATTGCGCTTTCATGGGAAGCCGGAATTTATTAGAATTCAAGAAAGAACGCCAATTAGTTGTTCTTTGTTGATGTTGAAGTTAATTTTCACGAGCAAATAAACTGATAGATTTAAGATTGCCATTAAAATGAAGACACAGTTAGTTTCGCCAAATTTCTTTGAATTTTGGTTCGATTTAGTTATTTCAATGTTTAAATTTGTTGAAATGTTTTGATTTTTTATTTATTTGCACGTCTGTTTCAGATAATTTTTAACAAAGAAACCGGAATTTTTTGCTGTAAACATATTTTTTCCTCAGGGAAGTTTTAATTTTAGCATATGTAGTTAGAAAATATCTGGGACTGCTTTCGTGCTGCAAGATAAAACTTGTATAGGATCGAGCAGGCGTGTAAAAAAATGAGTTCTGGCGGCATTCAATCTGGTTACACTGTCTTATGAATGCTATTTAAAAGCAACTCTCGGCTCTCCGTCCACTTTATCTTGGGAGAAAGCAATTATTTTTTTCCATTTAAGCATACAAAAAAGTATTAAGAGGGAACTATTTTCGTCTTTAATTTCAACTTTCCGAGTTAGAGTCGCGGTGAGAGGTCTTATTTACAGTTTTTTCCTCTAACGACTAGAAATAAAAAGAGCTTGTGTTTTCTTTGCCAGGTTCCAGAAACCTCCCTGACTTCTCTACGCTAGAGAAAGCTTGTAATTTGACGTTTACTTCTTAAGCACTCTATCGGAAATGAAATAATCGAAGTCGTTATTTTTGAAGTTGAAATGCGCTTAAGGCTTATAATTCTGTTCCTAAGATAAACGTCGAAAAAGCCTCGAGGCTCTTCGACGGATGTTACTTTCTTCTTAGCAAAACTGAAAATTTTTTAGTGATTGCCTTGTTTTGATTCAGTTTGCAATTCTGCAGAAAAGAAGATATTCTCTTAACAAACATTGTATTCTTAGTTCAAGCGAAAAGTAAAGAAATATTTCAAAGACGTATTGTTCGTATGACATCTAGAACATATTGTAGATATTGCGTTTAGATTCCAAGAACGCAAACTTAGGAGGCAACGCTGATTTTACAAAAATATGATATACCTCAATTTCCAGCCTTCGCTCTCTAGTTGACATTTTTAAAGTCAGTCAAATGTACTTGCGAAGAGTCGTAAAAAGTATTCTCCTACAGGGCTTGTGCAGCTTGCGTCGCGCAGGGACTGATCCAATCTACAACACACTTTGAGGATTTGGTTTCAAAATGATTTAATTAATCCTTCAACCTCAATGAAGACCGAAAAGAGGGACAAAATGCAAATAAATGAAAGTCAGTCTGTTTAGAGGGTTTTTGTTCCGAAGTCTTGATCAATGTTGTTAGATGAAAATTAGTGGGGTGACACAATAAATCTAATTCAATCTTGACACCAATGCGTAGAATTGGAGTGCTCCATCTGATTTCAGTCCGATGCGTGCGGTTGCTGTTATTATTGTGTTTTCATTTCCAATCAGGTTTTTTTTTCCAGCCAAGTTTTTGGATTTGATAAGAGCCCTTTGCTAAATGTACTTCGTCTTGAAATTCCTCGTTGTATTTACTTGAAGTAGGTTAGGAAACCCGCACATTAATGTCACGATGTTCTCAAAATCTCTCATCGTCGAATGTTTGTCTTTCAAAATGACATTTCACATCGAGCGTTCGTAATAACACTACTCTATATGGCAAATTACATACTCTGGCTTTCAAAGTAAAAATTCGGACCTGCTTTGTGAGAAAATTTGTTTCTTTTTCTAAATATTTTACCGATATAACTAAAGATAAAAAAATTACTGACTGCTCGAAGATTTTGGCGTTAATACCACAGTGTTACGACCTTTTTTTACATTCATTAGCATTCATAGCCGAGCGAATTTCGAGTTACGATCAACGAAAAGGTTTTTGAGTTTTTAATCAAATTTTTACCATGACAATTTCGGATTAAGGTCAAAATTTACTAAGGTAATTTTATATAACAATTCTCTCTCAACCCCGAATATCTTTTGTACATTTTCAGATGAATATTCATATCGTGTTTAGATGTCCTGAAGTCTTAAAAGATTTAACTGTCAGGAGTTTAGACTAGCAAAAATAGTCTAGACCTAATTTTTTTACGGGAATCCCTCAATTCAGAATCTCATCTTAAAAACACTGTTCATTTACTATAAATCGCTAATTTTCTTCGAGTTTGTTATTCTCCTTGCGTGTGTTAATTGTTAATAGATTTGCCGACAATATTTTCTGTGACCGACCACAGAGCAAATCACCTACCATGATAAATTATGTTCCAAAATTCAGTTATTCTTTGACGCGGTGTGGTTGAAAATTTTTCGTGAACTCGTCGCTTTTAGATAATTCTGTTACCAATATCATCTATAGTGTCCCAGCCTGTGGTTTCTTCTAGTTTATTCGATTACTTGCAAACCACTAAACACATAATTTATGCTCTCTAAACAATAAAAAGTATTTTACCCACCAATCACGATAGAGCTATCTAATTGGTCATTTCACCATGGCCAGAGTTTTCTGTTATTAATTTTTTCATGTCTGGGATTCGACCATTCACCAGCTTAAAAACTTAAGCAAAGCTCATTATTTCTGTTTACTATTTAAGATGCTGTATCGGTTAGAAAGTGCAGGTATCTGGAACTGAATCGTTCGAAATCCTGGTTAACGTTTGGTATCAGATGCTGTTGGTCGAATGCGGCGGAAACAAATGACATTTTCATTAACAAAATGACAATACAAGAATATTAGAAAGTAAGGCCACTTTAGCGCTTTTATGAGATTGTTACCTGTTTCTTATTTCGGAATCAATTCAAATTTGCCTGCGATTTGATTTACGTTATCGGAAACGGTGTTATTAAAATTCACAAAGCCTCTTCCATAATACACTTTCTTTCATGGGTTTCAAAACATGAACCTCACCAGGAGGAAGAAAAACCGCAGCTTTCTTAATTTCTTTGTTAGAAGATCAGAATATTCATGTAGCAGGGGACAAAAGAAAATGAAAAAAGTTAGGATCTGTTTTCAAGTTTGAGGTGTTTATTCACCAGTTACAGATATCGCAAATTACACCCTCACCACCAAGAAACCACGAAGCTTTTCATAATCAAGAAATTCTTCAATTCATGCATTATTGATTCGGCGAAAATTAATAGTTTAATGCATTTTAAAGGGATTATTTGCGCTGAAGAAAAACCACAAATTATTTATTAGCTCGTTACAATCCCGAAAGGTGCATCATACCTAGAAATCTTATGAAAGTTCTCGAATTAAATTGGATGTTTCCCCTCATCTCCTTCACACCGATTACGCATCAAAACAAGGAGCAAGGAAAGTTGAATTTGAAAAGATTAAATTACTATTAGACTACGTCTCAGAATGTTATAGAATTATAATAAACTGCGTCTCAAAAGGTTTGAGATTACAGTAACCTGCGTTTCAGAATGTTACTTTTTCAATGCACGGTCCATTTAAATTACTGCGGCAAAAAACAATACAATTTACGTCAATTAAGGCTCATTAAGTTATGCCGTAAACTAAAACCTGAATACATTTCAGGAGAACTTCAAAATGATCACCATATAGAATTAATTCGATATCAGCATCTGACATAATACAGAAAAGTCTGTGTTACACCCTGATTCACTGAATCACCGAAAAATTTTCGAAGCCTCGTTTTCATAAAAGTAACCTTATTTTCTCGAGACGTTTTTTCCGTGAAAACTGTTTCCCTAGCCATGCAGGTAGATGGTGAAATTGGGTTTCAGTTCCTTTTTGGCTATTCATCATTTCAACAATCTACATCCGGCCTTCTTCGTTTTTTATATATTTTCCAAAACAAGCCCACATCATTTGTCCCGTACTTAAGATAGTTGCTCTCAATTTGTTTACCTGTCATCTCTGTTTTCAGTGAATAGTTACATGCGAGACATTCCTTCCTTGCGTGTTTCTTTTTTGGTATAGTAGTTTCATGAAATGTTAATGATTCTAAAACTAATTGTTTCAGACTATAATCAAGAAAAATAAGTAATAAATTTCCAAAATTGATAATCTCATGGGTTAGGTGAGTGTTGGTCCTGAGATCATTTCATTTCTTGTCTTATCGCGCAAATTCAAAAGATATTTGAAGAATGTTCTAGTTTCGGACTTCAATATTAACGTAAAATAGAATATTATTTTTGTATTCTTCAAATTCACCTGCTCTGAGCTTATATAAGGGCCTCAGCTGCATGAAACAAGGCGGCTTTACAAAAACATCAGATGAACTCAGATGAATTTTAAAATTCACCTACTTATTGCAAGTGAGACGTTAAATGCCAAAATATTATTTTGCACATCCACAGTTTCGCACTAGAGTTTTGTCAGAGTTAAGAAAAATATTTCGCGGTTCCCTGCCCTTATAGCTTTTTTAGCTCAAGGCGGGAGGTAAAATCGTTTTTTTTTAATTTGGTGACTCGACTCACGTTGCATTGGACGACTGCCTTCATAAATGATCGTAAAAGTTTCTTCGCGTATACAACTTCTTGAAATCTGTCCCAAGACTAACTTTAGGTTGAAGCGGGATGGCGTTTGGTGTGTAACTTTGATTGAAACATTTTCAGCCGATGATTCATGCATGTCCTGGATTAATCGAAAGATCTACAACCAAAATATTTTTCTATTGTTCGGAAACAGGGGAAATGGAATACGTAACCGGCGCAGCAGCTATAAGGTTTCAGGAAGAGCGTTTGATATGACGATTGTAAGTCGAAATACCCGTCGAAAGATCTTTATATTCTTGTTTGCAATAATCTACGCACTTATTTTCTTCGAAGTCGGAATCATTTACCAGGAAAATTACGGTAAGAAGACAAACAGAACGTCAGAAATTTGGCGAAGAAGGGAGCTTGAGATCGACTTCCATCATAGACCAGGTGTTCTTATCGAATCCGTGTCAAGAGGCGAGGAAATCACAAAGACTGCCCTTGATGACAGTTTGCGTGCAATCGTAAAAACGACACGGCCATCATATTCGGTCAACAAGAGAAAATATCCCAGGCAAGGAGACTCAGATATTTTGGAATTTTGAATCATTTTGATACTGAATTTCAGCGACCGGAAATGCTAGATCCTAGGGACATCAGAATCAACTTGTCATCGTGCAGTTTTGGCACATCTCCTAACATACGTGATTCTGTATGATACATGCCATTTAACCTCTAATGTGAATTGTAGAAAGACTTATTTCGACCTCTGAATAATTACAACGAGACTTTTTTCAGCGTTTGAAAAACTCGGTTCAACCACGGCACTGTTTAGTACTCTACATACTTCATGGACCATAAACTTAACAGCAAAACATCTCTGTTGAGAAACTGCCGGAAAAGACCTGAGACGAGATGGGGAAGGTGTCTGTTAAAGAAGGGATAGTTGCGACTTCATAATGCCAGGCTCCCTTAAAGTCGGTCGGTCAAAACTTATCCATGCTCAATAAAAACAAAATCGGAATAATGTGCGTATTTAACTTTTCTTGGGTAGAATCAACCGAAATACTCGTTCATGAAACTGGTGTTCATTAAGAAGACAACGGGCTTCTCATTTGGCGTCTTATCTCTTTTGGCAAATTGAAATCACCGCTTATCAGTCAAGGCAAGTTTGCACAGCATGTTTTTGTTGAATTGAGCAACACACAGCATGCAACAATCTTCAACTGTCTCTACAATTGTTATCGATATGCAAATTAATATCGATATAAATATCACCATGAATTTGCCCAACTGCGATGCGTTCATCAGTGGAAAGTAATGCAATAGAACGAAAACCAACCAGGTAATCTTCGCTAGATATTTTTCAGCTAATAAACAATAAACCAAGTGAAAAATAACCTGCATTTTATGGTTAGTTAATTCCCCCAAACAGATCACGTATAACGTCATTGAAAGAAACCCTTTAACTTTGAATCAACGTTTGTTTATTTCAAAACCTCCGGTGATACTCGGCTGAGAATTACTCACACTCCTCTTTTTGACAGAAGCAATTCTGATTTAGCATACGAGCTCATCTCTTTTGACTATGACAGTCAGTGCTTTCTTTGTGTTCGTTGATAGTGAACAAGGCGGAGAAAACTGCATTGCAAGTGAAATATAACAACAAAGTGACCCTAAGGCCGTGTTTTATCTCTCTTATTCAACCCACCTTAGACAATAAGACATTATATTCAAGCGGTAAGATTATAAATGATAGCAAGAGTCCCTACCGAGATTTTAGGATCATGAATCCTCAATTTCCCCATGTCATCGAATATAACATTTCTTCCAAAACCTGGATTTAACAAACTGCAACAACGGAAGCAAAATATGGAAAACCTGGCCAAGTAGGCGTGAAAAAGGCTGGGTTTATTTCAAAAGGACAATCAAATTTGCCTCTGAAATAAAAAAACGTCTTTATTAGGCAAATGAACACTTTTGTCTGAAGAGAAACCAATTTCCTAACAGCTGAAAACATAAGTTGCTCCAGATAAAAAAAATACACGAAGTTTTTCTTGACTGAGAGCACGACTCTTAACTTGTGTTTTCTCAGTCTGATTCTACAAAGCTCAACAGAAATGATTTTAGTTCTAGACTAGATTTTGCGCAGAAAAAAACGTGAAATTATTCTTAAATTTGTATTCATTCATTTCGTGTTTTGACGTTATATTGGGCGACTCTAATAATTCATGCACGGACTTCATTCGTGAACTGTCTTTTCGCACATCCTCACTCGCAAAATACTTACAATGTTAGCCGCTAAATTGGCCTAAAACTCTACTTTTGTGTTTTCTTTGTTGTTCCAGACAGCCTGTTTGCTTAGCGTTAAACTTTAACAGTTGCTTGTAATTGACTCCGTATTCTAAATGTCAACAATTACGCACTCTGTTCCAAAACGAATTGATTGGAGCATCGGACGACGAGACACTGATCGGAAGTAAAAGAAAGCGTGGCATGAGCAGCTTTGTGAGTCACAAAGTACATTTCTGAGGGAACACAGTAAAACCGATAAAAGCAATTTGGGTTTACTTTCGACAGTAGCATGAGGTACGCAACTTGGGTGGCAAGGAGGAAAACACCTGATTCAAACTAGTAACTACAACATTTAATTGCTCGTAGACTCTTCATTCAGTTTCAGATTTTTAAAATCACATATTCAGTACAATAACCATTGCCTTATATTTGTTATTAACAAAATATCAGCTAAGTGTTACATGGTAGCGCAAAGCTAATAATAGCCAATGTCCTCAACAAGTCTGGCCCTCATTACTCAAAGAAGACTCGCTATAAAACATTGATAAATATTATAATTCAAAAAGTGTTAGCAACGCTTATTCTGTACCTTTTCATACGCCATTGAAAAGCATTTAACTATAAAAATTACACGCATAAAAAGCAAGTTTTAAAAATTACGCGGTCGTTTTTTAACGAAAACACGAAATAACAAACAATATCAGGAAAAATTAACCTGGCGCTGTTAATTTTGACAAAAAGTAAATTCCTTAAATGAAAGAACAGCTTTATACATTCCATATTCATAACTGTTATAACAACTTAAGTTTTAAAATTACGAGGACAACTTGCAACAAAGCAACCAGCAAGTATATGGAAGCAGGATAAATAACTGTAGGACAATTAAAGATCCGCAATTTGAATTTAGATTTTTCCTTGACACCCTTCCGCTTAGCATATCACGGTTAGAATTTTTAAAGAAACGTAGGTGTAATTGAGTTTAAGTATTACGTCTGACAAATCGTTGCTTTGCATGACATGCACTTAATATAGGATTTTTTTTTTAAGACGAGCGGGTTGTGTTTGTGGCAAACCCCAAAATTAAAATATCGCATCTATATAAACCGTTAAGTGGCACACAGGAGCTTCATGTACTTTACTTTAAAAAAACGAGTTTTAAAACACAGCGCTTTTCAAGTCGTGATAGCCTTAGAATTACGCATTAAAATAATTTATAACTCAACAAGAGCTGCGAAATAATGTGTTTTATCTAAATGCAGCGACTTTGATGCTCTCTGAGCCTTGAAATACGTTTTGCAAAAGCTTTAATTTACATTATAAGCTATGGAATAACAATAAAAGCAAAAATGATAGAACATTTCGTGCAACTAGTTTGAAAGAATGAGGGAATGATCCCCTCCAAATTCTCCAACAATGCATCATTGGGCTACAATTCATGCTTTCAGCAGCAGGCAGTTTGTATATGATTTACACATAAGTGATTTGTTGAACATTAAGAAGTATCGGATCTCCTTCTTCCTGGTTAGCTGGAAGCTCTGACGACGCTCCTCCATCCTTGGTGTCATTATGGCTAGTATTCCCGTTGGGCGATTTGTGGGAAACATTTTGGTCGGGTTCGATCTCAAAATCAACTTCTTCAATGACCACACCGTCAACTTTATCTAAATCCTCAATAACTTCTTCAACCACAAACTTTTCTCGACCATAGAACCAAATTAGACAACCAAACGTGATGAACGCCACAATGGAAGGAATGAAGGCAATTCCTTTCACTCCCAAGCCAAACCCAAGGTATTTTGAGTTCATACGAGGATCTGTTGTTGTGTAAGATTCATTCGTAGCTGGGTTCAGGTTACTTGATCTCCACTCGTATGAAAGAGTGCTTTTGTTGGCAGTTTCTAAGAATTTTTCGTCGACGACGGAGAAAATGTACCCTTCGGAATCCGTATACTGACCAAAGTCGAAAGGACTGTAAAAGATCTGGTTTTTCCACATGTTTAAGTCTAGAATAATTACAAGCATGATGATGCCATAGTTGAACCATTTTCCTGTTATGTGAACGTGCCAGTTCTCCTTCTTCAGACACCGGGGCAAGCGGAAGTAGAAGGAAGCTGTGTCCACCCCAGGGAGTTTGACGTCCATGGACCCTTGAAAACTAGGGAACTCCCAGTCCTAGTAGACAAATAAATATATTTTAAACAAAAACGTAACGGCAACAGTTATAACCATAACAAATCATCATGCTTTGCAATTGTCACTGTGTGAACTGAAACAGGCTCTCTTGGACGCACGCGTATGTTTTCAGGGATGACGTTCAGAAGCATTATGCTCGAATTTTCAAGCATAGTATATCTGACCCTACCCTCTCTTCGCAACAGGGCGTGCTTCAGATTATATCCACTGACAAGAACATTCGTTTCCTTAGCAAACTATTCCTGTGATATCTCTGTGCGTTCTTCAGTTTTTTGTCTCACCTGCATGACAATCAGCAGGTCCATAACAAGGATGAAAGACGCCAGAAAGGCTCGAGAGAGTTCATTGGTGGAGACAAAGTCTCTGTTGAGAGTATCCCACCTAACAAAGTCGCTTATTATTCCAGCGGCGACAACTGCCGTGGCAACAACAAGCACAATCCAGAACAAATAGATTCGTGTGTATCCAGTTCTCCAAATCTCCCTCAAACGTTTGTTCCAGTGTGGATACAACTTGTCCTTAAAAAACAAAAATATGAAAAAACTTCCATCAATATGCTGTCATTTAAAGTAAACCTGGCAGGTGGGCTACAATTTAGCAAATAGCAAATAAAAAAATTTAAAAATTCAGGCTTATTGATGGGATTTGAACCCAGGCCTCTCAGATATAAGTTGGGTGCTACTTTCAACTGAGCTACAAAGCCACAGGTTGGGAGCATGGGCACTATTTAGGGGGTTCTTCTTTCCCACAGAGGAAACTTATCATAATTTTTAATGAAATAAATTTCATATTTTGTCATTTGTTCACATCACAGAGATGTCAGACCAATGGCCTCTTTGGGGCACATTGCAATTGAGTGCTTTAAAACAAAAATAAAACACACAACAAGGAGTAACTGAAAACCGGATTGAAAAATTACTCTTACATTGACAGGTAAAAGGAAGATGAAGTCTGTACTCAAGTCAAGAGGCATTTCCCGCTGGAGCTTATCCCAAATTCCATAGCATGAAGTGACTACCCCCCTCTGGATTTGATGGTGCTCCATTGCGACATTAATCCCCTAGCAACTCATCAGATCTCCCTCATTGTTACCTGTTTATGCTCCTTGATGGAGAGTGGCAAGTATGAGAATTAAGTGTTTTGTCCAAGAACGCAGCAAAATGAGCGGGTCAGGTCTTGAACCCAGACCTCTCAACCAGGATCCCACCACACTAACCATAATGCCCCTGTGTCTCTCAACCTTACATGTTACTTGTATGTTTTACTAGTCCAAAGTTCGATAATACCGCTTTTACCTGAAGCATCATGTCTGTTACCATCCATGCTGTGATGAAATCACCCATCCATGTGCCCAATCCAGCTGCCTTCATGAAGGTGTCATTCTGCAGTCCTAGGTATGAAGTTATCTTATACAAGGATAGCTTGTCACCCTCAATGCTGAGGAATCCATTGTAGAGAAAGGAGAAAATAAACAATGAGACTAAAGTTGACAAGAACATCACCATCCACGAGCCACTGTCACGTTTGAACATGGAAAGTTTCATCCATCTGTTGAACACCAGTTTGTGGAAAAAGAACTTGCCTGCTAGTGATCCAACCACAATTGCCACAAGCCACAGAAATACCTTCAGAAGAGACCACCCCCCTGGAGGGTACCTAAATGTTTGTGAACAATAAAGGAAACTAACATCATTGATAATTCAGTTTCATCCACTGAGTTGATAATGTAAATTGGCCATTGTATACAGGGTGTGAAATTAATTTTTTTTTCTGATAGCCACTTGGTTCCTAAATTCTTCAAAGTGGTAGCCAATTCAAAAAAAGTTGGTCACCATTTTCAAAGACAAACAAAACCTTTTTTTATGCTGTCATTGTTCTGGAAATTAAGTTAGGGAAAAGATCTCTAATGTGCTACAAAGTGGATGCTAGGATGGATGATATGCAATGTTCAAGCTCACCTAAATCTAAGATGGCATGTAGTTATCGATCAAGATGCATGAGTTGCATTTTAGAAACAAACTTAATGAGGAAGTTTGCCACTGATTTATCTTTGCAAATCTTTTTAATTCACTATATCCCAAGGTAAGGTTATGATGAAACATTCTAGTCACCAATTTGGCGACTAATTTTCAGGATTTGGTCGCCAAAGTGAAAAATTTAGTCACATTGGCGCCTGTATTAAGCGCAATTTCATGCCCTGGTATAGAGTCTCTAAACCTGAATTTTTGAGCATTACCCTTAATCAGTAAAGTACAGCAGCTGTACAGTCATGTAGATTGTAACTTCTAGAATTCTTAGTACCCTCTAGAGGTTTCAATTTCTCAAAGGAACCCATTTTAATGTAAGTAAAAACCTCTTCAAATAACTGTCCCTTCCCTAAATGCTGCTGAACAAAGCAAACTTGACATCATCAGAGAGACTGTGCAATTTTTTAAAACTAGTATTTTCACAGATAAGTACAATTAATACTACTTTATGCAGTGACAAACTACAGTGATCCATAGCAAGAAATCAAATTTCTTTTTTAAGAAGGGGCCTTTCTGAAATGGCACATCTTCCATGTTATTTTTCTGAAAACTGGAAAATTGAACAATGTTAAGCCTTTTGATCACAAAAATACTTCACACTCCTCCCCCCCCCCCAAAAAAGAAAAAATTGGACCATCTCTAGGGCAAATAAGAATCTACTTGATTTAAAAGCCCAGCTCTTAGATTTAGAGATATTGCAGAATAAGGACCTACATTTGTTTAGAGACAAAAATAGATTGCATATAATTCAATTAAATATTTCCAGCATTTACATGTAGGTCAATAGAGGTCTAACTCTCATTGGGACCATGTTTGGGCACTGTTGAGGCCAATTGCTTGGGCAATGTTGGTTAACATTTGAACTCATAATAACATGCATTTGGAAAGCTCTCAGATATGACTCTGAACAACATCTACACTGCAATTCAAAGGACTATGTGGACATTTTAGTTTGTATGTTTTAACAGGCCATAAAAATATATTTGTAAAGCTTTAACTTACAGATGCTGTGCAAGCTTAAAATTTCTTGGTCCCTAACACAAAGATGAAAAATGCAATGGCTAGATATGAACTATATTTTGGTAACTAACACAAATGTCAGACACCAAACAATTTCTTTTCTGTACCTGTATGTGACAAAAGCAAAGTCATTCCCAATAACAGGAATGGTACAATTTGCTCTGCTGTGTGAAACAGGATCCTCAGCATATATCAGAAAGTTGCAAAAAATCACAAAGTAGGAAACAAATAGTCTTGCATAAGGGTGCTGGAAATAATATCTGCCATTTTTCTTCTGCACGCGTACTCTGTGTTTAACCTTGTCATTGTGCTGGGAGATCTAAGATCAAAAAGGAAAATATAATGTCAAATGTTAGGAGTGATTAGTATCTAATTTCTACATACAATATCATACAATATCATCCCTGAATCACACATTAACCTAACAAGAATAAAGGAAATGATTGCTAACAAAAGAATCTCCTGATTGTTAAACAAATTCTCCTCGTCAGCACTTAAGGACGTGTATGGAGAGCAGTATAGGGAAGATGCTAACTGATTTAAGGGTGTAATTTGGGAACATGTCATGCGTATGTACTTTGATTTAAGGGCAATAGAAAAATCAGTGTGAAACATCAATAAGATTGGTGGGTGAACAAAATAAGACAAAGTAGTTTAAAATAGACCAAATAGCTTTATACTTATACTGCAAATTTTACTATTATTGCAGGATTAGGGAGGGTTCAATTGTAGATGGTTCAAATTTTAGTTATCAGCTCAAACAGTAATTAATCACATTGTTACAGTTGTTCTTACAATTTGACAAGAGAATTAAATGTGTTTCTTTAAACTGTTGTCTGTTGGTGTTTTGCTTAATATAAGAAGGAGTTAACAATGAAGGAACAAGTGAAGGAGTTATAGCAATAGGCATTTTCAGTCATCTGTGTTACCCCAGTTCAGGCGTGTGATGTTTAGTACACCGCTACAGTATAATTTGAAAGGAATATTTCTCAGGTACAGGAATACAATCACGTGGTCTCGCAAAGGGAAGACAAAAGTAATACAAACTCATTACAAATAGCCAAGTGAAAAAGGTATACAACAACTATGGGCGAGAATTCCGCACAGTTCTGTACTACATTATGCATGCAGCGACGAAAACAATATACTGTCGTTAGGACACTAACGGCTTTGTTTTAGAACAATAAAAATTTCTGTCAACGGAAATCCTTCCCAATTGTGTTTAGATAAGGAAATTACTGCACTAAATGTGTTATGTTTAAAGAGCTCTTTCGCAAGCCATGGCTACGATCAAACTAAACGTTTAGCATGTGTACAAATGCAAGCAGACATCAGCTGCCAATTTGCCACACTTTCAGTCCAAAACGCGCTTCATTTTCGAACTAAAATTGTCCAAAATTCTTCGCTGAATTCTCTTTATCTGCACTTGCAGAGTGAGAGAAAAATCATAATCGATGACGAACTGATTTTTTCAAGGGCTATCGTTCTTTCATTCGACGATATGCGAAGACTATTCCAATAGCGAGCAAAGCAATGTTTACAAATTTGAATTTCTCACCCGTTGAATTTAACGTCAAAAATTTACGATCAAAATGAAAACATTAGCGATGGAGACCTATGATGCATGGACAACACAATGATAAAAGTAAGCGGTTATTCACAAAATATAACAAGTTCCTCTAACCATGATACTCCAACATTTTCAACGAATTTGTCGATCAATACCAAAACATCACTTACCTCGATTGTCGGTGTGTTGGGATCAACTTGACTTTCGTCGTTTATAATGCCATCTGTTGCTGTGGGTTTCTCGCTATCGTCGGTCATGGCCAAATTTTAAACTTTGCTCCTCTGACATTTAATTTCTCAGCTATCCTCACCCACAACCATTGATATTTATAGTCCCAGGCGACAAAAACACACCCTTTGGAATTTGAATAAGTTGCTCGTACTTTCCAATGATAAACAGTTCAATATCACCTGCATACAAGCCGTACATCATATAAGTCTACACGATCATTCTCTCTTCGATCAAGTTATGACTAAAGGTGTCCAGGCCACTAAACTGACTTTCGTGTTTTAGCACTTTTAGTCTAGAAAGTTCACGTTTTATCTATACGGTCTACTCCTGCAAAGTACGTTGTCGGCTAAGCTGCAGAATACCCTGCCACTCATTTACATGTCATTGAATAAGAATAAAGTTTATTGTGTTATGCCTCGATCTTCAGAGCCTCTCGACACATGTTAATGAGGTGGACCAAAGTGGTAGGGTATTCTGCAGTTGCTCCTACGTTGTCATCATCAGATTCGATCCGCATATTCAGCGTGCTCCTCTCAAGCGAAAGGCCTCGCCTTGAACGTGACTATTATCTGTGCAGCAATCGGCATCTAAGATAACGGCATAATTCGCCATTGGCGCCTGTATTAGGCACGAGAAAATTATGGAGCCAAAATAATAGTACCGCTCAAAATCAAGCCACAAACATAGCGACTTTTCGGCTACTTCTGGATCAAAACAATTGTAGCCCTTGAGATAATACCTAACACGGCGACTTACCAGCCACTGACACAATGACTTAATGACTCAGTGCACGGTCTCCACATACCTAAGTGGAAACTATGGCCTAAATATTTCACACCACATTTTGCCGTTTGCTTCACTCCTAACGAGCACACCAAAAAAAATTCGTCTACTAATCCGAAAAGACGATTATAACAACTTCGTCTATTTATCTGAAAAGGCGATTATAACAACTTCTTCACGCAAAGCAACTTCAGTAATCGCGAAGAAGTCGGATCAAAATCAGTATCCGAGCAACTGCGCACAAGCCCCTCCCCTAATCCAACATTAACCCCAGGTTGTTAACAGTTAACTTAACTGAGTAAAGGGGGGGAGGGGTAGGTGAGCAGTTGCTCAGATACTGACATTGATCCAAGAAGTTTTTCAAGACAGTGATCAGAAGAGGCAACAGCTTATTGAAATTTTTATTTCTAATGGTTCAATTATCCATCTACAGCGGGAACAACAGCCTTTAGACTTGTACCAACACTCTGCAAACTCTGGCGCCATTCTTCCAAGCGATCTCGTAACTCTTGCCACTGGTTGGTACCAAACGTTCGATGTGTCGCTGAGCTGCGAAGGTGAAGGTATTTACATAGAATAAGTATTAAAGCATTTTAGTCATCCGAGATTGCATAAGTTTTGATCAACATTACTCGGTGATTGATCAAAAAAATTTGGAAAGACCTTCCCAACCAATCAGATGAAAACCTAAATCCGACAATGCCCTGTCACTCGCGTTTTCCCGCCCTTTAGGCAGGTGATTTTTACTTTAAATTTTAATTGGCTCTTTGAGACATTTATCTTTGTTCTGATTGGCCACAGTGATTAGTTTGCTTTACTTCGCTCTGCGATTGGTTCAGAAAACTCGCGCCATCACCTCAACCAATCAAATGCAATACTAAAACCAATCGCAACTCGGTCACCCGCATTTTCCCGCGCTTTAAGTAGGTTGCCTGTTTTTACTTTGAGTTCTCATTGATCGATTATGATATTAACCTTTGTTCTGAATGGCAGCTGTGAAAGCTTTGGTTTTTCGCCACTCAATTGAAAACTGCACTACCAGCAAATTGCTTTACCTGATGATGACTTTCTTGTTGACTTGGTCTATCCTGGTACGAATGAGTTTTGATCGAAGTGCTGCCAAAAGAAAAAAAAATCCTTAATAAAACTGCAAGGACAGCTTAGATATTTGAACGGCAAATTTTCGGATAACCTAAAGGTACCAAAACGTGATAATCAAACAATTAGTATGAAGTAAAAAGGGAGAAAAATACTCCAAAAAAAAGGTTTGAACCTGGGAGTAACAGCTGGTCGTTCGGTCGAGTAAAGTCTCGAAGAGGGCTATCGTCGGTAGACCTACTCACGGTCGTTTTGAACCCAGTCGTTTCATACCAAGCTTGGTCGATTCGCACCCAGTAAGTTGAGTCGTTTCGTACCCATACCAATACGGTATGTTTTCCATGTTGATTATGTTAAAAGTTAGAATAGAATAAACGAATAAACGAAAGGAAACGAATTTATTTCTACTTATTGAAAGTGGGTCAACTATATACCAGGCCTACACCATCATATGAACTGATTTAAGCATGACTTCAGACGTTCAAAAACCAAACAGACAAACAAACAGAAGCAATACACCATTTAACTTTCAGAAAACATGATAGTATACAGTGATAAAATACTGTACCTTCTATGATAAATTCCTCAATTTCATCCACACTAATATTAAGTTCCTTACAGAGGTCATCAAAATGCACCTCTGATTTTGCTTCCCCAAGTGACATGAATGTTAGAACTCGCATTTTGTGAAGGTTCTTCTCATGAGTCAAACCTGAACAATACAAAATACCAATTTCAGAGAAAAAGAATAGCCTCTTTTCTACATTGCAACATTTCTATTTAAAACAAAGGTTAGAGGCCAAAGTCTTTTGTTGGTGAAACCCAGATAAGTGCAGCCCTGATACAGTCAAAAACTAAAATGATCACCAGCCTGAGTAGCAAAACTTCCTGATAAACAAAGAGCTTTTCCACATTCTGGCTATGCAAAAAGAGGAAAATAAGACTTTTTGTTTGTGCAGGAATGGTTGCCACACAAGTTAAAGGGTCAGCTGTCATCTGCTGTTGACAATTTATAAAATTTTTAAGCTTTGGCTGGTGTACAACATTTGTATTGCGTATTTACTAGCTGCCCCACAATGTTTTAGAGTGGTAAACCAAGAGATATTCCTTGGCCCTTTACACCCTTACATCAGTATGCATATTCCCCATACTGTTCTCCATACATTTCCTAAAGTGCAGACAAGGAGAATTTTTTTTAAAATCAAGAGCTTGTTTTGTTGGTGATCATTTTCTTTATTCATGAAATCTTTATGAGTGATTTGGGGGTGGTTTGTAAAGAGAAATTGGATGTGAATCACTCAAAAGGGATCAAATGGTTAAGTCACTTGTTTTTTTTTTGTTTTAATTTCTTTTTTTTGTAGAAATGGCACTGCTTACTTAATTTTGGTAAGAATAGGATTGCAGTACATAAAGGGATGGTTGGGAGCAATACTGTTGAAAATGACACAGCTTTCCTGTATTGCAATTGCATGGCAATATTTTTCTGCAGCATGGTTTAAATGGATATATCACAAGAACCTACCACAAGAATCCACAAAATCTTTGTTCTTTTCATAGAATTCCATGTAGTCAGCAAGTTTCCCAGAAACAAAGATGGTCAGAAGCTAAGAGAAAGAACAAACAGGCACTTTATAAGTTTTTTGATAAAAGCAACAGGGAGAAAGTTCTGCAGAAATATATTTAACAAACTTGCAGCAAAACAAGCCTGTTGCTGTCTTTTACAAATAGATTCCATTTTGCCATACATCTGTTCAGTAATGACCACAGATGCTCTTACCACATTTAACCCTTTACAGTCCCAGACATCAGTATGCATATTCTCCATACTGTTCTCTATACATTTACTAAGGTGCTGACCAGGAGAAATTGTCTAACAATCAAGAGTTTCTTCAGTTGGTGATCATTTCCTTTATTCTCATGACATTAATGTGTGATTCAGTGGTGATATTGTAGGAAGAAATTAGATGCTAGTCACTCTTAAAGGTTAAAGGGTTAAACTTTCTCTGTGATCTATTAATCTGTATAGTAAAGACCAATTTGTTTTATATCAGTGATAAAAAAGAGCAAAAGATTGTTGACGTCATCTGTTCTCCAATAGATCACAAATATAAAAACCCATCAAAATGCAGGTATAATTCAGCTCATCAGACAACAAATCCTAGCCACCATCTCTATTTTTGAACATGCCATTTTTATTACTTTGGGTTTGATTTTAAATTTACAGCTGCTGTGCATCATTGACTCAAAAAATGGCTCTACATGTACATGGACATTATGATCACTTTGTTTTAACTCTTTAACAAGAGTGACCAAGACAGAATTTCCCCTTACAATGTTGTTATAATATGACAAGCAGGAAAATGACAAAAATAAAGAAAATGAGGGGATTATCAGTTGATCCAATACCAAATTTTCCCAAGTAACATCATAAGAATTGTGTGACAGATAGTAAGGAGAATTACCATTGAGTTCTTGGGAGTGAAAGGCGTAACAGGACTGTACCTGGTAAATTGGTTCCCCTTGCAAAGCTGCAACTGGTGGAAGTGTCAGAAGGAAATCCATGATGAGGACATTCGGTCTTCCCAAAAGACTCACAATACAATTTTTGGCATCATCTTTCACTTCAGATGCATTTTCATCAGTGTATGTCCTAAGGAGTTCGACCATGACTGATGTGGCCTCCTCACTGTTACAAAACAAACAAGGGTTCGCATTTACATACATTTGCATGTACCGCAGTACATAGAGCAATTTGCAATGAAGTGATGGTAAAAATCTTATTTCAGACTTGCCTTTGTCTGTCTTCTGTCAAGGCATCAAAAAGCAATCTGTATACTTTTCTGGCCTTCACTCCATCAACTTCCCACATGTTTAGCCAACTCCTAACCTAAATGTGCAGAAACATGAAATAAAATGGAAGAAAACTTTAAAAACATATAATATAAATGTACGTTTAATTGTCTGTCTCATGTTGTGATCATTGCAATTGACAGCTTGACTCTATATTGCGAGACAAAGGATTAAACAAGATATTAAGTGTCCATAAAACCATGACCACAAGAACATCAATTTTTAATTAAAGTGCAACAACATAATAAATTTAATATCTTTTTTATGAAACATTTTCCTTTGGAATGCAGATACAGAACCAATTAACCCTTTGGCTCCCAAGATCTGATTGTAAATTCTCCCCTCTAACTGCTACACATTTGCTTGTAAATTAGTTGTAAGAATTCAGTGTGAGATCAAGGTAACAACTTTTGTGTGATAAATTTGAATATTCTCATTACCTGTTTTCTGGAAAATGTTTGGATATTGTAGGGAGAATTTGTGTGTCAAACACTTCTGGGTGTTAAAGGGTTAAAAGATTGCTACCACCCTCTCTCAAGACAAGAGTTTTGACTAGAGAGATGAGTGTTTTTAAGTCTAGAGGCACAGTCAGTGTTCCTCCTTATTTATTTTTGAAGCAAAACCAGTAAAATGACATTTTCAATTGAAACTAACAGAGAAATCCTTTCACCTGTTGAATTTTCAAGACTGCAATGAAAGGAGTAATAAGAGGAAACACAGGTTATATATATGTCCATGCTATATATAACCATGGTTATTTTTATGATTAAAAACCCTAAGATTCAAGGATTTCAATCTCCAGGACCACACAAACCAATGAAAGGATACTTATATATATGTGCTATATATAACTTTATTTGTATATAAAAAAATTAGAAAAAAAATCAAAAGCAAAGGTTTTCCTCCCCTACCTGATCCAACGATACATTTATCTGATCAATCAAACCAGCTTTTCCTGCAACCTTGACCTGAGTGCAGTAAACATCATATCGGACAGGATCTCTTTCATGAAGCCAGTTTAGCAGGATGCTTAGTCTGTTATTCATCAGATACAGAAGTTATCAGTAATTGCTAAATTTTTGACTCCAAACATGGTATTTCTAGTGCTCTAATTGGTTCACTTATCTGTGGCTATCAGTTCGTATAAGTATTTGAGTCACCTTGTAAGGAAGTGCATTGCACCAACTGTTACAAAGCTGGAAAAGGCTCCAAAAATTCAAATGTTCAGGATTTAATGAAATCTCATAAAAAAATTATTCTATCCACGCTTGTCCAATAGCCAGCTTGGCATAGGAAACCAATTTTTCTTTTGGAGGGTATGACGTGGCTGTACACAGGCTAGCTCAGTGCTATGCACCTTGTAGGCTATTTACTATCATGATCTTGTATTGAACAAGCGCTCATAGAATAATTGTTAATTACACAAAGATCTCCTCCTTACACCCTACAGCTACAATGATAATGGACTTTGAAAGTGACTTTTTGACCTATAAACCCTGTGACTCCTTAGAGTCAATAATATCTAATTTCTCCGTGCATTATCACCTCTGAATCATAAATTATTGCAAACAGTATGGAAAGTCTGCATGCTAATGTTAAGGTATAAAGGGTTAATGTAATAGACAGAGATCATTCCATGGAAAGTGCTTTAGCAATTTTTATTCATGAGTTGCGATACATCAAGAAAAAGAAAGACTGAGTATTTTGATGCATTGCAACAAATGAATAAAAATTGTTCAAGCACTTTTCAAGGTACATATTGAGATTTTTTCTAACTGAGAGACACATTTCAAAGATGGGAAACCATTTGTTGCTCTCCACTGTGAAGCACTATCAATAATATTGTGTCTCAGATTGGACAAATGATGCATTTTCACAGTTGTTTTTAAAATATTTATGAAATAAAAGGGCTTAACCCTTTGCTGGAAATATGGTTTTGCATTTAATTTATTTTCTTAGAGATTTTTGTTTGTGTACTCCACTCCAAACTGTTTAACTGGACTCAGTGGTTGAATCTAATCCAGATAAAAATTAATGGTAACAGGAGATGTGTACTTTCACCATAGAAGAAACAACTGTAGAACTTTATATAATTATTTTAAGAGGCTCCCCTGCTAAACTTATGAAAGTACTGAGGTGTACAAACAATTACGTGGAAGTCTTCCATGGCATTTCTTTCATCTTGGTATTGTAAACATAATACACTAACTATTAGGCAGACAATGTTGCCCATTTACAGCTGCCCTAAAGAAAAAAATATTTTCTCTTCAGAATCAAAATCACCATGCCTGTAAGATTACTTACATTCTAAGTCTGGTCAGTGATGTGTCCTCGTCAGATCTTACTTCAGCCACTTTGTCACAAAATTTTCTGATTAGGTCATCTCTTTTTTCTGTCACAATCAGTATCAGGGAAAGAAGGCTGTTCATGACCCCTTCAAGTTCTAAAGGAAAAGACAATAAAAACAGAACAAATAGATTATGGAACCATTACCCCTTACACTGTACACTACTTTATAGGCCATGGGCTCAAATCCTGTACAGGCCTGAATTTTCTTTAAGGCCCTATTTTCACTACTGCTTATTAAGAAGTGTTCATTACTGTGAAGATCGCTTTCATAATTATTTCTTACAAATATGTACTAATAATAAGAAATTTCAGGCACATACCTGCTTCTGACTTGAAATTAATGTCGCATGCCATCAACAGCTGCTCCAAATCCTCGTGTAATGGAGACATACTTTCTTCATTTATATCAGCACCACAGGACTTAAGATAACCTCGAATTTCCAGAGCCTGATTTGAACAAAACAAAAGGAGTTTTTCTCTCAGTTATAAAAAAAAGTCAGCTTCCTGTGTAAGTATTATCGTTTGCATATTAGAGAGTGTGGCATAAGGGGATTCGTTTGTTCTGAACGCATAAATGGCTCATATAAGGAGCCAGAAAAAGCTTACCATTTATAACTAATGGTCCTCTAGGAAAAACTTGATAAACATTATAGCAGACCACAACTGTAAGCTTGAACATGGATTTATAACATGCAAAAGCTGTTTATGCTTGCAGTTGTATTATGTGACTTTACAAATTCATGAAAGAATTGATGTTCCCTCGCATGGTGATTTCAAGTTACTCAAAACATTTCACGTACGTTCAGGAATACATCACACAAAGGGGAAAAGGATAAAATCGTCGTACTTAATGAGACTTCCTCAAAGCTCAAGTACATGTACATGTGACGAAAAGTTTTTCTTCGAACTGATAATCAACTTCAAAACTAAGCGTTGAATGTTTAAAATAGCGAAATAGATGACATAATTAGAAGCTTACCTGGTCCTGTTCCCCAACATCGATAAAAGCTGGCAAGATCGGCTCCATTTTTATCTAAAGATTCGGACTTTTTCGACCCTTAATACAATCGATTCGCAATCACGTTGTTAAAACGCTCCGCTGACCAAAGCGCCTAGTCTAATCCTACTCATGTAGGCTACCACGAATATTCCTTTCGAGTGTGCATACATGACGAAAAGTTTGCAACACGTGGAGACCTCAACAAAATGGTGTTGAAGAAAGTGGACAATCGCATCAGAGTTTTGATTGAAAATGGCGTCCAGAAGAAGCAGCGATCACTGTTTGTTATCGTGGGCGATAAAGGAAGAGATCAAGTAAGTAGAACCATAATTGATAGGTCGTTCTGAAGTCTCAGTATCCCTGAGTAAATTCGCAACCAACGAAGAACGTTTGCCTACGTACAAAAGCGATGTAAGTGGATTTGTATGTTTGTTTTCATCTGCGTCTCACCAATAAACGTCATAGGGCAAATATCCTGTTTAGAGAGGCAAAATTAGTTTTCAGCCGGTTCGAAGTGAGGCTTCTCATGGTAGAATTGGATGTCTCTGGTCGTATGCGTTTTGCAAGTTATTCAGTGGTCTTCCTAAATCTTATTTCAGCTCCAAATTAACATTCTTATTTTTGCATGCCGTGAGAATGGTTTGGATTTCTCCCTCTGCGAGTAACGTAACATGGAACTGCAGATTTTGAAAAATATCTCCTTGAAAATCAAATTTCTGTAACAACTGTGCAACTGTCCTGGCGCATAACTGCCATGTGACAAGCTTGAGACCATTTGAAGCATTGAAAGAGATAGTAACATGTAACTGACTAGTATTGCTTTGGGGAGAACAAATAGTTAAAAGAACACAACTGAATCACTAATGAAATACACCCTAACAACGGTGTATGTGACATGCTCATTTACACATTTAACTTATGCAATGATGAATGAAAGTATTAACTTCTTAGACCTGATATCATAATGTTGATGATCAGGGATGAATGGGAATCTTCTCTCTGAGCATACACATGCATGTACACACGTGTTATGTATGCATATCTGTCCTAATGTCAGCATATGCAAATAATATATTAGGCTAATTCATTGAGCAACTGAATATTGCTTTTAGTTTATTTAAACACACAGAACAGTTAGGTATGCAGTGTACATGGAAATATATATGGATTTGTAGAGACATGCAACCAGTCAAATATCGCTTTTTTAAATTTTTTGAGGTTGTCATTCTCCATCACATGCTATCCAAGACAGCAGTCAAAGCAAGACCAACAGTTCTGTGGTGTTATAAGAAAGAACTAGGATTTAGCAGGTAATGGAATTTTGTATCATGGCTTGTTCTTTATTATGGCAACTGTGTAACTGTAATGGGATCTTACCCATGACCAAACAAATACCAAATTATCACAAAACAGACAGCATACACTGTAACTCTTATAGAACTGGATTAGGAAGCCTCCCAACACTTTCAAGTCATGTTAAGCTATGTGTCTTATTTTTCCCTTTAAACAAACCTTATTTATGTAGTTCTTGTAAATTTTACAGTACATCACAATTTGCTAAATTGATTTGCTAGTGTTGTAAAATGTACCAATAAAAATTAATATCTCAGGCTAGTATTAAAAACTAATCGACAAGTACCAACTACTTGTTACTCTTTAACTCCCTAGAGTGATCAAGACAGACTTTCTCTATACAATATTAATACAATTCCAAGCACACGTGTAATGAGAATAAAGAAAAATATTGATTAGTGGATTATTAGCTGATCCAATACCAAATTCTTCATACTAACATCATAAGAATTGTAAGGAGACAGTAAAGAGAAAAACTTATGAGATGTTGGTAAGAGAGTTAAAGGGTTCAGCTGTAAATGGTGTGCTTTTGTTTTTCTTTATCAGTCACAGAAAGAAAAGAATGAAGCAATTGCAAAAGAAAATCAAGAGTGGAACCTTAGATCTGAAGAAGGATGACCCATTTGAGTTGTTTGTATCTGCTACAAATATTCGCTATTGTTATTATGCTGAAACCCACAAGATACTTGGAAATACATATGGCATGTGTGTGCTTCAGGTAGGGATGATGAACAATTTCCTTTTTCTAAAAGTGCATTGTCATTGGAAACTCCTTATAAACACTGCTTTTTGTGCCATTCATAACTTGCTCATTCAAAAGTCTATTACAATGTCTTTATATATTTACCAGATTAACCCAGGCCTACAATTTCCATGAGTAACTAAGACAGAATTTCTCCAAACAATATTGATACAACATTGAGAAGAAAAGTGATGAAAATTGGGAGATTATTAGTTGATCCAATACCCAATTCTTTGAACTAAAATCATGATAGTTTTGTGGCAAAAAGTAAGGAGAATTACAAAATGAGATCCTGAGAATGAAAGGGTAGTCAGGCAAAGTCAACTTATGTTCCCAGCTGTTGGTAAGAGCTTAGCCATGCAGATTCCTACCATTGATTGACTTTACAAGGAGTTTTCTCACTCTCTTAGGTGGGGTGCTGGTCCATAATAACTTACTCCCCCCCCTCTAAGCTATTAGTGAGAAACATTTACAAGTTAGTTTTCAGGTATTGAAGTCTGTTTTTGTTCCATGCTCCTTTTTTTCCATATCATGTCTTGTACAGGATTTTGAAGCTTTAACACCAAATCTACTGGCCCGAACTGTTGAGACAGTTGAGGGAGGCGGTTTGATTGTACTTCTGCTAAGAACAATGTCATCTTTGCAACAGCTGTACACATTGGCCATGGTAAAATTCTGTGGATTAAGTTTCTACATCTCATAATTATCCAGGCAATAATATAGTAGTTTATAGTTAATATGCAGTGTATATTAACAGTTTGCATAGGTCCATGATAACAAACTTCCTGTTTACTGCTAGGATAGGAATGTCATCATGCAATATGTACTGAGGAGATATAATTATAATGTGAAAGTAGTTTGCCAAGTAAATGATAATTAACTCTTAAACTCCCAGAAGTGACTAACATGAAACTTCTTCCTATAATATCCATACATTATTCAGCAAACAGGTAATGAGAATATTCAAACTTGTCAGGTAGAAGCTGCTATCTTGATCTAGTACCAAGTCCTTATAACTAATTTACAAGGAAATTTGTAGCAGCTAGAGGGGAGAATTAACAATCAGATCTTGGGAGTTAAAGGGTTAAAACACTTGAAGGAGACAGTGATAGGGACACTTAGCCATTTTTAATAAACAAAATTCTGTCTTTTAAATCCAGCCACCAAAATGCAGTCAGTATATCAAATTAGCTTCTTTATTGTATTGTGCTGAGGGGAAGGTCAAACCCTAGTTGCTTCACATAGATTAAAAATACTTGAATTACAGTGTAAATGAAATGTGTTTCTTAGGATGTACATTCTAGATACAGAACAGAGTCTCATCAAGATGTCGTTGGAAGATTTAATGAAAGGTTAGTACTTTGTTCGTCACAACCCTTATTTTTAATCCAAGAATGGTACTTAAAGGAAAATAAGATGTTTATCACTTTTAGAAGGTAAAGGGTTGATGCATATATAAATCCTGTAAAGCACTTATGTTGATTTATATGTGAAGACAGAGCTTTCAGTATCTTGAAATTTGCCTTTTATGTGAGAAAGTTATCTCTTTTTTTGCTTTCAACAGATTCATATTGTCGCTGACCTCTAATAGGAATTGCATGGTTATTGATGATCAGTTAAACATTCTTCCCATCTCTTCTCATACTCTATCAATAACTGCATTACCACCAAAATCAAAGGTAAAGATTATCATTCATGTATTCTAAGTTCAGTGGAGAGGTAGTTTTGTAGTTTATGGTTTTTCATGTTGTGGTTGAAACTATAAAATATACAGGACATGAGCACAATGAATGCAGTTATGCTGTTTTCCTACCAGAGTAGACTAATAAGACAAAGAAGCTTCAAATTAATGGGGTGAACATTCCTGCAATTTTTGGTCTTAAAAGCCTTAAAACTTGATTATTTCTTGAATGGTCTCAAATATCCAGAAACTTGACTGAAGCCTAGATTCCCAAAGGTTTTGAGAATTGAGGATAGAGGATCAAGTGTCAATGGGGTGTCAAATTACAATTGAGCATTACAGTACTGTATTTTAGCCACATTGTAAGTATGTAATTATTGTCATTTAGCAGGGTGAGCTGGGCAGACTTGCTAATAGGAGTTAAACCAATAAAATCAAGCCATCTTAAAGCAAATTATGCAGATGCAATACAGGCTAGTGAACATGCATGCATATGCCATTTCTTTTATTGCAGGAAGAATCTATGAATGCAAATGAAATTGAGCTTAAGAGTTTGAAAGAATCATTGCAAGACACACAGCCTGTTGGAGGTATCGTTAACTGTTGCCGCACTCTTGACCAGGTCAGTTTCTTCAAATGCATGTTCATTGACTTTGTGTTTTTCGTTAAAATTTATGATCAGGAATCGTTAAGATGTTTAGAATTCAGACTCTTAATAACATCTGCATAAAGAGCCTCTGCCCTGGTAACAGTTTTCCTAAATCTGGTTACATGACAACAATTGACCCATACATTGGGAACAGGGTGACATCTTTTAGTTGCAAACCCATACTGTGCACATGCACATGTGCATGTACTTTTAAGAGCTCTGAAGGGGTGCAGAAAGCCTTGCTTTGGTTGCCCCAGTTGATGAACAATTGATGTGACTAAAGATAGATTTTAAGAACAGCATTGTGAAATCCACTGCTTTGGAGGACTGGATGATTTAAAAACGATTGCAAGATATGGTCAGAGACAATTTAAATAGACAAAAACTCCCTCAACTGATTTACATTTAAGAGTACATTTACTTGTATACCTACATTACAAAAATTTACAGTTAATGTACTTTTCCCAAAAAAAAAGAAAAAAGCAAATAAACATTCCATTGACTATACTTTTGGTTACGTTCCTAGGCAAAAGCAGTCCTCAAATTCATTGAAGCGATATCAGAAAAGACCTTAAGAAGCACAGTAACACTAACAGCGGCCCGCGGTCGTGGAAAATCAGCTGCCTTAGGACTGTCATTGGCTTCAGCTGTTGCATTTGGGTATGCTATTAAAGTTAACCCTTTACAGTCCCTAACATCAGCATGCATATTCTCCATACTGTTCTCTAAACATTTACTAAGGTGCAGACAAGGAGAATTTGTTTAATATTCCAGAGCTTCTTTAGTTGGGGATCTTTTCCTTTATTCTCATGATGTTAATGTTTGATTCAGGGATGATATGGTAAGGAGAAATTAGGTGCCAGTCACTCTTAGGGTTTTAAAGGGTTAAGAAATTAAATCATAAGAGATATGGTGAGATCTTTAGGGTAGAATGTTAGATGTTAATATCTTGAACTTACCTTTCATTGGAATCAGACTCATTTTCTTCTCTTCAAGACTAACAAATTGAATTTACCATTTTTCTTGATGTTGCAGGTACTCAAACATGTTTGTGACATCACCAAGTCCAGAAAACTTGCACACTTTGTTTGAGTTTGTCTTCAAAGGATTTGATGCCCTGGAATTCCAGGTTTGAAAATGAAATCTGTAGCAATATTGATTTATTTTTATCCATATAGATTAAGATATACAGTACATATGTTGTTCAATGTTAACAGGAAAAGGTATATTAAGTGTTTTTAATAATTGACAGGAACATCTTGACTATGAGCTGGTGCAGTCAACCAATCCAGAATTCAACAAAGCAGTTGTAAGAGTGAATATTTTCAGGGACCATCGACAAACAATCCAGGTATCCATTAAAAGAGGAATGTTTCTTATTACAATTAATGCTACCTGTATTGACAAACCCCCAATAATAGTATAAAAATGTTGTATATGGACTTATATAATAAGACTTGTAAAGCCCTGGATATGCTTTTATTGAAAGCATTGGACAAAAATGCATGCAGGAGGGTTTGCACACAATGACATGAGCAGGGCCAGAAAAAGTTGTAAGGCCCTGCAAGATGCAAGCTGAAAGAAGAGAGGATCAAAGCCATGAAGGGGAGGCAGGAAGGGGAGGGGTGGCATACTGCTATTTTATGATCTAGCCTGAGTTGTTGCACACAGACTCATGCATCATAAACTGTTTTTTGTCTATGTTTTTTATGAAGGAGCACACTGGGCTGAACAGGTCATTTGATAATTACTTGTATTTGACTTGGATGGGGATTTCTACTCAGGCTCCCCAAACATAATAATCACTGTAGTTGACAACAATTCATTTCAGGGCTACTCTCTCACGCACAATCAGAATAGTAAACCAACTGTAGTGGTCTACCACAAAAATTTAACTACGAACTCTCCTTTTCAGTACATTCACCCATCAGATGCCCACAAACTTGGCCAAGCAGAGTTGGTTGTTATTGATGAGGCTGCTGCCATTCCACTGCCTTTGGTCAAAGACCTCATGGGGCCATACCTTGTGTTTCTGTCATCAACAGTGAATGGGTAAGGGGTGACTAGGCAAATACTAGAATTGTGTATGATATGGTCACAATGAGGTCATTTTTGAGTTTGAAGAATCACGAGCATGTGGTCCATTTACGCTTCAAAGGACAGGATGAGGGGTACTGTCACTAATTGCGAATGTGTGGAACTACTTAAAATTTCTTGGTTTATCAGCATGGGTGAACACTAAACTTATGTGGCATACCTGCGTTTGTTCACTTTCAGGTATGAAGGAACAGGCCGATCTCTCTCCTTAAAACTGATCCAACAGCTTAGACAACAGAGTACAACTCATGGTCCTTCCAGTAAAGGCAACAGTTCCACACCTCTGGGCCGCAGTCTTCATGAAATCACTCTGAATGAGTCCATTCGTTATGCACCAGGTGATGAGGTGGAAAGATGGTTAAACCATCTTCTCTGTTTGGACGCCACTGTGGTACAGAGGCTGTCTTGCGGTTGTCCATTGCCTGAAAACTGTGATTTGTATCCTTCGTAGCAATGACAAGATTTTTATTGTGCTTTTCAAGTCCTATCATGTTATGGGCAGCCCCAGAAAAAGAAGAAGAGAAAAGTTAGGGGAAAAGAAACCAAAAGATGATTGAAAGGGTGGGCTTAAGTTGGAGACTAGATTTTTATGAGAAAAGGGAACTTATGTGTCTATTTTGTCTTAGCCTGTTTCAACTGTTTTTTAAGTAAAAGGCAGATAGTGAAAGAGGAGTGAACAAACAAGTGAGGCTTGAGTCCAGAGGAAGAACCAAACGTCCCTCACTTTTCACTCCACTACTACTGTTGCACTGTTTACTATTTCACTCTGTTTTACCCTTTACACCCTAAAATCAGTATGCATATTCTCCATACTGCTCTTTATAAAGGTGCTGACAAGGAGAATTTGTTAAAAAAATCAAGAGTTTATTAACTAAAGGTGGTGATTGTTTGCTTTATTCCCATAACCTGGATGTTTGATTCAGAGGTGATGTTGTGAGGAGAGATAAGATGTTAGTCACTCTTTGGGTTTAAAGGGCTAACACTGACTTAAAGCCTGGAACAGGCTGATCATGGTGTCTACATTTTTTTCTCATCGTAGTCACTGAAATTTACTTTTATTTGAACAATAGATGTGTTTCACCTTGGCAGCCCTTAACTGGTTTTTTTTGTTAGATATTACATCAATCGGGATACACTGTTTTCTTATCACAAAGCATCTGAAGTCTTCTTGCAAAGGCTCATGGCTCTTTATGTAGCTTCGCATTACAAGGTAATTAACTATTCTCTTTGATCTTTTATTTGAATGTGACTGTACAGTGTACATCAGTGCTCAGATTAGAGCAGAGGTAGGGCAGTTTTTGTCATTCCTGTATGAATGGGGGAACCAATGCATGTCACTTGTGGGCATAACATAGCAAATGGGTCCTTAATCTTGTTCATTTCTCCTACTGACTAAAGTCGACTGTCATGTTTTTTTTTTTTTTCTACAAAATGTTCAACCAAATTTTTTATTATTAATGGTCGTTTTCCTTTTGTTTTCTTTTGTTAAATTCCATTTTTGTCATATTAGTTCTGAGGTTTTTTTGTCGTTATATTTTTTTTTATTCATATGGCCTCTGTAGCATTGCTAGGGGCACATTGGGCCCTCGGTGGTTATGTTTGCACTTCAGAGGGGTGATATTTTTCCAAGAAAGAATGATACCAGTGTAATCAGCTCTACCCTTGGTCTACAAGTTCTTTCTTCCTCGTCTCTTTCATTTGCAAGAGGAAATTGTTGCTTCCCTATTATCTGACTATTGTGGTATGACAGTTCACACTAAATTCATTGTCTTTCATTTGCAGAACACTCCAAATGATCTACAGTTGTTATCTGATGCACCTGCGCATCACATCTTCTGCTTGTTAGGTCCTGTTGATCCTGCTCAGAACACACTTCCAGAGGTGTACTGCGTGTTACAGGTGAGAGCTTGCAAAGCAAGGTACAATAAATTATGAAAAAGGACATGTCACCAACTTGATTTGCATCCCTGCTAGGGACTGTACCGGCCCCTGTAGCATGTGATAACTAGGACTGATAACTAGATGCTGATATTTGCGGATCACTTGCAGTCGAATTTTTCAACTTCCATTCTGTAGACAACTGAAGCCTTAAAAAATTCTTGTTTTAAAGAAGTTTTCATTTCACATATTAAATGTGCCCACGATCAGATTTTTGCAGGTGTAAGCTTTTCTTCAATCAAACGTGTATGTGATTTCAACCAGATTCTCTGACTGTTACAGCCTAGATTCCTAGCTGAAGCGCAAAAAGCTGGTTCAATGGGAATGTTGCTATTTTTCTTTACTTGACTTCTTCATATCGTAAAAAAGTTCCTGATTTAGATAGATACAGTATATTCTTTACGATTAAATGACTTGAAACTAGTGACAGAAAGAAACTAGTGATAGAAAGTGTAGTCCAGTCAGTTGTTTCTGTTTATTGATTTGGTCAAATGTATTACACTATTCGTTCTTAGGACATGCAGTTTTCATGATAAAATCAAACTTGACTGCAGTGTACATGCTTGAATTTTCCTCAACTAAACAAACCTTTTCCCTCAAAGAATTGCAAATAAGGTTATACTGCGAAAAGTACTGCAACAGTATACACATGTACACCCGTTTTCAAAAACATCGCAATTTGAAAATTTATATTAAATATACACACCTTTTCTTTTTCCATTAAAAAAGGTGTTTCCAAAAATAAATTAAAGGGACAGTGTTTCAAAAGAAAACTACAATAGCTGCTGTCAAAATAACAAAAGAGGTATTGTTTCCTTGGATGTGAAAGATACATTCATTGTCAATTACCTTTCTGATAAGGAAAGAATAGGTGTAAATATTTAATATACATTTTTAAATTGCAATATATATATATATATATATATATATATACACCTGTTTTCAGAAACGTTGCAATTTGAAATATATATTAAATATCCATATAGTATGTACAAAAGAAATACTGATAGTAAAGTAAAACATAACGCAAACAATTTGGTTGAGAATTATGTAAACAGCATCAACCTTCATCCATTCAGCGTAAGGATAAACCTATTATAAAACCTCGAAGAAAAGTAAGAAAGTTGTTTGAGAATTACGTAAACAACAACATCCTTCATCCATTTAGCTTAGAGATAAACTCGTGCTATTAAAATTTAGTTCCAGAGACCAATATTCCAAGACCCCGAACGATCAAGAACGAGATTCAAAAACCCCCTTTTCCAATGGCTTCGCCTCTGCGGTTGGCAGGTTCATAATAAAAAAGAAGGTTATTATTTGAATATTCAGGCAATCGCCACAGGTTATCGCGGTCATATAAAGAGCACGTTGCATAACTAAATCGATATTTCTGATCAAAGCACTTCTAGTCTCGACTAAGACTGAATCTGCAAGCATTTGACCTCGCATTTGTTCAAGCTCTTGAGTATTTCTGTTCAGTTGAGATTCAAGAAGCGATGTTTTCGCTACCCAGTGGGCCAGAGATTTCTTCGCTTTGTTCCACTGTTTTAACAGCTTCTCTCGCTCATATTTCTTGAGATTCCACTTCCTCCTGAGGTCGACATCTGCGCGTGGAACCGATTCTTTCGGTATTATGTTTTGTACAATCTCCCCTAGTGATTCTAACTGACGGTTTTGTGGCAGATTTTGTCTTACTGATTGCCCTGAGTTGAAATTAGTAACGTTAAATTTCACGTCCTCTTCTTGATCTTCGTCTATCTTGTTCTCTTCTGAGCCTCTTTGGAAAGCGGTTAGGCTTCCTTCCTCCTGCAGGTTTTTACTTTCACGCAATCGCAATCTAATATCAAATCCATTGGATGCGTGACGCCAAGAGAGTGAGCTATGGTAGAATATTGATCAATAAAAAATTTACTCAAGTTTCAGGTCTGTAGGGTTTTCCGCTGATGAGTTATTCGCCGAAATGTCGTACAAAATTTATAGAGATCGGTATGAGGACGCCGCGTAACGGAAGCAACTGGCCTTGGTTGTACGAGGGCTCGGGATAACGCTATCCACTTTGCTATCCAGCTGATAGTATAGTATGCTTTGTCAACATTTATCCAATGGACAGTGATTTATCCGGTGGATAGCAATATCCAGCCTTTGAACAACGAAGGCCTGTTGTTATGTTTCGCCAATAGAGCGATTTCCTATCCGCTATGAACTTGCGAACATTCATCTGAACAAATTTTCTAATGTTTCTTAAAACCTTCGTACATTTTTGAGCCGTACTCTGCAAAAAAAAAACAACAACGTGCAATCATCGAATTTTGTGTGATCTGAAAACAGAAACCTTGACAGCATGTTATTCAAGTTTCCATTTTGACTCGACGCTGCACATCTATCCTAATGCGTTATGCTGAAATTGATGCTGTGAGAGACGGAAATTCTAACTAAAAATTTAATCGACGTCTTCCTCGGCGTTGCCTTCCCGACTGTTCAAGGTCCCTTTATCTTGCATTGGGTTCAACGTGATTCAGCTATGAGCATTTTATTCACCGCACATGTGTCAAAGTTCCTCCTAAAATCGATTTATACTCATGCTATTAAATCACATGACGAATTACATGCCTAGAGTTCAAATGGTCAGGATTTGATCAACTCTTTTAGTCAGTTCAGTGAGGGTCTGTCTAGTCTTTCATACTTGGATTTACAGTTTAAAACTTCAGTCCTTATAACTGCATCCGTTTTTTAATGTCTCAGCCCGTGGCGTGCAATCAGCGCGTCTACAGCATTTTCCTGATGCTCCGCACAGCATTCCATGGAGACGGTGTCGGTCTTCTTCCCTTCAGAATTTGTGAAATATACCACAACCACTCTAACCATCCGCACCCTCTTTTTATCTCTTGGTGTTTTCCATCTACACTCATTGGTCATTAAATTGTGACACATCTGTTTTACTTCCACATGTTTGACTTGGTTGGTCTTACACATCGTTACCAGTGACAAAGCGAGCGTATTCTATGCGTAAGGAGACGACCAACAAGAGAAGACAGAAAAGTGTATTTCCTTCAATCTCATGACCTGAGATTTTATCATCCTGTGATGTCATAGACATCCTGCTTTTCCGAGAAACACTTCGTCATATATTTGTGAATCATTCAGTTTGATTATCTATATTACATGTTTGATATTGGTTGTGGTCGCATTGAATGACGTTCTGATTATCCTGTGTTTAAGAGAAATATTTGTTCTTTGGATTAACCAGTGAGTAAGTAGCCTACGTGTAGCCGTACCCTTCCCCCCCCCCCCCTTCAGGTGAAACAGAGGCGAGGTTTCCGTTTCACTTTGGAAGGGGAGGGTACGGCTACACGTAGGCTAGTGGGTACCAAACTGCGTGACCGTATATGTCTTTTTTCTTACCACGCTCAAAAGAGAGACATCACACATAATACTACTGTAGAAAATCTCTTTTTTTAAATTTCAAGTTACAATTTTTCTCTTCCTAATTAGAATTACGAATTAGCCAGCCACGCCAAAGAACTCTAACCTTGCATTTGGAAAACTGACGTGGACATTTTTCGCGTACTTTTAGTTTGTTTTCGCGGAGTCTTTAGTTTGTTGTGTGGAGCTTTCGTTCCCGTAAATTTGTAACTCCTTTGTTTGGAATTTGAAGAAGTTTCGGAGTTTTTATTTAATCTTTAATAAATCATATCTTTAATTTCACTTAGTCATAAAACCAGCGGTCACATAAAGTGCGTTCTGAGGTATTTTCGTTCCGAGTACAGTCTTTTTGTTGTATTTAAGTGTGTATAGCCTGTTTTCGTACTTATTGACGTTTTTGATAAACAAATTACGGCGGTTGAAAATATACGTTCTCTAAGAAGAGAAGACGTCTTTTGACATGGATAACAGTGATGGTAAAGCAAGCTCAAAACGGCAGAAATCGCCAGAAACTACGACGGATACACAGGGCATGAGTAAGTTTTACTGATTTTACGTGTAAAATATTCATATTTCGAAATATTTATCGTTGTAAATCGACCATATTTCGTTCCCCATACTATTCCTTATAACGTGTTCAAATTTTCAACGGTTCCTCCCGTAACTTAACACCGAGTCACACAACGCGTGAAGCGTTCATGAATTCATCGTTGGCTTTTTCTCGAGACGTGAGCTTGGGCCGCCTGTGCTGGGACAGTTTGAAAACAGCACTTATATTTTCTCAGTCTTCGGCTCATCACAGTTTGGTATCTAGTACTTCCTCTTCAAAATGTAGTTGTTGTAGGTCACGATTAGAGATATCTTGTAATGTTTGGAGGTTTCCAAGCCGTGTTGGTGTCGTCAAAGCTGCTGTGTTGGCAACTCTAAGTTCAAAGTCTTCAGTGTTCACAATTCGCCTTATCTTACAGCACCGAGCTAACGCCTGTCGAAACTCCGGTACTCTATAAGCATACACAACTGGATTTACAAATGCTTTGGAAACATTAACGAAGATGATAGCTACAAAACACCTCCACGGTATTACATCGTGAAGATCGAGTAGACCGTTTAAACTGAAAACAGAAGCAAAAGGTAGCCAGCAAAACAAAGCAAGGACAGAAACAAACAGCAAAGTCTTTGTCAAGCGTTTTCTTTGTAAGTCTCTGGTTTGCTGAAGCGAGCTTGCGACAATTCTTTCTTGAAACTTTCTCCTCATGGCGATGTTACAACCACAAATGAGGATAATTGAAACAATGCAAATTGACAACCGAACGAGAGAATAATATTTACTCAAATTAGCTATTAAAAATATGGTTTCCAAGGAGGCTAGTGTCCACACTACTATAATAACTATGCAGTATGCCCGCACAGATAGCGTTCGGTGTCTAAACGGTCGGTATATGGCGTAAAACCTCTCGCATGACATAAAGATCGCAGTTATTAATGATGCTACCATCGAGATGTTATCAACGATGGTATAGCAGTAGACAAAAAGCTGG